TGCGTCGATAATGTTTCGGCACGATTGGGCGATCCCTACCTGTAGATGTGTCACAAAGTAAAGTTTCCTTACCTGTTCCCATCTGTTTGATGAGTAGTTTAAGTGTTGTGGACGATAACTCGTGCTGAAGATCAGTGTCTTCTTTTTGAAGCTCGGCGAGTTTCAGAAGGTCGATTCCTTGGAAACTGTTCAAGGAAGTTATGCGAGATAAGGCGTCTGCAACTACATTGTTTGCTCCAGAAATGTGTGGAATATCTGAAGTAAACTGCGAAATGTAGTCCAGTTGTCGAGACTCACGGGGAGAGTACTTGTCAGAAAGAGAGCTTAACGAGAAAGTGAGCGGTTTATGGTCCGTGAAAAGAGTGAATTCACGACCTTCGATGTAGTGTTGGAAATGCCGTACAGAACAATACATAGCCAGGAGTTCCCTACCGAATGTGCTGTACCTCGATTCGGTGTCTAGCAACCTTCTAGAGAAAAATGCCAAGGGTTGCCAGGAGTTGTTAACCCATTGTTGTAAGACTCCTCCGATTGCCGAGTCGGATGCGTCTACTGCGATGCTAATGGGTGCTCGGGTGTCCTGATGTGCGAGCATTGTTGCTTTAGCAATCAGTTCCTTAACTGTGGAGAATGCTTTTCGTGCGGTGTCGTCCAAATTAATGGATTTCGCATTTCCACGAAGTTGGTCGGTCAGAGGTTTCATAAGTAATGCGCATTCGGGTATGAAACGTCTATAGAAACTTACCAGGCCGTTAAACGTGCGTAATTGCTTGACGGTGGTCGGTTCTGGGTAATCCAGAATGGCCGCCACTTTGGTCCTAAGAGGTCGAATGCCTTGAGCATCGATAGTGTGTCCTAGGAAGTCTAACGAGTCGGTTCCGAATTGGCATTTCTGAACGTTTACAGTTATGCCATGTTTTTGAAGTCGTTCGAAAACAAGATCCAGATGCTTGAGATGTGTTTCTCTGTCCGGACTTGCGATTAGACAGTCGTCAACATACGCATGTACGAAGTTGAGACCTCGAAAAACGTCGTCTATGAATCTTTGGAATGTTTGAGCAGCATTCCTTAGACCGAAAGGCATTCGCAAAAATTCGTAGAGTCCGAAAGGAGTTATGATAGCTGTTTTCGGTATGTCGTCAGTAGCCATAGGGATTTGGTTATACGCTTTAACCAAGTCGATTTTCGAAAAGACAGTTGTACCTTTCCAGGTAGCTGTCAAATCGTGAATGTGAGGCAACGGGTAACGATCGGGAATGGTTTTCGCGTTCAATCGCCGATAGTCACCAGTTGGACGCCAATCGTTGCTGTCCTTTTTAGGGACCATGTGCAACGGAGATGCATATGGGCTACTTGACGGTCGTATGATTCCTAAGTCCATCATGTGATCGAATTCGTTTTTCGCTAACCTTAGCTTTTCAGGAGCTAGTCATCGTGCTTTAGAGAATACAGGTGGTCCTGTAGTCGTTATGTGATGTGTAACATTGCTGGTTACACACGGTAGTTTCGGTTGAGTTTGTTGTATCCCAGGGTACTTATCGAGTAGTGGTTGATAGAGTGGGTCTATCATATGTTTAACTGTGACTGGGGATACTCTACAACCAGTAAAAGAAGTTACGCAAACGGACAAATTAGTGTTTCCGTCTACTAGCCTCCGTTTGCGCGTGTCGATGATCAGATTGTGGTGTTGTAGAAGGTCCATACCAATGATTGGCATAGAAACATCTGCAATAACGAAAATCCAGTGGATGGGTTTGCGTAAACCCACGTTAAGGTAAACGTACCTTTTGCCATACGTAGCGATCGGTTTTCCGCTTGCCGCCTGTAAGTTAAAAGCCGATTCCTGAAGCCGGTCGTTAGGATTTGCTGAGAGAACGCTAACTTCTGCGCCAGTGTCGACGAGGTAGCGAACTCTCGTTGTCACGTCTGTGACGAATAACAGACGGCTTTGTTCGCCGGCTACGGTTGCCGTTAACGCGTCCCGGCTTGGAAGTTTCCCGAATTGTTTTTCGAATCAGTCGGTTTCGTGATGGGAAAATTGCAGGGTTTTCTGCAATTTCTGGAAAGCTTCCCATACTGGTTATGATACCAGCACCAGTCGGGGTTATCTGTCTCTCGTGGTCTAGAGACAGATCGCTTACGAGGTGGTGCTTCTACGTGGTGTACGGTCGGTACGAAGACTAAGATAACGCGTGAGTGTGTGACATAAGTCGTTTATATCATTCTGAGTCGTTTGAGGTTTTTCTTTGACTGAAAATACCTCGGTAGTAGATTTCGTAATTTCTAGAATGCGGTCGGCAGATGCAGCTAGTTCGTCTAAGGCATTGTTCTGGAACGAGACCAGAACTGCTTGCACCTGTTGGGGAAGTTTTGACAAGAAGAGTTGTTTGAATAGGCCTTCGTCGAAAGTTCTTGGGCCTATTACCTCTCTCATCCGTTGCAACATGTCCGTCGCAGAACCGTGTTGCAGGTCGATATTGTTGAAGAGTTGATCTAACCTTTGTCGATCAGTTAGGTCTCCTCGTTTAAGAATCGAGCGTTTTAAGATTTCGTAAGGATCGGAAACATCACTAGTAAACATACTAGGTGTTACGTACCTGTTGAATTCGCGCGGTAGTGCCTTGACTACTGCGAGGAATTGTGTACGTGTGTCGATCGCGCCGTGCTCGGAGAAGTCGGCTTCTGCGTAGCAAAACCAGGCTTCGATGTTGTCGGGCCAGAAAGGCATCAGTTGAAACGAAGGCTGGGACAAAGTCTTAAGCTTGAGTACTTTAGGTGTCTGTTCAGTCATGATGAAGTATGAAGTACGATAATGAACGAGGGGAAAAAATATATATCCAGGAAAAAACACGAAAAAAATCACAATGTTTAAAAAAATAAAAAAATAAGGCAATGATATATAAAAATCCTAAAAAGGAACAGACTCACAGTTGCAATAAGGTGTACCAGATCACGTCAGTCTCACCAATGATGATGTCACAGGTATTCAGCGTTTGACAACGCTTCTACCAGTAACACCTAATATATTTCGTTCCCGCCCAGAGAAATAAAAAGACAGAGTCGAGGAGATCGGAAGAGTATATTTGGCGATGACCAATATATCGGAATTCTCTGATCTAATCTGGCTAGCGATTGCGGTTGATGTTGAGCACGGCGTTACCACATGTGATCTGGTGCAGATGCCTGACCGAGCGCCTTCAGCTAGATGAGTCCACTAAAACATATGGTCAGCATCCAATGTCGAAAACTCAGTGCTATTTATTTTGGGGATTTATTTACCGCTACAACCTAATGCCTCCCAAAAACGACTGCTTTGTTTCATAACCTGGACTCCTTTTGCCCGTCCGTAAAGTATTGCCACTAATTACAAAAAGCTTTTTTCGTGATAACTGGCTTGATTTTATTTACTGACATTTCAAAATCATCTGAAACCATTGCTGTCGGAGATATGTTTTCATGATGCCCATGGATGATTACCACTTTTGCATATCTGTTGTGAACTCGGCAGAAATCAATATCCCCATACTTGCGAAATTACCAATATAATATCTAGGTCATACTTCAGAACTAGACAGCTTTTTGTAATATATCATTCGTATCAGTTAAGCTCAGAATTGGGTCCCAACAAAATGTGTTGGATTATTTTATGGATGTTCAAAATGTGTTCATGGACATTGATTATGTACTAATCTTTCATACAATGGCTTCAGTAGCTCCGGAACGAAACGTTTACAGACCACACCGACATCACCCAGAGATGTCTTCTTATTTTGTGATCGAAAATGTTCAATCTTTCAGATATTATTTTGATATATAAACGTCAATGTATGATTTTCGAAGTTTGGAACAAGGGGGAACCTATTATGCAAATTAAAATACAGTGAGGATTCATTAAAGTAGTACGACATTGAATTAACTTATGGTTATGGGAAGCCTCACTAAATTTGCCCTGTTTCGAGAACACTTTCGACACATCTTATAGCAACTTACTTTACAGAGTAGACTTTGGACTGAAAACTACAGTAGTTAAGACTACCTACTTAGACATATGGGTATGAAGGGACTATAAGCAGTCACTATGATGTGAGCTAGCTCACTAAGACTAACAAGGATGCAACCTCATGTTGAAATTCGATCAGGCTAGTCGTCAGTAAATTAATGGATTTATTTGTTGCCACACGATTGAGAGAATTCATGTAGGGTTGTTGAGGTTGGAGCTCTTGGACACTGTGTTCTACTCGACATTTAGACTAACTAACCCGAAGTTCCTCCGTGCTTATAGGCCTGGCGACTAGATAAGTATCATCTCATTGATTCGAGGTCCTAAGTTTTGAAGATTTTAAGTACTATCGCACAGAATGCCGTGTTCTGGTTTTAAAAAAATGTTTAGGGGCTGACAAATTGCATGTGATGAAGACCTTCGGACTTGCACCTTACTGTTCAAATATATCACCAAAAGTGCAGAGAGTTGATTTAGTAACGTAGCCTCACAGTTGAAATACCGCGACTTCATTCATTGCACTAGACATGAGGAAGAAACCAACTTTAAAGACATTTAATTTCTTATGTAAATTATATTACCACTTATAATTATGAAGATCATTAACAATTTAGTCATTTGAGAGTGACAGTTTTTACTATAGTGATACTAGCAGTGAAGTATCTTAAATATTCGTGACTCACGTTAACTTATGGTTTTTCTTCGCTACAGCCAGTTATTCTCTTGATTTAGTTGGTACACACAATTCCTGCCAATATCTTCAGAACACGGTGAAAAATACATTCAGGGTTCATTTAATCTTGCACACTAAAATTCCTCAATACATAAGAACAGTCGAAGAAGTCTACTCCATGTGGCTTATTGGTCAACAGCTGGTGGCATAATGGTTCGTGCTAGCTCAATTCAAAATTGAATTTGTCGCGCACCTGCTCCCCGTGTCAGTGGGGCCTAGTAAGTAACTGGTCTTCGTTTGATTGGTTGACTAACCGTTGGTACAAGCATGTTCGATGTGGTTGTTATCGGCGCAGGTATATCTGGACTGGGAGCTGCTCACCTACTCACTCGTGAATCATATAGTGTTCTAGTGTTGGAGGCACGTAATCGTCCAGGTGGCCGAATACATAGCGTGCGCCTACCCTCATTATCAAGTAAGTTTTCTCGTTTTGTTAACATTGCATAATTAAAGATTAATTAATACCTTAAAATTAAGCTTTCTTACATTTACAAAATTCTATTTTCACAATATAAATAAGAGTTAGGTTAATTAATTGTAATTAATAAATGACCAGGAACTTTAGTTATTAGCTCATCATAGATATAATCCAGAATACTTGCAGTTGTAGTAAATAGCAGTCTTACTGGTTACACTTAAATCTAAATTTAAACTGAGGTACAGGCCCCAGTAATCAAAAATAAAAATTAAACGTTTTTAGAAATACGTATGTAATCTATACATTGTTTGACACTTTATACGTGTGTAAAGAGAATTTCTTCTCGTAATAAATTTATCAAAAAACTCGGCTAAGCAGCAACAGAAAAGGACCACATATTTTGGTATGTCATTGCACAAACATATGCGCCTATCCAAAATCAGTCAAGTAGCAGTTATTTATTCTACATTAATGGGCTTAGTAACTGTCAATTCTGGTTTACTAATTGCATTTTAGCCATGGATCTCAGTGGACGATTGTAGTACTTCGGGATACTTCGACACACCACGTATTTTCTTAGTAAACGATGCATTAACTAGTTTAATTGTTCGTCTTTTTAGTGTAATATTTATAATTTTGAATGTAACCATGCGAAGTTAGATGTTCGTCTCAAAATTGCGATCTTATTCTCTTTTTATTCCACTACTAAATGTAAAAGTTCTTTTCATTAGCTAATAAGGGTGGGTATGGTCTTAAATAAAATCATTTCCATACTGTAACCTCTCTTAGTTTTACAATTCATTCATTTTTAGATGGTATTAACTTGAAGAGGAGAATATCATCATTCAGCAAGTTAGCTAACCTACTAGTAGAGGCTTCATAAGTAAATGCAAGCATGGCTTTACCAATATGCGTTTTTTCCCCAGTTACATTACCAATATTTGTATTATTACTGTCATCAGTATTTTTACTGACAAATAAATGGTTGGAGAACGTTTCTTCAGAAAATAGACACTATGCTTTGTCTGTGGAGTTTGTCGCAAATGACTTATCTTAGTTTAAAGGAAAAACGAAAGGGGTTAAAATAAATATTTTTAAGATACTCGTACTAAACCAACTAGGGTTACAGTCATTTTGGTACCGGAGTTAGACTGTAAGGTCTCCGTTTATTCCTGAAAGAATAGTCCATACGCCCTTTCCTACCTACCTTTGTTAGGACAACTGAGCGGCATTACTAACTTTCAAGTAAATAAACCTATGCTTGGTGAGTTAAAGTTATAAGATCATCCTGTTTGTTATGCGAGTGTTAGGCAGACGGTCACTGTTCTCTTCAGTTAGTTTTTGCATGCATATTAGAATTTGTCGTTATTATTGCTCTTCGTTCTCCCTGCCTTTGTCTGCATTCCTTTCATTCCACACAGTTTTAGCTTTTTCTCTAGACCTTCAACTCCACCCACTCTTTAAACCTGACTAAGGTAAATTTACTCTCTCGAAATCACAGAATGCTTAATTATCCAAAACATGGAGTCTCTAGCCGGAGATTTGAATTGTTTTACTTGAGATTTAATTCCATCAGCCATCTGACCTCATCTAATTAGCGTGATAATTGTCTGGAAATTCAATTGACAATACTTGCGTATTTGGACATGGAACAACTGCATTAGGTTGTAGAACTGAAGACCCGTGTTTAGATTGCACTGTGATGTATTCATTTTCCTGATGTCCACTAGTTTGGTTTCATAACGTCCTACAAACCTACGTACAGACCGGTTTTTTCGACATCTATGCATATCTACAAGTAATTGTGGTTAAGATTGGGAGGCATGGTGCATCCAAGTAATAGCTATACTTTTTAAAAGTCAGATAGTGTACTGATGTATAATCTTTGTAGTACAGCAAGTAAAAACCCTACTAATGATTATTCGTGATGTGCTTAAGTTAACAAAATTCATCAGCCCGGCTTTATCCACAACTTGGGATTGTTTTCCGTGACATTTTTGCGTTCACTGCAGGTTACCAATCCTTAAAGTCATCGAAGCTTTACCAACACATCATGCAACTATGATAGTATTAGTTAAAACTGGTTTATTGTTCCCTAAATTACTGATTCATATAGGGAGCTTTCACAAAACAAATGTGGTTAACATCTAATATATAACGGGTTCGTCCCTGGTATGTTCAATCGAACGAAATACCTTAGTTATTTAGTATTAAGTGTACTACCACAGTGCAGCGTGACCCAGTTGTCTATGCACTCAAGTCAGTTACAAGTTTACAAGATAAAAAACCCAATGTAGTTCTTTTATTGTTAGCCAGTTAATATTAATACTTCCTACAGCAAACTACTCAAACATATGCTCATTTAAATAGTTGTATCAATTGACATCCACCAGTTAAGTAACAGATGTTGTAGGTTGGCTCTACTTCTACTACAATTACTCTTTTATTGATAATCCATACCTGTTTTCAGTGTCTGTTTTTACTTGCACTACTTGTAATAAGCATGTTAATTTTTTTATTTTTAATGAAAACATTATCGACGGTCCAAAAACATTACAAAAAGTAGCTTTTTAATAATAGGCTTTTACCGTAAGATCGTAGCTTACGTTTACTGGCTACGGTTGATATTTCTATGTGCTATAATCCCGGATTTTAGATTCTCAACTTCAGCTACACTCTTTGAAGCGTAGTCATACCAACTGGCTACTAAAAACGAAGCAAGTCAAGCGAATGCTCGAACCTACTACCTCATGATTAGTAGCCAAGTTCTCTAACCACTAAACCATTCCGGTTTGGGCTATAGACTAGCCGTATACATGGCATCCAGGTGAATTTTAAAGTTATTTGGTGTCATCGTAACCAATGTTTTCAGCTTAAAAGCCGACAGTTTCCTTCAAGTGATTGCATGTACTACTGTTTTGTCTCAGACAATCGATTCTAATACTCTGTATATCTCACGTTTACTCAAACTTGTCGAGTGAAGAATACAGAATACATGTCCTAACCGTTTAATCTAGGCTTATAAGTTTTCTTCTGAGTTTTAGGTTTGTCTGTCATCTACCTGCTCATGTGATATGTGCTTATAATTTTACCATACGATTTATCTTATTTTGAGAGCTAATTTCAGCCTCAACATAGTTCGCTTAATGGTTCTATTACGGGTTGATGATAAAGCCTAGACTTTCTAAACTAAACTTTTATTTTGTTCATCTCCAGTGTCCATATTTGATAACCGTGAAACAGCAGCTAAATTCCACCAATGATGAGGGGTCCGGTTCTTCACCGTTCTTATTACTAATGCTTTTTATAGGATATCATCGAAATGTTTCCCTGCTATAATTTCGCTGAGTCTACTCCACTAGGATTAATACAGTTACTCAGGCAGGCGAACTTCTTCAGTTGCTCAACTAGTTCACTTTTTATGATCAGATAAGTTTTAGGTTCACACTTATATTAAAGTTTTCGTTTCCACTCGGTAGGTGCCGAAGTTGTATCATAAATTTTCAATTTGTTCTAATATATTCGTATATGTCTGGATTGACAACCTCAAATTCGTAGATACTGGTTCAAGGTGTTCTGAAAGTTCCTTTGCGATTGTCACAAGAGGATATTTGCCCTTTCTTACAAATTGGAACAATCAGCGATCAAGACCAGTCAGATAGGATTACATCCAATTCCAAAATTCTAGCTAAGATGTTTGCCAATCTAACCGCTAAACCTGGAGCACCATCCTTAAAATTTTCAGGAGTTAATCTGTCGTGCCCTGCTGCTCTCCTTTACTTTAGATTGCTTATTGCCTCAATCTCAATAATGGTTAGAGAACTTACATCAATTCACCATCTAGGTCATTTGAAATAATGGGTAACTTAAGGCCAGTTGGATTGTTCTCTAGAGTGTTCTTCACGTAGGTCAAATCTCCTGGATTGTGAATGATTAGTGGTCCTGTTTTTTCTTCGAGACAGTCTCATTAACAGTAGTAATTTTAATACCTGTTTCCTTGATAAGTGGACAGTTGTCTACTGTCACATATCACTACTGCCTTTTCCAACTGTTCTGCTTTCGTTACACACCACTGCTTACAATCATTGGGTAGGCTTTTTCAGTCTACGTTTAAGCTCTAACAGCACCCGAGATCATCCCAGTTGCAAATGCTTATAGAGATGAGTAGTGAAATCCTAAAGACTACTGAGACATTATTCCATTCGGTATTATTACTATTGTATTGCTCATGTATTCCTATCAGTATTGATCTCTACTGTTTTTACTGTTGCAGTGTAAGTTAACTAATACTCAATTTCGAATTAGTTACTCTTCAAGTTAAATTAAAAGGTTTTGTACACTTCTGGTGTTTTTTCTCCTCGATCCCTAGCACCTGTTTCTAATGCCCAATCAAATATCAATCATGATAACCTCAGTACTTATCATTTCCATATTGACGAACAAAAACCTAATACGTCAGTACATGAATCATCCGATTCTGATAGTTCCATGTCATCTCGTTCTCCTCCTTCTGCCCACCAATCATTTGATCGTCAATTGGATGATGAAATTAATTCGGATTATTCTGGTCCGATCGATGTTGATCTTGGTGCAAACTATTTAATTGGTTGTTCAAATCGACAAGCTGACCAACCATTATTTCATCTAGCTCGTATGCTACGAATTCCTACAGCTGTTACTGCTGGTGATTTGTGCAAAAAATATCGCGGTTGGGAATGTGTAGAAATAGCCAAATGGCTTAATCATTTTACTCCTAACTCTCCGATAACTCCTGATCAAGTTGCTGATGGTGTATTTCTGTTTGATAAGGTTATTCATCTTACTGTTGATCGTTATATGAAAACAAAATCTAAAACACAATATAATCATTCTGACACTACAGTCAAAGTAAGTATTTGAATACAAATAATTATGCACTAATATCATCGAAAAAATACAGTCGTAACAACACTTTATATTGATTCGTTCATCATGCATGTTCTACTCATTGTTTAGCAATATAATGATTGGTTGAACATATATTAAGTTATTTGATGAACTCTATCATGGATTGTCATTATTATTATTATTATTATTATTATTATTATTATTATTATTATTATTATTATTATTATTAACTCGTCCCCAAGTACAGATTAATGTCTTTGGCTTTGAGCCACCTAAGTATGAGAGTAAGTGATGCGACCTCCTTGGCTAAACCGAAGTAGATGAAGCGAGGTTTGAACCTGGTAATTAGTGGCTGGAAGTCAAACGCCTTAATTACTGAATCACAGCTTGTGTTGGTAGTGAGATGCAGGCTTTTATTCCTGTTAGGGCTGTGGCAGCTGAATAGTATCACTTACCTTCATACATATAGTGTAATTGGCTTCCAATTACACGAATCGGAACCGGGTAATAATTTAACCACTATAACCTATGATAGATTGTTATTTGACATGTCGATAATATGACGTATTAATGAGATCAACCGGTTATATCTTTATGTAAAAGCAGTGAATCATATCTAATGTATGGATAATTATTGAGCATTGCTATCTAATGTCCTAATCATATCTTATGTTTGTACTCTGCTACTTTTATATATATTTCCTTCACATTTATTATTATTTCAACACATAAATATTGGTACAAGAGGGCACCAAATATATATGCGCCACACCATATTTGTGTGTGTGTGGGTTGTGATAGTGCCCGGGTGCCCAGACCGAAGCAGGTGGTTTTCTTAGGGGGCCACACCCCGAGCCTTTGACCTAAAGGTCTGACCCACAAGGCAGTGGAGCATCGTGAAGAGATGCACTCCCTTGGTAGCCGGTGACCAACGACTGGTTCATACGCCATTTGTTTCCGCAGGATACTGGAGCCCATGTGCACCATTTGTTTGGGATCCGGTTAAAGCGACGGACATTCACTTTTCGTCCTCTCATTTTCGTAAACAACACATCCGCCACGAGAAGGTAATGAGTAGGACTTCCCTGGCAGAGGCTGTATACGCGTGGCCGTGTGAGAGCATTTGGAGAGAAGGCGGACCCACCCCACTCTCGGCCATACCAGGGGATTTGGGAGCTGTTATTTATTTATTTATTGGTGTATCTACCATATAAATTTGAATGTGTCAAATACAAATGCTCTGGTACGGCCGAGAGTGGAGAGAAACCACCCTCTCTCCAAATGCTCTCACATGGCCACGCGTATATAGCCTCTGCCACGGAAGTCCTACTCACTGCCTTCTCGTGGCATTACTGTTGTTTACGAAATTGAGAGGACGAAAAGTGAATGTCCGTCGCTTTAACCGGATCCCAAACAAATGGTGCACATGGGCTCCAGTATCCTGCGGAAACAAATGGCGTATGAACCAGTCGTTGGTCACCGGCTACCAAGGGAGTGCATCTCCTTACGATGCTCCACTGCCTTGTATATCAAACCTTCAGGTCAAAGGCTCAGGATGTGACCCCCTAAGAAAACCACCTGCTTCGGTCTGGGCACCTGGGCAGTATCACAGCCCTCACACAATTCAAATGAGATTTGTGTGGCGCATATATATCTGGTGCCGCCTTGTACCAGTATTTATGAGTTCAAATAAATAATGCTTGAGCTTAAAATTCAAGAACTAAGATTTTCTTTTTTTCGATAAAAGGCATTGAAAACTAGATAACTAAACATTTTTACAGAATTATGTTATGTACTTTTAACTTTGGATAGTTAGTGTTAGAATCATGTATTTTGTCACTCAATTTTAGTGTCTGATTAGTTTTGTAGATATTAATTGATGGGGATGTAAAATCATTGATCAATCTCCTTTCATTGTTTGATGCTTTTTCATTTTACGTCGTCACAATGTGTCAGACAAGGCTCCCTACTCTCCTCCTTCCTCTTTCTTCTGGTGGTCGACTGGATTATGAAGACCTTAACATCTGAGGGAAAACACGGAATACAATGGATAGCTCAGAACCAATTTGGACGATTTAGACTTTGCAGATGACCTAGCTCTCCTATCCCACACACACGAACAAAGGCAGATGAAGACAACTAGTGTAGCAACAGCCTTTGCATCAATGGGCCTCAACATACATTAAGGAAAGAGCAAGATCCTCAAATATAACACGGAGAACACTAACCCAATCACACTTAATGACGAAACTCTGGAAGATGTGGAATCCTTCACGTACCTTGGAAGCATCATTGATGAACAAGAAGGATTAGATGCGAACGTAAAGGCGAGGATTGGCAAAGCAAGGGTCACATTCCTACAGTTGAAGAACATATGAAGCTCAAAACAACTGTCTGCCAACCAATATCAAAGTCACAATCTTCAATACGAACGTGAAGGCAGTTCTATTATACAGATCTAAAACTTCGAGAACTATCACAATCATCATCGAAGGAGTACAAGTATTTACAAATAATTGTCTACACAAGATACTCAATATCCATTGTTGACGGGATACCATCAGCAACAGCCTACTGTGAGAGAGAACAAACCAGCTTCCAGCTGAGGAGGAAGTTAGGAAAAGACGATGGAAATAAATAGGACACACATTACGCAAATCATCAAACTGCATCACGAGGCAGGCCCTAACTTAGAATCCTGAAGCAAAACGGAAAAGAGGAAGGCTGAAGAACACATTACGTCAGGAAATAGAATCAGACATGAAAAGGATGAATAACAACTGGAAGGAGCTTGAAGGGATTGCCTAGGACAGGGTTGGATGGAGAGTGTTGGTGAGCGGCCTATGCCCTTCCACGATGAGTAACAGGAGTAAGTAAGTAAGTAAGTGGTGCACTCAATGATAGAACATAATCATATGCTAACGTTTGAAACCAACAATATTGACCCGACCTTACTCTACCAAAATATTTGTTGACTATTTCAACATTGGTTTTTCATTTTTCATCCATTTGTTTGCTATTTTCTGTGAGGTTTTATATATACACGTATAATGCTTTCTGTTTCTCTATTCAATCTAGGAACTTTTTGATAAAGCTTTACAAGATATATTTGACATTGAAGCTCAATTCGGAATTCGTTCTTCTGCTAATTTTCGCGATCATATTGAAGAAGGCATATTCTTATCTATAGTTAGCCGTTATTTAGCATATGTAAATCCTATAGAACGCTTGCCATTATGCGTTTTAGATGATCTATGTGAAGTGGCCGACTCGAAATGGCAATCAAATATTATCGGTGGGAAATCTGGCATAAATACTGGACAACATGGTTTAAATCAATCATCTTTACTGGCTCAACTCGTACAATCCTATCCTACATTTGATCAACGTAAAGCTTATCATGCTTGGGCAGAACGTAAATTGGACGCTTTAGAAAATAATGATAAGTCCTCTTTACCATCGATTGCTAAATGCGTATGTGTTAGCTGGGAGGATCGCCTAGTGACTAGTCGATTTAGTGACCTATTGAATCCATTGCTTAAAGGTGTAAATATAATCTACAATGCTGTAGTTACGGAAATTGATTGGAGTAGAGCTGGTGATACTACTACTGCTAATAATAATAATATCAATAATAATGATAACAATAGTATTAATAATAATGATACACACCATAATAGAATATTAATAAAGGCAAGAGTGAAACGGGAATCCCATTTAACTCAGAATGGTGATGATGATAATTTGACACAGGATTCGTATGAAGAGCAGATATATGAAGCCAAACATTGTATTATTACTGTTCCAGTTGGTGTGCTAAAAGGTTAGTTGTGTTTTATTTTACATATAAATAGCACTAAGTACTTCGAAATACTCGTTTGCTTTTTTCTTAAGTAATATCTTATTTTTCACTCAATTTTAATCACCTTTTTTTAAAAAACAAAGACATCAAAAACGTAGCAAACGAGTTAGGAGGTGCCCCAAATGATGTCGTTAACCTTCAAGGACTAAAATGCTCTGATTGTATTGTGCCGTATTTTAACAAACATTTCTGTGATACCAAAGGCAAATGAAAAAATCACTGTGGGTGTAGCGACTAGTGATGATTTATATGCAATAAGAGATCCAAACTTTCAGTCTAATACTGTCGGTAGAAAATCGGGTATAAATGAACACCCTGTAAGTTGGTCATTTATGATCAGCTCGGTGCTTGGAATTTAGTACGCAGGTTTCGTTTCGTCAGCTGAATATACAAATCCATCTTAAATGGGTCTACAAGCAATATCGTCACTTCTGTAAGAAGAGCCTAACATGAATTGCATATAATTCATTGGACTTGAAGAACTTAATTAAAAGATTGCAATCTTGGAGTTGTGCCTCAAATGGAACTATCTAGACACTAAATAGGGCATAACAGTGATATCCATCTTAAGATAACCTGTTGTAATCTTCATCCCACTCTACAGTGGGTGAGGTTATTAGTAGATATCATTAGGAAGTTAAAAAAAAACATCAGTCAATTTTGATAACTTCGAACAAACTAATGAATACTTGGAAACTCAAACTGACTATTGCCCACTACTGATCATGATTACTGCGTAGGCTCTTTATTTAGTAATCATTTAAGTTAATTTTGTTTCTCAGTCTAAAGATCGAAAAGGCTGTGTTCACACTTATTAACAGTCGGTAAGACTGTCGTAGAAAAAGATTGGTCAGTGGTTTCTACTTGTAGGGCCAGATGAATAGAGCGGTTAGTTAGACACTTTCATGAACAGTTCAACTGATCTGCAGGTACTCTAGTTATCCACCATAGTTTTGGTGGAGTTTCGTTTTCTGAGCTGCAAGCTTTGGTCGTGGAGCTTTCATCATCCTTCTGATCAACATCATCAGCACAGAATTCAAGTAAAAGTGAATAGGGAATCCACATTTTGGGCTTAATCACTGGTAAAATCGAGGCTCCCAGTTTCAGAATCACTTTTACAATAAGTCCTAGTATTGGTGATCACGTTGGTGTTCCTTGCATTTGTTGAATTGAAGGTATATTGTTAAGAATGAATCGATAATTCCTACTAGAGCTCATACTAAATACGTCCGTCAGACTACTAAGTGCTCTGAACTAAAACCTGGTGGCAAAATGTTGTTTCGATCAAATACGCCAAGTGTTATCCGTTGGAGTTGTCTGTCTTCATTAATCTTGTTTATAGATATGGTCTTCGAGGTAACATCTTTTCATTTCTCAGATAGTAACCTCTCATTCGGGAATTTTCTGGACAAATTACGTTATATAAGCAGCGTGGTTCTGTTTCGTGCGAATTTTGACATTATACAGAGTTCATAAAACCTTAAATGTTGTTCCAAAAATGTTTAGAATGCATTAAATCTCTTTCGAATTTCATGTTTCTTCGGTGTTCAATTTAAAAATGAGGAGTAAATCAGTTTAATGTCTCGTGCCAATTTCTTGTATCTTGGTAGTTTTATCAACTATAGCGCATTAACAACTGACACATCTTATTACAGATACAAAATATCTATTATTTTCTCTAGTGTCTCATCTCATTGATTCCTTAGTGCACTACTGATTTAAAGTGTGGTTGTTTGAATGGATGCCGAATTGAGCCAGGTTTTGTATAATTTTTTTCTACCTATCTTTTTGTTATGTGTCACTGAATGTGAAATCTGTTCTCAGCTTACAACTGCCTGTATTCATTCTACATCAAATATAGTATTCATGTGTTGTTGTACGTGGTTAAGTAGTTCACTTCGGCAACTAACGTTTCGATAACCAAGGCACTCCATATGGGTTGCTACTATTTACTATTTATCAACTGATTTCGTGTATACTTACACCTACTACCCCTCGTAGAGGAGCATAGGTCGCCCACCGGCATTCATCATCCAACTCTGTCCTGGGCAATCCTGTCCAGTTGTTATTCATTCTTTTGATGTCTACTTCCAATTTCCGACGTATTGTGTTCTTCAGCCTTCCTCTTTTCCGTTTCCTTTAAGTATTCCAAGTTAGCGCTTGCCTTGTGATGCAGCTTGATGATTTGCGTAATATATGTCCTATCTATTTCCATCGTCTTTTCCCAATTTCCTCCTCAGCTGGAATCTGGTTTGTTCTGTCCCATAGCAGGATGTTGCTGGCGGTATCCAACCAACGGGCATTGGGTATCGTGCATAAACAATTATTTATAGATACTTGCACTTCTTTGACAATGGTTGTGGTAATTCTCCAAGTTTCAGCTCCACATATTCTTCAACTTTAGGAATATGTCATTGCTTTGCAAATCTTCGCCTTTACGTCTGCATCAAATCCTCCTCGTTCATCGATATTGCTTCTCAAGTACGTAAAAGCTTCCACCTGTTCCGGAGCTTCTCCATCAAGTGTGATTGGGTTTGTGTTCTCTGTGTTGCATTTGAGGAATTCGCATTTTCACTTATGTATCTTGATGCCTACTGACGCAGAGGCTTCTGCCACATTGGTTGTCTTGACCTGCATTTGTTGGTGTGTAAGGGATAGATGAGCCAGGTCATTTACGAGGTTCTAATAATCTAATTGCATCCAACCTGTCCATTGTATTCCGTGCTTCTCCTCAGATGTCGAGGTGTTCATAATCCAGTCGACCACCGGAAGAAAGAGGGAGGGTGAAAGTAGACAGCCTTGTCTGATTCCGTTCCTCACTTGGAATGCATCTGTCAACTGTCCTCCATACACAACTTTGCACTGTAGTCCGTCGTATGAGTTCCGTATAATGTTGACAATCTTCGCAGGAGACTCTAGGTGACATGTCCCAGTCGGTGTATACACTCTATGTCTTCCCTTAAACTAAGATTAAAATCGCTTCATATCTTTCTTTCTATGAAGTAATTCTTTCTTCCTGTACCATATGCTTATATGCAATCTTTCTTTATATTACCACCATTGAACTAACTACTGTTATGAATTCTGTGTTCATCATATTGTGCTAATGAGGTGTTCCAACTTGAACCGATGCACATATGTGCCTAGTCCTACGTTGTAGCTGACTGATTGATTGGCGTTGCTGTCATTTGTTGGTTCATAACTTTGGATAACATTTATTGTGATTTCCTTCTTTTTTTGAAAGATGCTTTGATGATTCTGGATCCATGAGATTCCCATTTTATAATTTCTTTTTATGCTTCTTTGGACAGCATCAGAGAAACTCCTTGAGTATATGGAGCATTTTCTTCTTCGTGACCCAAATACAGCAGCATCTCTCTTGAATCTATCCCTTTCTGTCCAGCTTGGGGATTTCGTGTATATTATTATTATTATTATTTTATTTATATTATTATTATTATTATTATTATTTTGTAAACTGCTAGTTTGCTCAAGAAATATAAACGTTTCTCTCGTTTTCGTTAAAATGATCGAAGCTACCTGTTAGTATTCTGTGAACGTAATGCCATCACGGAATTATTTCTGTTTGACTTAAATATTCACTGCGTCGTGATGTTATGCATTGATAATAATCGTGATAATAATTACTTTTATTCAATAATAATTGAGTTTATGAGTCAATTAAAGCTAGACCACTATAGAAAACCTGGAAACACTGGAAGACTGTTTCGTCCTAGTATGAGACACCTCACCGGTGCCCATCCATGGTCCCGCGAACATGACTCGAACCCAGGGCCTTCGGCCTCGCGCGCAAGCTCTTAGCCTCTAGACCACTGAGCCTGCATCCAACAGTGTTAATGTTTAACATCAACCAATCCACGAAATTGCACCATTGTGTTCACTGTGTTACTATTTCACAACAGACTCGGTTGAACTCCGCTGGTCACGGCTTCTCACTAGAACTTCATGAAATGCCTCTTGAAGCCGTCCAGTACTTCCAGGTTTTCCATGGTGGCCTAGCTTAAATTAACTCATGAATTCAACTATTAAATTACTACAATCTCCACAAAACCCATTTCTTATAATTACTGTTATTAGTTCACTATTTTTGCTTCGGAACTTCCTTATTGTCTCGTAGGTCTTAGTCCGTCCTCAACAATCACTTTCTATCCGGAATTACCATTGAATAAACGTCAAGCTATTGAACGTTTGGGTATGCCTAGTCAAGGTTCGGCTACACATGAAAAAGTAATTCTACGCTTTAAATATCCTGAACATGTGTTCTGGGATACTGGTGCAGCTCATCTTAAATGTCCTGATCCTCGTTTGCATATTCTAAATTTACATCGTTATGGTAAGTAAACATTTCGGTCAGTCAATTTGTATTTGCCTTTAAATTTTATTTATCTATTGTTATCAATGTCTTTTGTTTGTAACATTCTAGGCGATCGGAAAGATTATTGATATCATAATCGACTAATTTGCATTCATTCTTATTTCTCCCCAGTATTTTCAAAAAAGGTTGAAATTTTCTTCTCGATATCTATGATAGATAGCTAGTTGAACAGTAGATGTTCCATGTTTTAATCATGTCGTCGTGACTATACATTAATGTATTATCTATATAAATTAGTCACTGGGTTACTAGTCAAAGTCATGTTACACGATCCTGTTATGACCATACACTATCAATAAGGTTAATAGCAAGTTCATGAAGTTCAATATGCTGAAATTTTCGTACACTTTATTCTCAATTTTAGATAGTTGTTGGCAATTGTTAGGTAAAGTTACTTGATTTGTTGTTCATTACCGGGGTGTGTTGTCTTAGAGAATCGAAGTATTTTCTCTTAACACTCTAGTCAGTGGAGCTGTGACTCAGTGGTGAATGCGTTTGACTTTCGAACACCACCCCACCTACTTCAGTTTAGGTAACCAGGTAGCATCACCAAAATTCAACTCAAAGCCAAGTACATCAATCCGTGCTTGGTTAACGTCTCATTTATGAGTGTTATCTCAAAAAATGTTAGTTGTATACATTTAACAAAGTCAGAGGCGATTATATGCCATATTACCTTATGGTTATGGTGGTAACACGGATCTAACTTGTCTAGGGGCATCATGTAATGGACTTTGATTCGTACGTTTTGTGTTAATCTACTTAAACTGAAGCAAGTAGTATGGGAGTCTAGGGGTTATTGCATTCGACTGGATCCTAAGTTCGAGCTCCTCCCTTTTAGAACAGTTCTTAAACAAATTGGGTTGATCTTCAAAAAATATATTTTCTACGATAACTTGGTTTCGGTTAGGTAACTAGTGGAAAACAGGGAGAAACGGGCAGCTGTTTTCTATTCTAAGACTTAACGGTGTACATGCAATACCAGCTACAGGTTGAAGCCAGGTCACATAGTAAACACGTTGCCTTAGGACTACTGATTCCAAACTCAGTAGCCCACATTTCCCATGCTTGAGTCGGTAATATATATGACTAAATAAACTTTCATACACATCATACTAATTTTTAAAAATACTAGATATTTTTATTTGTAAATAAGTATTATCCAATTTATTCAATTATCAGGCAAACCGGGTGTTTTATGCGCTCATTTATGGGGAGGATCTGGTCTCAATTCAGCTAATCGATCGGATAAAGAAATTGTTGATATAATATTAGATTTATTAAACTTAATGTACGGTGGAAAATACAAACCTGATTCTGAAGTATCAGGTCGTAAAATTCCCGACCCAGTGTATTATTTAGTGACCCGTTGGTCTGAAGATCCTTTTTCTCTAGGCGCTTATACTACTGGAGAGCCAGGTAGTTCCGATGCTGACCGGTTAGTCTATGCATTAAGTTTAACTGGTTTGGATGCCAAAAATCAGCGGAAAATGAAACTAGGAGAGGATGTTTTTATTGTTGACGATAATCTTAGTAGCAATAATGTGAACTTTACTGCTGATAATGAGTTGACAATTCCACGTCTTCTGTTTGCTGGTGAAGGAACACTGACAGCGAAAGAAGCCAAGGTAAATTGTGTTTTGTTTTTCTTATAAATTAAACGTGAAAACTAGTAATGAAATAAATGTAGCTGACTATTATCGTACAGTTTTGTTGTGCTACTGTTTATTCTATCAGGAAAAATAATTTTTTCTATCCGAGGTCAAATGAATGGAGTATGGCCTCGAGTTCATCAATATTTGATTAAAAACCAAACACCTAGATAAGTTTATAACAACTCTACATGCGAAACATTAAACAGAAGTGTGTTGTGTTAAATCCCCATGTTTTGCAACAAATTGTATGTATCAGTTAAATCAAATTAAATGGACAATGTGAATCGATAAAAGAGGAAAATTGATGGAGAATATGACTGTAGTCAGAAGTATATGCATCTTTACCATCGAAATGTGTTCGAACTATTTCAGCGAGTTTTCAGTTAATGATGTCAGCCATTTTTCTAGCATTTCTTATGAAGTCTGTACATTCGTCTTCAACTCAGATTAACTGTTGGTAATTAGTGTCATCTCTGAGTCTAGCAATTACTTACTTAGTTCCAATCTATTTCAGCAATGATTATCTATTTAACTAATGAATTAATGTGAATAATGCAAGACACAACTAAGTTGGTCGGCGTAAGCTCACATTCTCATTGGCTGAGTTATCCTTCCTTTCTTGAAATACTCTACTTGAAAACAACATTCCTGTTCATCTGGTGGCTCTACGACTCACGAGTACTGTTTCGAAAATGTCAATGACCGAATAATTGTAATATACATGTAGTTTCAGACTAGCATCTAGTAAACTGCATAGTATGTACGTACTGTGTAAAAGATTTAAAATTATATTTTACATACCTATGTATTTGTTTTCTTCACCTTACGATACGTTTCTGCAAATCACAAAAGCATTTTTATAATGATAGTATGTTTTCGATTATGTCACGTATACTAATAATACAACCAAACAAGTTGCTTAGCTAGAATTATTATCAGACACCGTCAGTCCATCGATCAAGTCAGTTAGCTATTTCCAGTTATCGAACAGTTATCATTTTGGGACCATCAAGTAAACAATGCTTGGGTTAGGAATAGGTTACTAGATAAGGATGGTAAATCAATTGATGAGGTAGTGAATTTTCATACGTGCGTACAGTTTCTACGTTATGACTGGCTGAGTTGATAAGAATCTAATCGAACTTTAGATTATATATATATATATATATGGCTGCAAAGGACTATTATCTGTAGCTTTATTAATCATAATGGACAGGCCGAATTGTAATTTCAGAGAGTTATTTCTCTCTTCCTCTCTGTCCACAAGATTCTAGACGTATCTCGTTATAGAAAGTTAATATGCATAAAATCATGTTATAGAACAATCTAATCTCCTAAACTTAATATTCATATGATAGTCTATTTTCTCATTCTCTCTAACATATTTACATATCTAAATGGAAGCATTCAATGCTTTATTTAACTGTAAGCCTCAAACTGTTCGATTTCCAAATCGGTACTTCAACTGATATTTGTTGGTGAAGAAAATTCTCTTCAAATTGTGAACTAATTCTCCATAAACTCATCTACTTCAACCTTTTTCTTAGTTTATTTAGGTGTTTTATGGAGAATTATTTCACAATTTGAATGGAATTCTCATCACAGACGTGGTTCGAAAATCCCAATAGACTACGAGATGGATTTTAAAAATTTTAGCGAGGAGTCGCGACTGATTAAGTTTAACCATATCGGTTTTGCAACCAATATGACTAAGTTAGGACAATGGTAAGTAGTAGCACTGTTTCGCTAAATGACTGAAACATATTAGTAGTGAACATTCACGACCCCGCTTCCAGGGGTTGAAACTAGGACCTCCGGTCTCACACGCGAATGCCTTATTTCTAGACCACTGAGCCAACATCCAGTGTTGTTAATGTTAAACTCCAGGATCCTGGTTTAGTAACCTAGAGGCTAAATGTTTGCACACAGTACTAAAGATCCAAAGTTCGACCCCAGGATACTGATTCGTATTTGCTTGCTGCTGAGACCGGTTGAATTTAACAGTGTCTGGCCTATTCAGTGACTATATATATCAAACTAAGGCATAAGTTACGATGTAGAGTGTCATTTTGGGTAGATTCTCATCTGTGTCTATATCTTCCTTGATTGTAACCAATTGACTACTGTACGAAGTCTTTGAATCAGGACAGTAAACAACTATTCATTACGTGCACCGTGATTTCCAATATTTCTCCAGTTAATATATCATTCTGTAACGTAAACCAAAATTCATTCTGTGTTGTATCATGTTTATGCTTTGTTCATTTGTTTATTTTAAACAATAAATCTATTTTTCATTACTTAGGAATGTACTCACGGTGCTTTACAGACTGGAATTGCACGAGCTATTGAATTATTACCATATCTTATGAAATCTAAATCTACTATACCTGATCCATGTATAATACGTGATTTGGAAATTTTACGTTTACATGCACAATCGAATTTTTCCAGTTTCAGCACTAAACTAGCTAGTTATTTATTCGGTAAAGTACAATTAAATCGTTTATTAAATTGTAATATAGCAAATGGTAAACAATATCGTCGTGTAATTTTAACACGTTCTGCTGAACATACTGCTAAAGTCCTATCATATCATACTACTAATAATAGTGATAATGATGAGAAAATGGACATAAAACTCGAAAATATCAATTACATGATTGCTACTAATACTCCATTTTCAAGGTCACCATTTTATGGTTATCGTCGACGTTATCATCATTCATCTAAATCTTGTTGGAATACAGATAATGAAAATTGTAAATGTTGTTCATATGCTCATATTAGTAAACGTTCACGTCTTGCTACTACTGGACGTAGAGGAAGAAGAGGGAGAGGGAGAACAAGAGGCTGTACAATTTACAATCAACGTGGTAATTTGAACGCACAAATGTCACATAGTTTTATTGTGAAACGACCACGTGGAAGACCACCTAAACGCCAAGGTCTTGCTGCGTTGCATGCGATTTCCAGAGCACATGTAAGATTTGCATTTATTTCTTTATTCTAACACATAAACATTGGTACAAGAAGGCACCGAACAGATATGCGCTATATAAATCATTTGATTTGTGAGTGGGCTATGATACTGTCCGGGTGCTCAGACCGAAACAGGTGGTCTCCTTAGGGGGGGGCACACCGCAATCCTTTGACCTAGAAGTCTAATCCACAAGACAGTGGAGCAACTTCAGGAGATGCAGTCTGATGGTAGCCGGTGACCAATAATTGGTTCATACGCCGTTTGTTCCTTCAGGATACTGGAGCCCATTTGCACCAATGGTTTGGAATGAGGGTTTTCCAACTCTCGTAGGTGGACTCTCCCTGTCAACCAACCCGGTTAAAGCGTCGGACATTCACTTTTCATTCTCTCAATTTTCACACTTATTCTGGACGTCGCCAGCATTATTTATTGTCATTGTTACTTACGCCCGAAACAGTGATCTATGCTTTTTATATGGATTTATAAGAATTTGTGTAGATTTCTAACACAATTCGAGCAAAGAATTCGCAAACTTTTTCTTCTATCATTTTGTTGTAATGTGATTATTTCAGTTTTGTGAGAATTTCCAATGCCATTATTAACACAACCAAGTCTTTGTCGCTTGCGACAGTTCTTTTAAACTTAAGTTCAGTCAGCTATTTTTAATGTTATGACCTCAGATAGGTATATATCTGTTTAATTGATATAAATGAAATCGAGTATTGGTAATTGATTGAACACCACAACTTAATATTAAGAGAAATAAAGAAGACAAATACAACTGTTCCAATGTAATCAATTCTTAGGTCATTTCATTGGTGACCTGATGGTTAAGGCGTTCGATTTTCGAACACTAAGTCTGATGTTCGAACACCACTCTACCTACTTCGGTTTGAGCAACCGGATAGTATCATTAATCCTCAAGTATCTGGTCGATGAGTTAGTAAATAAAAGATAAATCCAATTTTTGCCAATGTGCATCATATTTATGCTGAATCCTACGGAACTGGCGTTGTTCATAACTGATTAGTTGTTACTTTTTTTCCCTTCATTTTCTTTATAGCGTTATTTACGAAGAGTATCATCATCTAGACTACTGTATAATCGATATAGATTAGAATCTTCTAATTTATTAAATCAACCAGTTAACTCAATATTACCATCCTCCACGTCATCAACACCAACATTGTCTGTACGAGGCAGAGGTCGGGGTCGAGGTGGTAAACGAGGTAGACCACGAATACACTTCCCTCGTACTTATGAATCTACTGGTACAAGTTGGGGTAATTATCTATCTGAAGAAGATAGACAAGAAAGTTTATTACAACTAGGTAATTTATTAAATGATCTTCACTCACCACAAAAATCTAAACATGTCTGTGTAACTATACCACAAGAATTATGTTTAAATACTGAAATTATTCTTACTAATGGTGATACAACAACAGCAATATTAAAAGATGATGGATTAGAAGAAGATGAAGAAGAACTCCTGTCTCATATTGATGAAGATAATTCTGTTAATGATAACGATGGACATCATTATGATTATTCAGTATGTGTAAAATTTGTTAATTTAAAAATTTATTTCGATGACTTGTTTTTTCTTCATACTTTTTTAAATGCTCGTATCAGTTAGTCAGTCAGTAACAACGTGTTAGCAAGACATAGATTGGAGTAAAACACATTCCATGTAATATTGTATTGATGAACACTGATTGGCTATTTCTTATCCAGTCAGCGCTAGTCGATACTAGAAGAAGACTATAGAATCTTCTAATGTAAAAACCATAAATATACTCTCTATCCTTGCTGCTACCTTGAAGTGGTGGTTGGGCTTGCTTATCGTGATGAACCAATCGAGCTATACTGGCTGGAACAATCATTCCTCAAGATCCTACCATGCCAGACAGGTCGGTTGAAGAGCGGTAAGACTAAAAGCAGCAAACCCAAGGTCTGAGGACGAAGTCGTACTGCTGACTTTTCAAGGGTCTTCGGAGGTAAGGTTTCAACAAATACGGACCTAACACGAAAATTATTCACAAAAAGGCCATGTGTAACTAACCTCAAGCAGTTGTCCCTTGAGCACTGCGGTTACGCTCTCAGGTCACTAAGATCACCTCTAACCCATTTTCCTTCTCAGGTATCTTCAGAAGAACCCTTCCACGGTGTGAGCAACTGGGAAGTGATAACTGCCCTCATTCCTCTAACAGTACTCAAGGTTACTGTATTCACAATCGATCTCCCTCTATAAATATACTAACGTTCGACTGTATTCTCATTTAGGTAATTGTCGAGTGAATTGATGTCCAAGAATATTACTAAGCAATAGGGATAGCTAGATAGTAGTAGTAATAAGAGAAATTATAACACTTTGTTATTTTTTTTCTCTTTTAAGACTAACATCAAGTTTCCTAGGTAAAATGTACTGTAGAGTTTCAACTGTAACAAGATAAGTTCTTGTTTTGTCATGAGTTATACATCCTTATAATATTTCTCTTTTTTCTTTCTTTCAATTTATCCAATATAGGGTTTGTCATTGAAGAACAACCATGTAGATGTTATGCAATAGTAGAAGTAATAATAATAATAATAATAATAATCATAATTTGATGTATATATTATTATGTGTAAATGTGTGTGTACCCTTATATGAGAGTAGAGAACATAAAATGTCTATTATTTTGTTCTCAGCAACAGTTGATATTTCATGACTGCTTTTTATCCATTTGTTCCATCTTTTTTTCTTTTTAAAGCAAAAATAGGATTCTCTTTGTTGTTGTTCTTCTTCTTGTTTTTTTGTTGGTTCATTATTTATGTTCTGCCACAATTCACATTAAGTAAATTTTCTTTTTGTGTGTGTAATGATTTTCAATTGTTCAACAATGGATTGTCTTATTCTTTATGTATATTCATATTAATATACTATCAGGATGTGTATGTGTCGTATGGTAAATGTATGTGTTTCTGTCTTTCCTCTTCCTCTTCTTCTTCTTCATCTTCATTTTATGTACATATTTCTCCTTCTCAATGTATGTCGTTTAATCTTTATTTTTTTACATTTTAAAAAGAGAATTAGTAAATAAAGAACAAAAAGAAAATAATTAATGTTTTATGTATAAATTACTTATGCTAACATATGAACACATAAGTATTGGTACAAAAGGGTACCGAATACATATACGCTATACAAGTCCATTTGATTTGTTAGTGGGCTGTGATACTGTCCGGATGCTCAGACTGAAACAGGTGGTTTTCTTAGGAGGCTATACCTCGAGCCATCAACCTGAAGGTCTGATTTACAAAGTAGTGGAGCAGCGTAAGTAGATGTCTGTTGCTAGCTGGTGGCCAATAATAGGTTCATACGCCGTTTGTTTCTTCAGGATACTGGAGCCCATCTACACTATTGGTTTGGAATGAGGGTATTCCAACTCTCCTAGATGGACCTTTCGTGTCCACGAGATGTTTTCAATAATAAAAATGGGTCATAATGAGTTCAATGTTGAATAATTTTACGATATTTAAATTATTTAGCAACAATAATGATATAGGATTCATTCGGGAATATTTGTTCATCATTCACATAGTACAGATTAGAAAGTTATTAGAAAAAGTGAGAAATAATGGAATATATCTAGCTAACCTATTTTTTAACTGTGTAAGTATTATCAGAAAGGGGGGTTTTGTGGAGATTGTAGTAATTTAATAGTTGAAATCATGAGTCGATTAAAGCCGGACCACCATGTAAAGCCTGGAAGCTCTGGACGGCTGTTTCGTGCTAGTATGGGACTCCTAAGCCCTGCTACTATAATATTCACAAAACCCACTTTCTGATAATAATTTTCATGTGGTCATTAGTGAGTTTTGAGTAATTTATACTGTCTAGACATCGACACCGTTGGATGCCAGCTCAGAAGTTTAGCGACCGTAAATCCTGGGTTCGAATCTCACGGAGCGGGACTGTGGATGCGCGCTTCTAAGGAGTCTTTCGGTAGGACAAAACGGCTATCTGGTGCTACCAGATTCTTCACGGTGGTCAAGCTTCATTCGACGTATTGTAGTAAAATTATCCTGAGTTAGATTTGTTTTAACTATTTGTATTAAGCGATTAGTATACTCACTTTGTTATGATCCATGTAAATCGTGGCACAAATATATATATATATATATATATATATATATATATATATATATATATATAAAATCGTGGGATTCACATAGTCTTCACCTTCCTACAAGTATCATGAAGTGATGTCACTTTTCGTTTCTGACCATAGCTAGCTTACCTCCAACTTACTCTTATTCCACGCGACATCGAGATTTACGGTGGTTAGCCATATTTAGCACGTGTCACGCACCCACACATAGTTTTGAGAGCTTATAATTTACTGTGGAGCTAAATAGTGCAAAATTCAAGTCAAACCATCACAAAAGTGACTGACATGCATTCTTCTTGGTATGTGCTTTATACTAAATGTAGACGATCGTGATGGGATTCGTGGATCGAATGTATTTTACGATGCATGACAGTATTAGAATCGCTAAATCCACTGCAAACCTTTGCTGAAAAAGATAAATTGCAGCTAACAACCATCGAATAAATTTCATATTTACTTTTTAATCTCCATATGTCACAAACAGTTGGGTAATTTGTTGCCGCACCACATATTTTGTGCTGTAATCAAACATAGGGAACTGAGTAGTGATTGTTATGTTTCCGCAATATTGAGACTTCAAATGAATTCTAACATAGCGGCAAATTAACTGGTATTTCATTGCCACATTCTGCAAATTCAGTCAGAAATCACAAAAATTAATTCTTTGTTAGCTACGGTTCCCACAAACCCATTTTAGGGTTTCTACTTCGGAATTTGAAAGCTGCTTTAATTGTATGACTATAAGAGAACAGTTATCTACTTCACTCATCTACCCAAGATTGGTGTTCCAACTACCATCTTCAAGTGCATAGCTCGATATTACTCTTTCAGATATACTTGTTAAGTGGCAAACGAAATAAGAAGTGCATTGCCATTTATGCAATATGGAAGGGTAATTTTATTCCTCACGATAGGTATAGATGTGTGATTAGTGAGTATGTTCTCCCAAAGAAACACGACCAAGAAAGATCATTTAAAAAGTGTCACTGAACTACAATATACAAATACTCAAGCCGTTATTATACGTTTGTCGGGGAAATGTGGTCGATTAGTTTCGTGACCACCTGTTTTACAATGGAACTGTATATAGTTCGAGTCACTATAGAGACACCAATTTGTCGAAATTCTAGTAAATGGATAGTGAGACAGCTTTTGAGTTGCATCACACAAATTATTGATTCTATATTCTTTTAATCTTTTTGATTTCAGTCACAAAGTTTGCAACATTGATTAATAGAATTTATTACAATAGTCAATGACTTCATAAGCATATGCTGCAGTATCTTAAAATAACAGTTTGGAATATACTTCCAGTCTACCTATTCTTATGCATAATGTATCGAGATTAGAAGCGTTTATATATGCTAAATACAAGAAGCAATCACCTGAACACATGAAAGTCCGTAGCTCCATCAACCGCTTCACTATCTGTACTTATTACTTTGTATTTAATATTAGGCACTAATCATTCGATAATTCTGTTATGTACTGGTGTTATGCTTCAAAAGTGTCTGGGGAAAAATAAGATTAACAATCAAACATAAGTCTATCTACGATGGGGCATTTTTCACATTCATCAAGTAGTGTATAATATCATTACATTGTGTTTAAGTACACATTCAGTGTAGAATATGGATTTATTTTTCTGGATCATATTGCATGACGTTAGGGACTACTGGTTTATTTTTTTCAAGAAAAAGTTGTGATCACCAAGGTGGCCGGACGGAGTCTTGTCAGTTCATATAACAATAATAAAGTCGACCTTAGCTGTGAGGACAACCCCGAGGTAAACTCAAGGAAGTTCAGAACGAGCCGAAGACATTCTATACAATTATTTTTTTGAAGAACATTCCCGAATCTCAATGTGTACCTTCCCTATTGAACAAATGCTAAAAAGCACTATATACGGATTGGATGACTGTAATGATGATTTCGTTTTTATTGAAAAACCATAAATACTTGAGTGTTTTGTACCATAATTGACATTGTTCGGAATAAAATTCCCTCTCATTCGTCTTCTGTCTTCTAACTTGAGACTTGAAGGGTTCTAGTGTTCGAGTACTCAAGTAGTACGCAAGAATATAACAGTTAGTCAGTTACAACATAAGATCAGGCACATATATGCATCAGTCCAAGATGCCAACACCTCATTAGCACAACAACATGAACACTGAATTCATAGCAGTAGTTAGTTCAATGGTAGTAATATATAAAAGATTGTATATAAGGTTATATTACAGGAAGGAAGAATTAGTACGTAGAAAGAAAGATATGAAGCGATTTTAATCTCATAGTTTAAAGGAAGATAGAAAGTGTATACACCTACACACCATTGTGATCGATTCTCAGCCATGTCACACAAAGTCTCCAACCATCGGTTACAATAGTCATGCGGACCCCAACCAAGTAGTCTGCATCTATCAATATGGTTAAGATTAGAAGTTAACAAAGAACGAACAAGATGATACAATAGAACGTATATGTATTTATCAAAAGAGAAAAAATTTACAGATAAAAAAGGAAGTCCGTTAAAATAAAAATCTTTAAAATCATTCTAAACAACAATCATATAAAAATAAATACATAGTCATTATGTATCTAACCAATGTACAATAGAATGTTTATGCAGTTCATTAGTTGAATAAAATGAATAGTTATCATTATTTAATTGATCTATAGTAGGACATGTTTGTATAGATTTAGGACCAAAATGATATAAACAACCTGTTTGAACAGTTACATATAAACCTTGACATAAAATTTCACCTAAATCTTTTGAATTTGTATGATAATTCACATTATTATTATTATTATTATTATTATTATTATTATTATTATTATTATTATTAGTAGTAGTAGTAGTAGTAGTAGTAGTAGTAGTAGTAGTAGTAGTAGTAGTATTCAACAATGGTCCGAAGCAAACTGATGTTATACGTGCATTTTCATCATTATCTGGGAGCTGTTAAAGGCAACAAAAAACAAACAAACAAACGACAATTCATAATAACATTAGAGTTCAGTTCATAGTTAATTATTGTTTAGAGTGTATACCACAATATCAACCATGTTATTAATTGAAAGTTGTTGTTTCATCATTAGTTGTATAAACGTTGGTAACACCCAGCAAATGCCCTGGTATTACCGAGAGTGGGGAGAGTCAGCTTTCCCTCTCAAAATACTCTCATATGGCCACGTGCATACAGCCACTGACAGGGAAGTCCTACTCACTTAATTCTCGCGGTGACGGTGTTGTTTACGAAATTCAGAAGACGAAAAGCGAATATCTGGCGCTTTAACCGGCTTGGTGGATACGGAGGAAAACCCTGATTTCGAACCAATGCTTTACATGGACTCCAGAATTCTGAGGGAACAAATGACGTATGAACCAACAGTTGATCACCGGCTATCATGAGACTGTATCTCCTTACGTTGCTCCACTGCGTTGTGGATTAGACCTCTGGGTCAAAAGCTTCGGTCTGGGGACTCGGACAATATATCACAGCCCACACACAAATCAAGTGACTTGTGTGACGCATATGTATTCGGCGCCCCTTTGTACCAATATTTATACGTTCAAATAAATAAATAAATAAATAAAAACTCCATTAAATATGGAATCTAGGATCTCTAAATTTCATGGCAAGTGTTCATCCTAATTTTCGAATGATTCATCATACATTTTAATGATAAGAAGAAATAGTTACTCAATTCGATTGATTCTTTTGAAACCATATTTCTTATAATTAATTTTCCACTAATAATAATTAATGTTATTATTGTTATCTTTTATGTACGGTATTTCATTTTGCCGATTTCCTCTTTAACGGTATTAATCTGACGTGTTACATATGACCAAGCACCGAACTACTGTTTGTCCGATCACCACACTATGCTTGTGTGCACGACAGGCAGGCAGATGGCAGTGAGCACACACACACAGGATACTCAGCCAAATGAGACACTTATCAAAAACCTGAGGTTGATGTTGTGTACTGTGCTCCAGAAGAGGCTCGAACTCTCAACCTCCGCGTTATAAGTACGGCGCTCTAACCAATTAAGCTATATCCAACCTTGATACGCACACATTTCTGTTATATCCTACATTGCCTTCCTTGTTTTCAGTGACACCTTAAATGAAACTAATCTGTGACAAACATACCCAACTGTCCTGGGAAATATTTATTTATAATATGTTTTATCAGAAAGGGTTTTGTGGAGATTGTGGTAATTCCAATAGTTGAAATCACGAGTCAATTGAGGCTAGACTACTATGGAAAACCTGGATGCACTGGACGGTGTTTTCGTCCTAGTATGGGACTCGGCAGTGCGCATCCACGATACCGTACCCCGCGAGGTTCGAAACAAGGAACTATCAGTCTCACGCGCGAGCACTTAACCACTAAATCACTGAGTCGGACGGCATCCAATGGTGTTACGTCTAACTTCAATCAATCCACGAAATTCAGCGACACATCCACCATTATCTTCAGTTGGTTACTATCTCACAAATGACCCGGTTGAACTCCACTGGTCACTGCTTCTCACTAGAACTCCAGGGAATACCTCTTGAAGCCAGTCACTAGTGAGCATATGTTGATGGTTATCAGAAGGGGTTTTGTAAAGATTGTAGTAATTTCGCTCGAACCCGGGGGGGGATCGCAGATGTGCACTGATGAGGAGTCTCACAATAGGACGAGCAGATGATTATTATCAGGAGGGGTTTTGTGGAGATTTTAGTAATTTTAATAATTAAAATCATGTCAGTTGTGAGATATCAGCTCACTGAAGACAATGGTGACGGTGGCGCAATTTCATGGATTGGTTGAAGTTAGACATTAACACCGTCGGTTGCCGGGTCAGTGGCCTAGAGGTTAAGCGCTCGCGCGCGAGACTGATAGGTCCTGGGTTCGAATCTCGCGGGGGCGGGATCGTGGATGAGCACTGCTGAGGAGTCCCACAATAGGACGAAACGGTCGTTCAGTGTTTCCAGGTTTTCTATGATGGTTTAGTTCCAATCAACTATCAAAGTACTGTAATATTGACAAAAACACCCCTTTCTGATATTAATAAAATATCCGTTGAAATAGACAAAAAAATATTCAAGGAATCAATAAATATTCTAATGATTAATTTAATTAGAAGATCGATAATTTTGTACATAGACACAGGTCAATAGGTTGAAAAAAATGACTGTAACTGTGGTAACGTTTGAATGAATAGTTTTCATTTAATTACTCTGTGAAATAGATCAATGTCCTAATCAAATCTAAATTTGTTTAGAAGCAATCGAACTGTATTTGAGACATCATTAGTAGTTGATTAAGTTCCAACACACTTCGTTCAGTTTGTACAGCGTTCTGTTGGCTATATATGGATTAACATTAGGACCATGTTTTAGTTCAGCCTTCTTTTTGATATCAATCAATATTGGACAATAATACAGAAGCCCGGGCTAGGAACACCTTGTAGATCGTAAATCACTATTTGTTTCTTATAGATGAATTAAAATCGATGCTTTAACTTTTGAATTTCAAAGTACGGGTTGTCTTTATTGTCAATGATGGGATTTAGAATCGTCTCAGACTGATACTACCAGTAGACGAAGTTAATAGTTTTACTTTAAAGTATATGAGAGAATAGATAATTGTTGATGGAGTACCAAAATCTTCCTCGTCAAAGTCTTCAGAGGCTCAGAAACTCTAATAAACGTCTTATTCAATCCGCGTTGATTAGAAACTTCTCAAAAAAAACCTCAGAAAGTACAGAACTACGTCTCACGGTTTTGATTGAATATTCACCTATACTGTTAATATATTTGTTATGGTTCCAGAAATTTCCGGGATCTCAAGGTCGTATATTACTCTATAAATACTCCTGTTTTTTTCTGTACATAAACTAACTTTGGAGTAAAATGTTTACTTGCAATTGGCACCTTCTCTCCGTTGTTCCGGTCGAAGTGTGGAAATACTTGACATTATGGCAGACCAGTTAACAAGACAGGTTGAGTGTATCGGTAGCAAGATTTAACAATAATGTTATGGTTGATTAGTGAACAAGCTATAAATATACATGAGGAATTTTGGAAAAATAAATGATCAGTTCTTTGCCATAGAGGACTAGATACTGCATCACTCAATGGAGGGGCTTGGAACTTCATGAATAGGAAAAGAGTTACATCAGTTCTACATGACATGAAACTGATTTCTCTTTGTAATTGATAACTAGACTTCGCATATTGCTGCACATAGAAGTAATCACGACTAGGTAATTTTTAATTAATATCATGAGTGATCTAAGTTTGAAGGAGTATGCATAGTATTTATTTAATGGTAATGTTCAAACAAATAGAAATCTTATTCATTGAGATCTTCAACTGATTGACGTTAGACCACCATTGAAAACCTGGAAGCACTAGACGGCCGTCTCGTGCTATTGTGGGACTCCTCAAAAGTGTGAATCCGCGATCCTGCTCGTAGGATTCGAACCAAGGGCCTTCAGTATCGCTCGCAAACGCTTAACCTCTAGACGACTGAGCTGACCGGTATCCAACGGTGTTAGTGCCTAACCTCAACCAATCCACGAAATTGCGTGAGCATTTCCCATTGTACTGAAGTAGATATTTTGTCTATCCGACACGGATTAGCTCCACTGGTCGTGGATGAGCACCGCAGAAGAGTTCCGCAACAGGAAGAAAAGGACATCCAGTGCTTCCAGGTTTTTAATGATGGTCTAACATCAATCAGTTCAAGATCTCAACCAATAACTTAATAATCTCCACAACCCTATACTGAAAATAGAAATCTAACATAAAAAGTAATTAAAAAATTGGATCACAGAAATTTGAATGAATCTAATCCACATATATAAACACTTACCATATATGTTCTTATTGTATCCAATGTCCATGAATTTAACCAAACTAATCGACCACCTGGACCACCAACTAATAAACAATTCACACCTCGACCTTCAGATACAGTTGAAAATGCCATAGGAACTAAAGGATGATAATTATCATCATAGATTTGTAATAAAAGTGAATCTATTAATGGATCATTGATTTCAGCTAGAAAATCTAAAATACGATTAGCTATCCAAACTCCAGAACAAGAATATAAACCAAGCCAACAGACTGAAATTTAAAAAAAATTTTATTAATAGAAATGAACAAAAAAAGGAATCAGTGAATAGTGCATAGTGATTCATTATTAGCACTAAATGAATGTATGATGTTATCTGTCATTCAGTTCAATGACAGATTAATGCTACTAATGTTTGATTGATATATTTTATGGAATGGGAAAATGAATTTGCAAATGAATAATGCTTGTGAGAAATATGTTCTGATAAATGGTTCATCTAACAATTTAATAGTTGAATTCATAACTCAATTAAAACTAGACCACCATGGAAAACCGGGAAACATTGGACGGCCGAATTCTCTTAGTATGGGACTCTTCAGTAGTGCATATCCATGATCTCGCCCCCTGGGGTTGGAAACCAGGATCTATCGGTCTCGCGCGCAAAATTTTGCCACCGTTTACCGTTCATATAATCTTTACAATGAACATATGAGTACTAATTTATCTACGGAACAATAACCTGACTGTTCATCATAGCTTGTTTTTAATCACTTTATCACAAAATTATATCATATTATAAGAGATATCTAGTTCTACACAATTCGCTTAGTGTATCATCAGTGGATATTTGATCGGAAATTTTTATTAAAACTTAATTTAAACAGAAGTATAGAATTACAATTTATATCGAACTTTTGTCTATGATAATTATTATTCAAATTCATCAACCCTGTATAAGTTTAAATACTTGGTTATGTCATGATTTATACTTTCTATGTGTTAGCTAGTTGATACGAATTCATCTGTACAAAATAAATTAAATGGAGTGGAGTTCCAAGTCCTAGCTTGGAATCCTGAAGAGAAATGGAAAAGAAGAAAGCCAAAGAACATGAACAGGATGAATAACAACTGGAAAGAGCTAGAAAGGATTGCCTAGGACAGGGTTAGATGGAGAGTGCTGGTTGGCGGCCTATGCTCCTCCACGATGAGTAACAGGCGTAAGTAATTAAGTAAGAGTTCCAGCCTGAGATTGAATGGTTGAAAGTTAAATAATATTAGCAACCATGGTTCAATTGATCCAGTAGTCAGATAAATATTAGTTTACCTTTTAAATAGAAACCAATTGATGATCATGTCATTAACCAGCAAAAAATGAGTCAATTTAGTCCATAATCAATTTATATGCTAATTAATCACAAGGATGACATTTATTTATAACACTTTAATGACTTGGATAGAGTTTTGTTCTCTAAGCTGGATGGTTTGGTCGTAGAGCTTTCATCGTCTACCTGAAGTGTTTGCTGATGATATCATTCAGAAGAACGAGAAAAGCTCCACGACCAAAACCATCCAGCTTAAAGAACAAAACTCCATCAAAATCATCCACCTGAGCTACAAAATTTCTCTACTTTAATGACTTAAAATTAAGGAAAACTTTGTCAAGATATGTATGTCATTTGAAAAAAAAAGCTAAACTTTAGTTCATTTTTATCGGTTGGTTAAATTTTCTCAGTGATTATTAGGACTGTAATTGGTTAGTCACTTATTGGTATACGTACATCTTATATGGATTCCATCGATGCAGCCGTTTGTACACAAACATTTTAAACCGAGTTGACTGGTGTCTAGCAGTGGAATCTATAACGCACGTTTCTTCTTACTTGGAAATTATTAATAAAGAAGATTCAAGCAATCAATACAAATGAACTAAGAATCACTCCCATCAAACAAGGCAGTAGCGATTTGGACTCAGTAGGTAAGTGGATAAAGTGTCGTTGTTTGAAGCAAAAGGTACTTATTTACAGTTCCGGGGTGGACATCAACTCTGGGGTGCAAGTAAATCCGGCTGATGAGTCTCAAATAGGACAAAACATGAGTCCTGGATTCCACTACTAAGGACCACCCATCTTTGCTTAAAATCTACCAAACTTTAGTGGAATTTCAACGAGGTCATATACTGAATGGTTTATACAGGTAAATCTTAAAACATATTATTATCATCAAAGTTACATGATCGAAGAAAATTGATTAATTGGACCATTATTCAGTTTCATAGTCAGAAATATGAATAATGAAACTATCATGAAAAGCGACAGAAACTGTTGTGGAATTGGAAGAACGTAAATTTGTAAATGCCTGACCAATGTCATGTTTTTCGAGCCGTTTTTAGTGTTGCATGAACACCATTTGGCTGTTAAACGCCATGACATATCTTCGCTTCAATCAATTCATGTGGAAAATTGCGCACACACTTTTCGTCGTTTTAATTTCGTAAACAGCAGTAATACCTTGAGAAGACAATGAGCAGGACGTCCCTGTTAGTGGTTGTATGCACGTGGCTATGTGAGAGCATTTCGAGAGGGAGAGCGGATTCTCTCCACTCTCGGCCGTACCAGGGCATTTGGGGGCACACAGAAGGCATACAGTAATGAAATAACAAATAATCATCAGTTACCATAAACAAAATGTTATGGAATCTCAAATAACAGGATGTTTAGTAAAATAATAATAATAATAATAATAAAACGAACAAGTAAATATCGGATTGTTAATTACCATTAAAATTAGGATGATTCCATTTGGCTACAACTAATTCACCGGATGTTAAATTGAAGCATATTCCATCAATACGTTTAAAATTATTCAATAATACTGAATCATCATTGATATTTATAAACTCAGCTGTTGAAGTACTACTGCTACTACTACTACTACTACTACTTAAAATAGACTTCTTTTTCTTCATTTGTATATCTTCATTACTTTTATGTATGGAATTCTCCACAGTAAGATGATTAGAGGAATATCGTCTACGGGGTTGTTTCAAATCATGAATGCTATGGTAATCCTGACCGGTATTAGTAGTAGTGATACTATGACTTTGACTACTATTTGAACTATCACCGAATTCATTTTGTTGATAATCATGATCATTAATAATATTAGTATTAATTGTTTTAATTAATGTTAAACGATATCTATCCCATAAACATACATAACCTTGATTATCACCACTAGCAATTAAACTATTATTACGATTAATTACTAAACTAGTGATTTCATGTCCAGCATGACCATATAATTGTTTCCAACCGGTAATTTCCCATAAACCAGCGGTTTCTTTATTATTATTATTCTCATCATGAATAGAATGATTAAGAGTTTGAGTAGGATTCATCGGGGTAGTAGTAGTAGTAATAGTCAGTTTTGAATGTTTCATGTTTCGTTTTGTTGATTCTTTTCTTGATCGTTTATGAATATTTGCTGTACAATTTGGTTTATCTTCATTTAATGATGATTCTCCTTGATAATCCTGTTATGAGGAAAAGAAAAATGAAGACTGTTTTTTTGATGTGGTTATATACATGAAAAAAGGATGAATAACATACAGACTGAGAGATATTATTTACAGAACTATTAAGAAAGTAAAGAGAACTAAACAATATTTATAATGAGCAAAAATAGATAGTGGCTAGCAGTGGAATCCAGGACGTGCGTTTCCTCCTATTTGGGACTTGTCGGCTGGATGTACCTGCATCTCAGAGTTGATTTTCGCTCTGAGACTCGAACCTAGTACTGTTCTCTTCAACCGCCATCACATTATCCACTTAGCTACTGAGTCCTGATAACCACTTGCTTGTGCAATGGGGTGAAGTTTAATTCACTTGGCATTGTTTTACTTGAATCTTCCCATTGATGTTTAGGACTGAAATTGATCAGTCTCTTATTGGTATATGTGCATACTGTGTGTATTGACTTTATATTGCTTTAATCCATAAGCACTATAAGCAAAGATGTGTAATAGGACTCGTCATCTAGATGTATCTGCATCTCAGAGTGGATGTTCACTCTGGGACTCAAACTCAGTACTGTTTGCTCCAAACACCATCGCGCTATCTACATAACTACTGATTAATAAATAGAAAAACAATACCAAGTGAATTCAACATTTATAATGATTCTAGGAGTTGATTTAATGATTTAGAGGTTAAATTAATTAACCGTTAACAAATACCTTGTAGGATCAAACTCCGCTTTATCTAATACAAGTGAGGAATGGCGTTACACTAACCAGAATACAAACAATATAGCTTATATTTGGATTACATAATTCTATACTTGGTGAATTATTTACAAAATATGTTCAAATTTATTATTCTGATTAGGGCTATCAAATAATACATTAATATAGAATAATTAGCAGGTGCATCCACTCTTTGTGTTCTACCAAATTTATTTCACTAGATTATACTCCTTGAATAACAACTTCAAACCTTAGTCTTTCCGATTACTGCTTATACTTTTACAAACTCTACGACTATGGGATTTGAATCGACAATTGTATCTGTGTGTTAGTGTGATATGGCAACTTGAACTGATGTACGTGCGTATGTGCGAAGTTCTACGTTGTTGACTGACTGACTGACTGATAGAATAATTAAAAGTCACAGATATGAAGAAATTTGTAAGGATTTTTTGTAAAGTTCATCATTTATTGAAAAAGTGAATAAACATATAGAATACATGGATACAAGGATCTTATAAATGAATTATATATTAGATATTAATTCTCAGTTTAGGGGTTGTGGAGATTGTCAAGTTTTTGATTGAAATCATGAGTCAATTGAAGCTAGTCCAATGCTTCCAGGTTTTCCATGGTGGTCTAGCTTCAACTGACTCATGATTTCAATCAAAAAAGATATTAATTCATTGGTTTGAAAGTCTTGGCCTCAACTTCTGGAAGGATCAAGTGAGTACACTGTTAATCCATAATAACATGAAACAGATAGCCAACACTATGGTTCTTCATAGCTGGCTAGCTGAAGTCAGTTCATGAAGCAAACGATCTTTGAAAATCAGATATTTCTTAAAACAAGTACGTTTATTAACATTGATCTATGAATTCACTGGTTGTGTATTGAGGTTAATTGTATTGTTTGTTGATTTGGAGTGAACTAATGGTGAGGCGTGTGAAAAAGTTTAATAACTGTTTGATAAAAGAATTAATTTTCAGGTGCATGACAAACGTCCACTACCGATTTAACAATAAACACTATAAACCATTAGATGGTGTAGCTATGGGATCAACACTGAGTTCTCTCCGGGCAAACATTGTGTTTGCAAAGTAATAATTAACATTCATCTATCAACTACATTTACGCTTGAGAAAGAACAGAGTAATAGCATATCATTTCTAGATGTCCAATTAACAAAAAAGATTAAGCAAAACATAAAAGAGAGGGATAAGTAACGAAATCCCAAATTTCACGATAGACATAGCTCTACAGTTCCGCAAAAGAAACTCAGTAAAAATCCTGACTTGTTGTGGCAAAATGATTTGCTTTCATGACGCTATTGAAGATGAATTGAATAATATTCGTAACCTTATTGGAAGGAATAGATATAGAGCTAAATTCGTCAACAAACACGTCGACGAAATAAAAATTAGACTAAAGGCAACGACTGTTCCGAAGAAGTTACTGTTTTTGAAGCTGCATTTCAAAAATGAATCTAACGATGAAATCATCATATGTAACTCAGAATCTGACACATGTACATCGGTCCAAGTTGTCATATCATATTAGTACAACTCGATAAAGTTATTTCAAGACGATTCAGAGCCACCTCATTTGAAGTTTCTAACCACTGGTTACGATAATCACTCAGACACCAACCAGGTAGTCTACACTTATTAACATGGACAAGTCCAATTGTCAACGACTTAATAAATAGGTGCCACGTCGTGGTTTGGTCGCCCCCAGCCTTCTTCAATCTACCTCTACATCAGACAACGTTGTCCATCGACGTGTGGGGTGGTTGGGCACACGAGGCACATGTCTTAATCCCTCCAAGTAATGAGGATTTACTAACTCATCAATAAAAACATTGAAACAAAGGTTCAAAAAAGCTATGCGAGAAACGTTTATTGAACCGAAACTGAATGTGGTTTCAAATGATTTTCTGAAGATTCGTTTGTTTAACTTTCATCAGTTCATGATTACATTGAAATTCAACAGAAACAAAACCTTATATAAACATTCACGTGCACTTATCGATTCAATTACTCCTGCGAAGCCAGTTGTATTAGGCGCATAACTCAACAACTCCGTCAATGCACATAAGAACACTATCCGTGTCGGTTGAGTTAAGGACAACTGAGGTTGATCAGGAGTTCGATTAGTGAAACTACAATTTATGGATGACATTTGAGCGATGCCCAAGTGACATTGAGAGTGTCTACCTATTTATTAGGGCTAAATGAGGGTTATAAAGAAGTCTGAAGAATAATGATTACGATACACAGTTGATGGTTAGGGTCAGCAGACCCTATTACACCACTACTCAATCAGAATGATTTTCATTGGAATCAGGAACTGATTTAAGTCAGGTTACCATCGACAACTTGGAAGCACTGGACGGCCGATTCGTCGCAGTGTGGGGACCGCTGTCAGCGGTGCGCACCCACGATCCTGCACGCTGGACTTGAATCCAGCACCTACAGTCTCATGCGCGAACGTTTAATCCCTACATTACTCAGTCGGCAATCAATCCATGACATTACGCGACCATCTTCCATTGATTTCGGTGGGAACCGTCTCACACCCGACACGGGTTAGCTCAATTAGTAACAGCTTCTTACTAGAATTATTTCATTGTTGTAAATTATATACATCTTTTCACTAGATTACATTGTCGATACTGAGATACGACTATTGTGTACATCTTCAGTAATCAATTTTTCTCTTGTTGTTCCAGCTATTTCTTTTATCTCAAACTTTTAACCGTGATCTAACCTTTGATACTTTTGTTGGGCATAGATCAAGCTTCACTTTATGTATCAATTATGTGCGAAATTCGTTTAATATAGCGTTTATTTATGTTCTTAAAATTTCCATTATGTAATAATTTGGTATAACATTTATTAAAGTTCGAGTTATTCAAAGTACATCTGTATGTAAATGATCATATTGAAATGTGATTTAAAAAATTCTATTCTTGATCTGGTTGGAATTTCTTTAGAAAGATATTTTTTTTGCAGGACGAGGTGGCCAACTCCGACTAAATGCCCTGATACGGTCGAGAGTGGAGAGAATCCGCTCTCCCTCTCGAAATGCTTTCACATAGCCACGTCCATACAACCACTAACAGGGAAGTTTTCTCGAGGTATTACTGCTGTTTATGAAATTAAAAGGACGAAAAGCGAATGTCCGGCACTTTAACCGGGTCAGTTGACACGGGGAGTTCATCTACGAGAGCTCAAAAAACCTGATTCCAAACCATTGGTGCACATGAGCTCCCGTATCCTGAAGGAACAAATGGCGTATGAACCAATTACTGGTCACCGGCTACCATGGGACTGCATCTCCTCACGATGCCCCACTGCCTTGTATATCAAACCTTTAGGTCAAAGGCTCAGGGTGTGACCCCCTAAGAAAACCAACTGTTTCGGTCTGAGCACCCAGGCAGTATCACGGCCCTCACACAAATCAAATGAGATTTGTATGGCGCATATTTATCTGGTGCCCCTTGTACCAGTATTTATGTGTTCAAATAAATAAATAAAAATGACGACTCCATACCCAAACATTTTCCTCCTCTCAGGCTTTGGAACGGCAGTAACTCGAGAAAAGATACAGGCGGAGTTTAGAGCTTTGATAGTCAAACAAATTTCTACTTTTCATAAAATGTTTTCTTTTGTCAAGTGTTGAATTATATCTATTCTATGTCAGTCATGAAAACTAACTTCTAGAGAGAAGTGAGATGATCAAATCAATCTGTTTTCAACCACTAAGTTGTAGGTTACAAATATTCATTCCACACACTTCAGTTTTGAATTTTGTGTTGTAATAGTATTACTAGCTTTAACACAATATTGGTTCAACTGTAAATGAGTGATACTATAGCGTATTCAATATTTTCCATTCCAAATTCCAACTGTCAACTAGTACAAAACTTAAGCGATACTGATTGAAATGACTCAAAATCGTTTGTTATGGCTTGGATTTCTTGGATTTTGTCAGGTGATTTCATCCCTCTGTTCTAATGAGGTATGACAGTTTGAACTGATGTGTATACGTAGCAGATTCTACATTGTGACTGACTGATTAAATGTAAGATACTTATATCAGGTACAAAATTACAATGACTTACTTGTGGTAACCAACTGTCAATGGATGAAATATCATATAAATTTGTAGGCAATTGTCTTACATATATTGATCCAAAACAGGTACCAACAAATAATTGAATACCATGACTTGAACTAGGTGAAATAGCTAATGAAGTAATTAAAGATTTTCCAGTATCGAATGGAAGAGGATTTGAATATGGTAATTGTAAGTTTATCTCATCATTATGTTGATGATGATGACGATGTAGTTCTGATGGAGAGGAATCAGTAGTTCCAAAAGGTTCGTCATAAGGATAATTAGAAGAAGCATTACAAGTACTATATGATTCTTTGGGTAAACGTTTTATAAAAATATTTAAAGTTCTATTGTCTAGTAAAGATGGTTTCAATTTTATTAAATATGGTACAGGATACAATTGATCTTGTAAATTACTAATGTCTAGTAATAACGATACCCATATACATGCATTTGATTCACAGTGAAGAATTTTCCAATACCATGAACAATCAGTATGAACATCTGTTGTGAACGATGATGATGATGACAAGAAACATTCACCTATTTCATGATCAATGTTGAAATCAACCCAACCATTCCAAGAATGATATAATTTATCATTATTTATTGAAGAGATATTGTTAAGTTGATTCATACAATGAAGTAAATGAGTATCTTTCGTATTGAATTCACACCATATAGAACCGGTTAAATGACTAAGAAATGGTATTTTTAATATTTCAGAATGTTCCAGTGAATTCTTTGTACTTCTCGATACTGATAACTTTGTATTGATGAACTGTTTCTTCCAAATTATTTCAAACTATACACATAATAAAAAGTAATAGTTATCATCATAAAAAAACATACAAATAAGGGAAATATTATTTTATTCAGGAAGCGATTTAATTTAAACAACCACTGAAAACCTGGAAACATCGGACTACCGTTTCCTCCTAGTTTGGGACACATGAACAGTACAGATCGACAAACATATAACCGGAAATCAAACTCATGACCTTCGGTTTTGCGTGAAAGCAGAGCACTGACTCGGGTGCTTGAAGTCTGAGCCACGTTGGTAGATGCAGACCACTTGGTTGGGGTCCACGTGACTATCGTAACCAATGGTTGGAAACTCTTGGTGACATGGCTCAGAACCGATCACAATTGCGTCGGTGTATACACTCTCTGTCTTCCCTTAAACTGAGAGATTAAAATCGCTTCATATCTTTCTTTCTATGAACTAATTCTTTCTTCCTGTACTATATCCTTATATGTAATCTTTCTTTTATATATTACCACCACTGAATTAACTACTTTTATTAATCCGGTGTTTATCTTGTTGTGTTAATGAGGTATGGCAACTTGGACCGATGCATATATGTGCCTGGTCCTACGTTGTAGCTGACTTACAATAGTACAAAGGTTTAACTCCAACCTCAGGTTGCAAGGTAGTAGATAAAAACTTCTGAGAAGTCCAACTTTAGGACGAAACGACCTAGTAGTGCTTCCAGGTTTCCAATGGTTGGCTAACTTAGATTGGTTTTTAGTTTCAATATACTTCAATAATCTCTACAACCACTCTAATGCAAATACTACTTATAAGAACGATTTTAGTCAGGGTTGTACGTTTCACCTTATGCGAAAGTGATTAATTGAACAGTGACGCCATTTTAAAGTATAAGAATGTAAAATGAGCTGAAAAATCAATACTTTGTTGATTTTCGAGTCACAAAAATGAGTAAAAAATATACACCCAATTTGAACTTCTACTTCATGTATTGAATACACAAGCTGTATCTATATAGAGTCCATATACAATAATTGTCTAGGTTCATGCTTAACACCCAAATACGTACGGTGACTTGATGCTTACAGAAACCAACTAGTGATAAATAGATTGCACGTTCAAGATTCAATCAGTTTACGAGACATGTTATTCGATGTCATCAGTGATCCATGTCTTACATTTCCAATATAGAATAAACTAATTAAAATCAATTAATCAACCAGCTTTTTTCGTCATCATTTGTGACATCTCAGAAGAGTGAGATAGAATCAACAAAATAAATACCAAGGAAATCAGAATAACAATAGTGTCAATGACTGGATACATCCGTGACACTAACCGATTTCAAACCATTTCATATAAGGTCTTTCAATTATCAATCATGATTACTCTACATTCTCATAAATTCTGTTAGTTTATAGTCTTGTAAATAAGATATTATGTGTTAAATATTTTAATGACTAAGTAGCCTGTAGCTCTCCTATGGTTACTGCCGGTCCCAAACCCGGGTAAAGGAGGAGGGTTGGGCGTTAAGTCAGTATCCCCATCCCGTAGAAAACAACCTTGCTAAAAAATATGCTAACTACTAAGCAAACGTAAGGAGTACGTACTGAGAGGAAATAATATTTAGATACGATCAATTGGTGTGATACTTTATGAATTCAATCAATCAATTGTACACTTACAGAGTTCACCTGTGGACTACCTGCCCATTCACCCCATTTTAATCCAATCACAGTTTCTAATGGTGTGTTGTCCAGTTTAACTGATGAGTATTGCTTTCCACTCACAGAAAACGTTGCCGCTTGTAATGAATTCTTATCGTCATCATTGATATATTTACAGTTAAATAATGCGGGTGTAGAAGAACGTCTATCTCCAACGTCCTCTTGACTCGTCATATTATACATTGTACCAGTGGATTTACTTTTAAATTTTGACGTCATATTCAGTCTGGCTTCATTAGAAATCGGCAATTTACTGAAACAAAGTTTCAAAATAATACAAAACAAATGAAACGAGATTATTAGTAGGACACATAAATGGGCAAATTATCGGATAAAATGGAATTACGCTTGTTAATTCGAAGAACATATTGTCCCGAGAGTCAAAGTCAGCCATGAAAAGAATGAATAGTATTTGATAAAAATCGGAAAGGTGAGACCAGTAAACAATTGGCTGGAGAACATTGGTAGGCACCCTATGGCTCATGAGGGGTAAAATGTGTGAGCAGTAGCAATTAGTACTTTTAATAACACACCGGATGTAGTCAGGAAATATTTTAAATTTGTCAACCAGCAAGCTGAGTAAACTGTGCAATGGTTCGCTCCGTACTGCTTTACAGTTGTGAGGTAAAAGACGCATATTTGTTGCAAGTATTCTTTCATAGCTGTCTATGAAGGCAATGGTCATAAACGGTAGAACCAATGAATGAGCGATCCTGAAGTTATACTTGGTAAAAAACAAAAAATCAATAGATGAGGCTATAGACGGCCATAAACTTAGGTTGGTTAGTAAAGATGTTACACTTCCCTAACCAACACGTACTACAACGGTCAGTGCTGACTGTATTCGTCATAGGTTGGAAAAACCTACAGATAGGCTAGTTAAGACAAAGCGCCAATCCAACTTCTGTTCTAAGTCATGAAGGTGGGTGGGGACTTCTTAGTTCAGACCCAGGCAACATTGGTAATCAATAGTTGGGAAAGTTCGCTGATCTAATGCGAAATCAATTGGTTATCGATTATTATCAAAGCAACTTGACTCGATTTTGGAAACAATGAATTTATTTTCATGGTTACTTGAAAAATATACAACTAAACTCTATCCGATACATAGATGTTAAATAAGAAATTCAATACAATTTGGTTAACAATGGCTGTCATCATATAAACATTCAATTTCTAATCTTTGAAGTCATTGTAGCCAATAGTTAACAAATAAATAATGGGTAATATAAATTTTCTGATAATTAGGAAAATCAGATGTTAACCATATTGATTGTGTCATAATTTTTTCCTTCAAAGCTACGGTTTATATTAGATGAAAAATATGGCAAATTTTTATAAAACTAATATGGTATTTTCTATCACTGAAAGAATGTTACGCAGATAGGCAATTCTTTCTCTATGTAACACATCTACACCGCTACCAGTAGCTCGTACTTCCATAAGAGCTGCGTCCAGACTGCAACCGATAGTAAATTTTAAAGAGGAATGATAAAGTTGAAAAATCCTGTCTCTCTAACTCAAACACTGGATTAGAACAATGGAGAAACATGGTCGGATGCTTTCATTCATCCTAAGTTGCTTGTATATAAAGCTTTTAGGATACTAATAAAATAATTAGGCAGATGTTTCTTCAACAGACAATCAAAGAATGCAGTTCAGTTAAACGTACTAAAAGCGCCCCCTGATACCAAAAGGCACAGAGATTGTCGACTTGTAATCATCTTTAGAAAATTAGATGAGACTAAGTCAGTCAGTCAGCTACAACGTAGGACCAGGCACATATATGCATCGGTTCAAGTTGCCATACCTCATTAACACAACAAGATGAACACCGGATTAATAAAAGTAGTTAATTCAGAGGTGGTAATGTATAAAAGAAAGATTACATATAAGGATATAGTACAGGGAGAAAGAATTAGTTCATAGAAAGAAAGATATGAAGCGATTTTGATCTATTAGTTTAAGGGGAGACAAAAAGTGTATACACCGACGCAATTGTGATCGGTTCTGAGCCATGTCACCAAGAGTTTCCAACCATTGGTTACGATAGTCACGTGGACCCCAATCAAGTAGTCTACATCTCCCAGGTGAGACTAAAGTAAATTGTGTTCAAAAAATTTAGTGTATAATGTTTCTAATCTCAACGACTAGTATTCACTCCTGGCTGACCGATTCTAACTAGCATGAAAAGGAGATTCAGAGAGCCATCTAACATTAGAACATGGTATTTATGATAAAATATTAGATTAAGAATAACACAGCAGTTTGACAAACCTAAGTTACTATCATAGATACTCAATATGCATACTTGATGTGTTTGATTTCTCTTTTTTTTTGACTTACCGACATGGATGAGGATGTTTGTGAAATAATTGTTTCGGTGTTTGACCATAATTATTAATCATACCTTCAATAGCTTGTGCTAAAATAGGATCGTCTATTGTATCCACATTGATTGAGCCAAAATATGTCTAGTAAGTATTGATTAAGAAAACAAAATAATATTCTTTTTTATCGAAAATTATTAATATACTACTAGAACAAAGTAGATAACAACCATTAATTTCATACACATAGTTCTTTTTATAATTTTGAAAAGATCAAGAACAAACATTCTAGTAGAATAGCATGAATTCATTTTTTTTATTTCGTCCGATTCTCGTCAGTTGCTCACAATCTGGGATATTTAAGAATCATAATTACATAATGGGTTTGATTGGAAGTTATATTGAAGACACTTTAGTAGAGTATAGCAAGGGTGTAAATACAACATTGATTGTGACAGTAGTTCAAACGGTCAGACACAAGTCAATAACTAATGTATCAGAAGAGGTTTTGTGGAGATCGCAGTAATTTCAATAGTTCAAATCATGAGTCAATTGAAGCGAAGGAATATTTATCACCAAGGTAAGGAAAGATTAATAACCATGGTTATTTCAAAACAATGCTTAACTTCCTAAGTCACTGGTAATTATAGATGATAGTGATTTGTAATTTAGAAAGATGATATTCATTATTTTGCGTTGTTTATTCTCATGAAATCATTGACGGTCGAACTGATATGTGTAGGTGAATGCAAAATAATCTCAATCAATAGTTAGGAAAGTCGGGTGATATGATTCATAATTGATCTAAATGTCATAGATGTAGTCAGTCTTTGCTTTTTCGTTCAGGTGTTGATTTTCAAAATTATCCTAAACTTTGTTATTCGATGAATTCCTTCTTATTTCTTGGATCATATTGTTTATGTGTAATCTTTTCTTGTACTACTAATGCTAATAGTATTGCTACTATAATCTATGCTACTTATATCGACAGACATAAGTAGTATGGAGTACCAGTAGGAAGTGGAAAACCTGGTATCAGAAGGCTAAGAAGATCGAGATGAGGAGAATAGAAGGAAAAATAGAAAGCAATTATGAACTGGGAGAACTGTACAGTGTGTGAAGGACAAATGATGGAAATTTGCAAATGAAGTATTCTGTGTATGGTTCTCATATTTTAGCAAGAGATTCTGTAATTTAGTTTTAAAAATAAATTGGTGGTCACTTTCTTGAATGTTCATTTACTACACTACTAGCCTGACATTATTCTTGATAATTTCACCCCAATGTGACGATATGGTCTGGCGAAGTAAACCGACGTACATTCGCGTCAGGTTCTACCTTGCTTGAGACTGAAGTGAACGGTTTTTATTTATAAGGGTCTTACTATCTTTCTAGAAAACAATATCATCAGTAGTGATATGAATTCAAAGCAAGATTCTTTACTTTTATCATATTAATGTGACTTCTGAGCAATGATAAACGTCTGGAATGAGAGTAGATAAGAGTGTCATCCTTTTACGAGATCGGCTCACTTACACTTGACTTTTTAATTCCAGTTCCTTTTACTAGTCTGAAAAGTTATCTTGTGTTACCTACAGTCACTGCCTTTTCAATCCCTTTTGCTTTCGTTGCCCACCACTGCTCACAGTCGTTCCTCAGACTTTTACTTAACCTAGATCTGATTTGTTTTTGTTCTTCATCGTGTTCAGAGCCTGATGGGACGAGTTTACGAGAATCCTTCAGTGCAATAGACTTGGAAGAAATCCATTAGTTTTTTGTAACCTCTCTCGAACGAGTGGGATACTGTAGTAAGCCCATTCAATTATTGTATTATTTATCTGCTCACTGTAATTTAGACAATTGATCCACCATGTAATTTTCTGTGTGAGTCTGATTGAGCATATGACAATTTTTAATCTATTCTCCCATTGGTTGTAATACACAGACAATCAATAATTTATCCATACTTGATCAACACTTATAAATATATATGGATTTTTAACACACACACACTCTTGTTTTCCCTGTGTGCTTGCTTCCTGTACGCTTGCGGATTTTACCAATCTTTAACAATAAACTATCTCTATAACTGGTGTTCAGGCTTTTGAATAATCATCTCGAGTACATCCATAATTCTACCAGGAGATTTAGCGTGCATTAAATGTTCAGTAAACGAGATACTATTTGTTGGAGTCATATATAGAGGATAATAGACTCTACAATACCATGAATTTCTTTCCATTAATTGCAAATATACCAAAGAAACTATCGCTAAGAAACATATCAAAGTGTTAACTATCAGTAATAAACAAAGTATCTGATAAATAATGAAATGAAGAAAAGCATTTTAAATAATGACTAGTAGTAGACTAATTTGATACACATCGTTTGAATGTGGACAAAATGCATATTGTGGATTACAGTGTTATTTACTTGTTTACAATTAAATCAACTTGTATCATATAACCAATAGAATTAAAGGATCCATATATTCAAGAAGGTCATGGTATACCAACAACAGTTAATCGCATATCAGTTTTTGAATAATAATAATCAATAATAATAAACAATATATCAAAAAAATCTTACATATGGATGATATAGATTCAAAGAATCTTTAGCATTTTGTCCAGATTGTTTATAACCAAATAATAAATCAATCCAATATGATAAATTCATTGATACATAATCACTTTCTAATGCAGCACGACAAATTAATGTGAATAAACGCGGATCATTTTTACACCAACTGTAAATGAGAGAAAAGATAAATAATCAATCATCAATACAGTACCTAACATGTATATGTAACGGATTACGTTTGTTACGTAACATAAGGATAATACGATGAAATTATCAAGATAAATATCCAAAATACAAGAAATAATATGAGTATTAGTAGCAGTGGTAATAAAAGAAGAGTTGATTATAAATCATATCGCTTGGGGAGAGAGAATCAACAGAAGAAAAGGTTCGAACCTACTGCTTTCGAGCGTGAGCATTTAACCACTAGACCAGAGTCAGTCGGCATCCAATGGTGTTAATGTATAACTTCAACTAATCCACGAAATTCAGCGACACATACACCATTGTCTTCAGTGAGTTACTATCTCGCAACAGACCTGGTTGAACTCCACTGGTCACCACTTCTCACTAGAACTCCAGGATATACCTCGAGAAGCCAATCACTAGTGAGCATATGTTGATTAATATCAGATGGGTTTTGTGGATATTATAGTAATTTCAATGGTTAAGATCATGAAACAGTTGAAGCTAGACCACCATGAAAAACCTGGAAGCATTGGACGGCCGTTTCGTCCTATTGTGGGACTCCTGAGCAGTGCGCATCCACGACCTCGCCCCCTGCGAGATTCGAAAAATTTCGTGGATTAGTTGAAGTTAGACATTAACACCGTTGGATGCCGGCCTGCTCAGTGATCTAGTGGTTAAGTGCTCGCGCGCGAAACCAGTAGGTCCTGGGTTCGAATCTCGCAAGGGGCGAGGTCGTGGATGAGCACTGCTGAGGAGAAAAGTTATAAAATAATTTTGAAACCCAGGATCTAAGAGAAGATAAACAGTGAATGCGTCACCTAATAACATCTAACATTTTCTTTTATATATATATTACTACCATTGAATTAACTACTTCTATGAATCCGGTGTTCATCTTGTTGTGTTAATGAGATATGGCATCTTGGAGCGATGCACATAGGTGCTTGGTTCTACGTTATAGCTGACTGATTGACACCTAAACATTTAATCAAGACAATCTAAATCAGGAGGTCTTAATCTATCAAAATATCTCACAGTAGAAAAAAAACGTATAAACCAGTGATACATCTTAGTTTGGGTGCTTCTAGCTTTATTCAAACATGTGTTTACACTAGCTTACATTAGTTGTTGAAGTAGTCAGTGGTTAGACATACATAACACATATCACGGCCACCTCAGTTGATGAAAATTCACAGTTTCATCAACTGATTTGCATTATATATCAATTATCCGGGGTCTAACCTCAACATCAATCACATGGTTGCTCCAACATACACACGAAGATATACCTAATCAAAAACCTACAGCTTACGGATCTCTGCTACTCTTAAAGGTCGTGTTTTATAACCATATTTCATAGATAAAAGAGAAATCAACAATCGTATACAGGGATATGAACTGTAATTATTGGGTATATGCGGTTTCTACCAATACCAGGTACCTGGTCAAACATTGAAAGAGGTACATCGGTGTTTCAACATATAACCCTATAGGTGTCTAAATCAATCAGTCCAAGTTCAAAGTTATTTAAAGTGACAACTGATGAAGTTACTTCCCTAGATACATGTTAATTACAAAGAAAAATCATATAAATAATAAGATCACATTAGCTGGAAAATAACTAACAACCAAGAAGAACTATACAGCTGTTGCCTTTTAGTTAGAAGCTTTTCAGAATTAAGCCAATACAACCTTGATCAGGTATCGAATCTAAGAGTCTCTGGTGCAATAACTCTGTTTCACACATTCTATATTGTTGAATTCCATTTCTAAATGACCTTATACATGTTTATTCAAATATATATACATAGAGGTATTACTGATAATCATTGTTACTCCAATTCTTTCTTTTACAAATATCTATAACATCATATGATATTATATCTTCTCAATGTTACATTTGACTATGAAGCCATGAAGTAGAATGAATTTATAATATTCCACCTAAATCGTTATTACAGCTTTATTGAAAATTCATAAAGGATACTTTAGTAAACTTTTCACTGATTCCGTAATAACATCTCAAATTAGGCATTGAATGAGTCTTAGTTGGATTTCTATAAGATCTATTAGTTTCAATAAGAGTTGAATATCAACGGCATTGAAACAATGTCCACCTTTCTTAGTATAGACAATCAAATATAACACTTAGATAATAAATGTTTAAGTATATTTACTATAAAAGTACTAAGACGAAAAATAAAATAGTTCAATACAACTGATGTGGAGCTAATCAGTGTCAGGTAGAGACTGGTATCTACCTCAGTACAATGGAAGATGATTGCTCAATTCCGTGGATTAATTGAAATTAGACATTAACACTGTCGGATGTCAGCTCATTGGTCGCACACAAGACTGAAGGCAGTTGGTTCGAACTCCACAAGGGAGATCGTGAATGCACACTGTTGAAGAATCTCACAATAGGACGAAACGGCCATTCAGTGCTTCCAGGTTTTAAATGGTGGTCTAACATCAGTCTGTTCATGATCTCAATCATAAACTGATATGATTAGTGAGAAAAAGGGAGAAAATAAAGAAAAAAAGAAAGAAGTCATAACTTACGGTGGTAATTCAACATTATCTACACTATCACCTGGTTGTCGACAGCCTAATTTCAATCCACTTCGATTAATAAACATTTCTGGTTGAAAATAAAATTCTGGTACTAATTCTTTAACACATGAAACAGAAGTAGTAGCTAAACGCCATGTTGTTGCAATTGAATGAAATAAACGATCGGGTACATCGAAATTATTATCTAGAAAATGAAAATACACATAGATAATCAATAGTATTATTCTGTTTACATATTCATGATTAGAAAAACAAAGCATCAACAGTAAGAATAAATAATCAATAGTCCGTTCCGAAATTATGTTCCATACTAGTTAGTAAGTTATTAGTCAGTTAGTCAGCAACAACGTAGAACTTCATACGTACGTATATCAGTTCGAGTTGCCATACCACATTATCACACAGATATAATGGTCGATTCAAATCCTATAGTGATAGAGATAGTAAGAGTATAAGCAGTAATCGGAAGCATTAGGGTTCGAAGATGTTATTCAAGAAGTATAATCAAGTGAAATAAATTTGGAAAGAGAAAAGATAAAGGGACATGAAGAATTCAGAAGATTAGAATTTGGGAAAACACAAAGAGTGGATGCACCTGCGCCACTGCAAACGATTTTGAGCCATGTCATTCAGGGTCTCTAACCATCGGTTTCTATCGTCTCGCTGATCCCAACCAGGTAGTCTACACCTACCAACATGACTCAGTCCACTTGTCAGTGACTTCATGGATTTGTGCCATGTTTTGGTCTGGTAGTAAGTTATTAACAAGTCATAGTAAAATGGTAGTGCACGAAATATAAAGTCATTTATTTTAATGAGTACGTTAAAACTAGATCGATAAAATTGGAACAACACTAAGAACCAGAAAAATATGATATTGGTTACAATGCAGTCAACCAATTAGTAAACATACAAATCGAAAGATATCAGTTAACATTTTGGCGAGACTATAATTTATGGACGACCCAATCAGACTTAGGACAATAGGTCTTGGAATTTTAGATGATCTCAATTCGTCATGAAAAACCATAAATCTAACTCTTAACCCTGACTGTCAACTATAAATAATAATCCTTATCCTTCAAACTGCTATACAACCCTCATTCAGCCTTAGTAAGTAGGTAGACACTTTCAAGGTCACTCTGGCGTCGCTCAAAGGTCATCCATAAATTATAGTCTCACAAACATTTTCTAGCTTATTGTAAGAGTAGAAAATGAATTAACGATATAGTGGATTCCAATTATGAATTCAGTTATTTGGCAGATTGCATTTTGTTATGTCCTTATGGTCCTGTCAATGGATCACATGACTAAGTCGCCAATCAGAATACCGACTTCTACGACCTTCACACTGTGTTAAACCAATGACACGTTAATCAGTACGAGCAGCTTAGAGTCAAATCTGAGTCCTTATTTGTTTTTCTCACCAAACCATGTCCGTTTGAGTTCAGAACACATTCTCTGTATGAATCATGTATTTCAAACACACGTAATTTGTATACAAGCAAATCAGACCGCATCACACCATAAGATAAAAAATGACAGGTAGATAAGATAAAGTCGAAAGTAGCTGTGAGTATGGCATACCGTATCTAATAACGGAAGCTTATAATCAAAGGAATATGGATATATGTACAGTATAGTCACTTAGTCAGTCAGTTACAACGTAGGATCAGGCATTTTCGAGTTAGCTCCGTACTTGTTGAGACCTTACCGCCGCAAACGGATATCCGTGGGATAAGGCGAGTTGCGCAATTTTAGGGTCGACCTTTTCTGATTCCACCCTTCTATGTGGGAAGGAACATCGCTGTTATGCTGGTTGTCTGAAGGAAACACCTTACTGTCGTCACACCTCTGTTCCATCAGCAGTACGACTTCGCCCTCAGACCTTGGGTTTGCTGCTTCTAGTCTTACTGCTCTTCGACCGACCTGTCTTGCATGGTAAGACCTTGAGGAACGATTGTTCCAGCCAGCATAGCTCGATTGGTTCATTTCGATAGGCAAGCGCAACCGCCACGTCAAGGTACCAACAACTGTCGGGTAGTTACTCAATAATTATACAATAAGAATACATATATAATAACAGTCTATAAATAGATCCTAGCGGTTACTATTAACATATTCTTCGTCCGGATATAACACATTTGGTTACTGATATGTCGGTATCATTATCAGTCAGGTAAGTAATGTAACGCAGAGTGCCTTCTTAATTCATGAATTTAAAAAAAGAATAAGCAGAGAATATAGGTTGTCTTAGAAAGTTATTTATGTACATTTTCCAACTATCAGTTGTGCTGTTAAACCGGTCAATAAGCGACAATTAACACAGGTTTGTGATTTTAATCTGAAGAAGTTACTTAATTAATCGCATAGCAATAACCTATGCTATCTGGCTCATTAGTCATGATCGAATTCAATCGATCAAATAGCAATTTAGCCAATAATCTAATTGATTTAACGTCGTGTACGATTTTGAGATGCTAAGTAAATATAGACGTCATCCGTAAACTAATCAAGCCATAATTGATCTCCTGTAGAACTAAGATATTTTAATTGATTCATTACTGAGTACTAACTAATTTTATGTTAGTTTACTGTTAAGTACTGATTAGATTCTATCAATCAAGTTGGAATCATACTCTCTTAGATTTCCAAAATCCAAAATTAAGATGTACTATATAACATAAAGTGATAGAAGGGAAAAATAGTAAAAAGTCCATTAGTTTTATGACAGTTAGAACTTGTCAGCAAGAAATAAATTCGATTTAGGAAGAACTGATGTTCATAATCACAGAATGAATGGAAATTTATATCAAACATTAATCCATTTTACTCTGTTAGTAATTCACTCTACGACTCTACTTCACTGATTTCGACCTATTGATTTGCCAAGAAATTAAAGACATATTGGTTGACGTTGGTGCACTGGATGAATTTAGACTTTTGCCCCCCATCGGATCTTGGCTTAGAGGTCAAGTCTTTACGCGAGAGATTGAAGGCCATGAGTCCGGGTTCCCGATGCAAAGTTGTGGATGTGCATTGTTGAGGGAGGAAGACAGTTTTCTTAGGTTTTTAACACTTGTCTACTCTAGATCGGTTCGCGATCTCAGCTTTTAAGGACGCTTAAAACACATGTGGCCATAGTGAGGCGATTACTGTTTCTTAATCATTGACAAATATAAGCTACGTGTGAACATTCAAATAAAAGACAACGGTAAAAATCCAAACTGTTAAGGGAAATAAGATAAAAATGCCCTTGTATAGTTCACCTTGAAAACGTAAATGACGAAAAGTGTATGGGGGTAAACGAACAAGAAAATGTAACACAATTGCTTCATTTGAACAATGCGCTGGATAATGATATGGTGGACAAACACTACTTAAATTCGATAAAGTAGACGTTTTTGATTTTATTCCCGATGCTTCTGGATGTGATGTAGATGATGTTTTGGATAGTAATTCAGCTTCATTGAATCGTGCTGCTACAGCTTCAGCTCTATCGTCTTCTTGTACAGCTATTGGACGATCTAATCGTCGAAATGAAGTTGGTTGGGTTAAGTCTAACACAAGACTTTCATAATCCTTTAACAAAAAAAAGAAGACCAGTACATAAGTCGACAGAATTCCTTAACCAGTTAACGAATATTTTAGTTGGTCAATAACTAAGGAGTATGATTTATATATACAAAATTAATAAAGTAAATAATATAGAGTTTCAAGCATACACTGAAGGGAAACAATATGCATCACAGTTTATTGAGGAAGAAGAATAGGAAAGCAAACTTAACAAATTATTAAATTAACAAGCATAGTAAACACCACGAACTGGCTTTAGTCAAACAACCAATGAAAGCTTAGAAGAACTGAAGAACTGTCGCGTTCCAGTACGCGGCTCTACAGCAGTGGGGATTTACGATTTCAATAAGGTTTAAACTCATGATATTTAAGTCTCTTAGCAAGTGCCTAGAATTTAGGTTTGGATTTCTAAATCAAATCAATCCCCAACCATTTTCTAACGCCTCACATTCAACCAGGTTAATGTTTTTTGTTTAATTCTTCCTGATTATCGGTGCTTGCCGAACACTAAGGTTTGATGTAACTCAAACCCTTAAACTAAAAAAAAATAAATTACTACTCATTAGTGAGTACGTCGGGAAATAGAAGCAGATATGAAAAAGACGAATAACAACTGGAAGGAGCTGGAAAGAATTGCCCAGGACAGGGTTGGATGGAGAATGCTGGTGAGCGACCTATGCTCCTTCACGAGGAGTAACAGGCGTAAGTAGGTAAGTAAGTAAGTGATTAACTTCATTCATTGGCTGCGAACTTACCGATAATACAGAATAATGAACATGTTACAACGCAAATCAATAAACTACTTAGAATAAAAACAATTTTACATATTGAAATGAAGCCACTCCAAGATTGACCAACTGAAAACTGTATCATGATGCTCAACTACACATATCAATCATTTAGATTTGTACTTTTCAACATTGTCCCTTAGATGTTAATAGGAGTTATTTGCAAATTTCATTTTGTAATTTCGGGAGTCCAAACGTAGCAACCAATCAGGTACATGCATTAATGATGAGCTGTTTGTTGCTTCCATCATCTACGTAAAATAAGCCTAAAAAATGTGTTTCGTCCATGTTATTAGAAGTAGAAAGAATAATAGGAATTGGATAGGGAGGTTGATTATGAATACAGTGATGTTGAGTGTTGTTAGAAGTATGAAAACGGTTATCACTTCCCGGTTGCTCACACCGTGAAAGGGTTCTTCTGGAGGTACCTGAAAAGAAAATTGAATTAAAGGTGGTCTTAGTGACCTGAGAGAATGACCGTAGTGCCCAAGGGACAACTGATTGAGGTCGGTCAAACACGACCTTTCTGTGAGTAATTTTCGTGTTAGCGCCGCATTTATTGAAACCTTACCGCCACAAACGGATATCCGTGAGATAAGGCGAGGTATGGATTTTTAGGGCCAACCTTTTCTAACCCTACCCTTGCTTGTGGGAAGGTAGCATCACTGTTATGCTGGTTGTTATCTACGATATCGAATTACAAATATGCATTTATTAAAGTATAAGACCTGAAATGAAATTTTTGATAAAACGTACGCTTTAAAAATAGTCCATACTTGTCCACTAAATGAATAAATAAGTGTAGAAAAGTTCAAGTACGATATACTTAGTGAATATGGCAACATTACAGATAACCATATCCCAAGCATATACAGTTAAATACAGAATTTAGGTGTTGTTCCATTCTCTGAGCTGAATAATTCGGTTGTGAAGCTTTCATTGTTCTTCTGGACGACATCATCAACACAAACTACGTGAAGCTGTACGACCAAATCATCCAGATCAGAAAACGAAACTCTACCTTAATCATCCATTTGAGTTATAAATCTTCTCCACCATCTCAAAATACAGAATTTAAAGTAAAAGTAAACAGAGAGGAGAACATTTTAATAAAGTATTCAACAACAAAAAAATAGGCATACACGTATAGTCCATGGAAATATAGGATATTGCATTAAATCATTATAACTTCGACCAGCAGTTGAGTTTAATTTCATTAAATAATCAAAATTTGATAATTCACCATTTAACCATGCTTGTTGTACATTTTGTAATTTACATTTTTTTAATTGTTTAAAAGTACAATGATGATGATGATGATGATGAATCGATGGGAGAGGATTAGCTATGGCAGATTGTTCATCGGTATTCACTAATAATCGATTATGATAATGATGAATACAATAACATGAATGATGACCAATTAAAGGAGTGATAGTTTCGATAAAATTATCCCTGTCCTATGATTTAAACGAAATAAATATAAGAAAGAAATATTATTATTATATAATAAAATATGTAGTTTGTAAAAACGAGGATAAACTATAGATTTTGATGGAGTTTTGTTCTTTGAGCTGGATGGTTTGATCGTGGAGCTTTCATCGTTCTTCTAAACAACATCATCAGCATAAACGTCAGGTAGAAGTGAAATGTTCGAATTTCTTCACAGACGACTAACAGCTTATCCTGTCGACCTCGATGTTGATTGGTTATTGTTGACATTTAACCTGTGATTGTTTAATTCTTTATTTTGATTATATCTCCCGTTGATTTGATTCTTGGTTCTAGATTTATCAAAGTTACAATCTTCAATACGAACGTCAAGACAGTTCTATTATACAGATCCAAAACTTCGAGAACTATCACAATCATCATCAAAAGAGTACAAATATTTATAGATAACTGTCTACACAAGATACTCAATATCCATTGTTGATGGGATACCATCAGCAATAACCTACTGTGAGAGAGAAAAAACCACCTTCCAGCTGAGGAGGAAATTAGGTAAAGGCGATGGAAATAAATAGGACATATATTACGCAAATCATCAAACTGCATCACGAGGCAAGCCCTGACTTGGAATCCTGAAGGGAATCAGAAAAGTGGAAAGCCAGAGAAAACATTACGTCAGGAAATAGAATCAGACATGAGAAGGATGAATTACAACTGGAAAGAGTTGGAAAGGATTGCCCAGGACAGGGTTGGATAGAAAATGCTGGTGAGCGGCCTATGGTCCTTCACGAGAAGTAACAACCCAGTTGATATATTCACTAGTTGATATATTCATAAATATATCTATCTGACACAAATACTAATGTTGTCGAGTGAAGTAATAATAATAATATGGATAATAATAGAAACTATGTGACTCACATATCTAGTAGAGTCTTATGTACTTATTATTTAGAAACTTTTATTAGTAATGATAAGTAGAAGTTCAAAGACGAAAAAGAAATGTGATGTTCGCATAGACAACTTCTTCAGATGAAAGCTGATTTATTTAATTTAATTAACTTACTTTAGAAGAATACATAGCAAAAAGCATTGGTGCATTCACATCTGTTTCATCGGGAAATATTTCTACTGCAATATCACGTAATGAATATCGACGTGCTTCAATATGATGAATTGATTTGAAAGACCATGCAAACCATAATCGATTAGAAGGACTTTGATAAGGATACAATGATTCCTAAATAGGAAAACAAAATGTGATTTGATTGGTAGATTTGTATAAATACAATAATACATAATCTTTTGGCTTGGAAGAAAAATGCCACAAAAACAGGAAAATAAGATATGTACATAAATATTGTCTCATAAGTATGCTGGGATACTACAACAAAACTTCCTGTAACTTGAACTCTGAACTACGTCTTATGACAATCTCATAGACACGGAGTTGTATGGCTTTTAAAACTTCAACCAACGAGTCATGATAATCCAACAGATGTCAGGAATACAGATCTATCTTTCATGCTAGACTCTATATTTCGAAAATGAGAAGCTTTTTGACTTTTTCTTTCAATACCAGCCTCAACTAATGATGTACTTTACGGAATCCATCAGTATAGAAATAGATGTAGAAAGGTGTGAATATATATTTATAACCGTCGTTGTGATACATCCTTTTTTTAAAGTAATAAAATCAGTCCACAGAAAGTAATGATAAAAAGATATAAACAAAAAACCTCAAACGGATAGATTTAAGAGGATGTTGGACATTGTAAAATCATATCCGTATCCCTCGTCTAAGGTGATATATGGTGTTTGCTATTTATATCAACAGACATAAGTAGGATGTAACACTAATCGGAAATGGAACTCCTAACAGCAGAAGGTTAAGAAGATCAAATCGAAGAGAATGGGAACAGATAATAATTGTAATAGCAGTGAAGGAACAATGGAAATTGAGACAAATGATGTAATTCATGTCATCAATGTATGAAAGTAAATGATAGGGGGAATTGAAGGATTCCAAAAAGTCATGATCAAGTGAGTGAAAGTAGTGTGACTAAATGAGTGAAAAGCAATCTCTAATTTACTCGTCTATGTTAATAGTAGCTTTAACATGACTAAAAAAATTAAGTTGCAGGTATGTACATTATGTTGACAAGTGCCAACTAGCACAAAACCTAAGTCAAACGGATCATTCTGGTGACAACTTCCAAACATTTAATATTTGACTAGAGCAGTAAAGAGAACGTTTAATGCTGCCAACCTCTGCCTATCGTATTCGACCCGATCGATGGTGATTCCCCAATTGAAGGATAAGTTACCTGTTTATACCACTTCTATGTGTATCTACGAATCCAACTGCTCGTGTGGAGAAAGCTATATTGGGCGCACTACCAGGCAACTGAACCAACGAGTTAGTGAACACCTCCCTTCGTGGTTAGTAAAGGGTTACGTCAAAACAATACGCAGCTCGGTTCTATCACACTTGATCGATAGCGGTCATATAGTGGACAGAAACAAGTCGTTCAAAGTTATTTATCGTATTCCCACTAGTTTTCCTTATGGTGTTCGATCTCGTCTCTTACACATAGCAGAAGCTATAGGAATCCGAGCCAACAAGCCAAGTCTTTGTGTTCAGAAGAAATTTGTAACACCCTTATCTCTCCCTTGGCCTTAAGTAATAAATGAATTTATTTATTTATTTATTTGTTTACTCCTTTTCTAACTTTCTCTTCGTTTATTATTTTTCTTCACACACTTTTTCTCTCAACTATACGTTTCATGGTCCAATTATCTGAACATTTCTTATTACGTCATCTTATAATCTTCATAATTGTTATCTCAGTTTCTTTATTTTCTCCTAATCCTTGACCTATTTCAGATTATGTAACATTGATTTGAACCTTTAGTATTAATGCTTATCAAAAACTAATGCACCTGTTGTCACACCATCAATTTGTACTTTTCACATTTTACTTATTATGTAATCTTTTCCATTGTTATCATTGACTTATAAACTACCTTGATTGGTTTAATAATTTCGTATATGCATATAAATATTACTGTATATCAAAGTAAAGCCTGATGAGGATCTAATCGCAAACAATATTGTTCGCTTATATATATGTTGTTCTAAATTTACAATATGGGAATATTTGAAATTTAATATTTCAACATATTGTATACTATGTTAAATTACAATTCAACTTAGTAGTTACAACTTGATCAGCAAAAAGGATTGATAAACATGACATTCATTGTTACAATTACTTAACGACCAATTAGTATGAATCGTATGTCTACGTATGAAAAAACCATTACATTATACAAAGATGTCGCTACCATGACTCAGTAGCTAAGTGTAGAACGCAATGACGTTTGAAGCGAACGGTACTCGGTTCGAGTCTCAGAGTAAATATCAACTCTGGGATGCAGGTAAATCCAGCTGACGAGTCCCGAATGGGACAAAACGCGCGTCAAACTGGATTCCATTGCTAACCACTATCCATCTTCGCTTAAACAGTAAAAAAAGTGTTGGTCTTTGCCAACCATTTTTAACTTACAGGAAATAACAAGACACAAAGTAATATCGATCGAATTGAAATAATAATAACAATAATCTACTTACAATCTCAATAAATTGCACATTCTTACTGTCATTATTATTACAATCATCATTCATCAATAAATTTCTATTCATTAATGGATCAGGTTGAAATCTTAACCATGTTTGACCAAGTATTAAATCACCTTCAATAGGTGGAATATGTAGAATACCAACTAAACGACATGCCCAAACAGCTTGAATATGATATCGGCTAGCTGATGCTAATTGTATTAATGGAATAGATGATAATGGTAAACATAATGGTAAATTATGCCATGTACAAGCTGCACCAATTACAGGTTGAGAATGATTCATGATTGATGGTAAACCAATTAACGAGGCAAGTGGATGTGATTGACGCGCGGATACTGTAAAATTAAGAAACAAGAAGCAATAATATTGATATAACGATACTTTTCTTTACAAATAAAACCAATATTGAAATGGCGGCTTAAAGTTGAATACTAGTTCAGTGTGGTTTATTGATAGTAAATAGTGTGTTACTTAGTATATATCACTAAGATGTAACTGAAATTTTGAAGGAAATGATGATTCTTGTAAAATTTCAACCCAAGTTATCCAGGTTCACATTGCAAGGTTTTACCACTGAGGTATTCAGGTTATGCACCGGCTAAAATGGGTTTCAATACCATAAGAACGGCCAATACTAACAAAATTGTATATACAATTTGTGCTACTGTTAACACCATGAAACGCAAGCCTAGGATTTCCTGACGACTACCTCTAACCCTGTTACATCCAAATGGAGTGTACGTGATATCTAGTCACTCAGACTAGCTTATTAACACAATTTGATCAGCACTATTGATTAGGTCTTAGTGTGGCCTATTAGTATAATGTACACACCAATGAGAGGATTATACTGAGATTCTGCAACGAGACTGATAAAATTTAATCAACACTAAATGTTCGAACAAAAATGACATTGATTACTACCATTTATTGACGAAACATTTGCAAATATCAAGTTTTACAGGATGTCAAATGAAAGCATCTCCGACTGTGGAGCTAGATGAGGCAAACCTGAATATCAATCAAATGGAGTATCAGTTCTTTCAAGATTATTAACAAATCAGGGTGAAATAATATCTAAAGAACATTAAATACAAATTAGTTTATCTGAAAGACTAGACCATTTGTGATTAAACAATTTAACTTGGTTCATACAAAAACAAATATGCTGTATTATGTGGTTCCAAATAAACATGATAAGGGTTCACATCAAAATGTTTCAATTCTACAATTGGAAAATTTAGTGAATAGAAATAATTTTAATATAGTTTCGAACTCAACTCATTAGGTCGACTTGAATAGTAGATTATAATTTAGAATAAACCTAGGAGAGATTCCATGATATTTTGATTGAGATCATGAAGTGATTGATGTTAGACCACTATTGAAAAACTGGAAGCACTGGACGGCCGTTTCGTCTTCAGCAGTGCTCATCCACAACACCGCTCGCGGGATTCGAACCCAGGGCCTTCAGTCACGCTCGCGAACGCTTAACCACTAGACCACCGAGCCGTCGTCTAACAGTGCTAATGCTTAGCCTCAACCAATCTACGAAATTTCGCGACCATCTTCTATGGTACTGAGGTATATACCTGTCTATACCCGACACGGAATAGCTCCACTAGTCACAGCTCCTCACTAGAACTCAGAGAATCCCCTCACGAAGCTAGTCACTAGTGAGCGCATGATAATTATCAAAATAAGGTTGTGTAGATTATTATGTTTTTGATTGAGATCATGAATCGAGTGATGTTAGACCACCATTAAAAAACTGAAATGCTATCGCACTATCCACTTAGCTACTGAGTCCTGATAGCCACCTGAACATCAATTCTGGGATGCAATTATATCCAGCCAACAAGTCCCAAATAGAACGAAACGCGCGTTCTGGATTCCACTGCTAGCCACTATCCATCTTTGCCTATAAAATTGTATGTTTTCTTCATATTCACCGACTAAGACAATATATAGTGAATTTAATTTCTATCCAATTACGTATACATACAATCTGTTATCATAACACTTTGTTTCACACCATATGTCTCTTACACACTAATGCCAATATCTACTTTAAACATTGTTAACATGGATTGGATAACATAGTGTACAGTGAACCGAAGAACCATGTACCTTATTTATATTTGATAATTTTGATATTTTGATTATATTTTCCTTGAAAAAGCTTGAACTAGATTATCAGACGAAACGTTGAATTTACTTCAAATTCATTTGTTGAGATTTTACAAATACAACATTCTTCCTCTTTATATTTTTCATTCATCTTACTTACTTACGCCTGTTACTCCTAATGGAGCATAGGCCGCTGACCAGCATTCTCCAACCCACTCTTTCCTGGGTCTTCTTTTTTAATCCCATCCAATTCTTGTTCATTTTTCTCATGTCTATCTCCATTTCCCGGTGTAATGTGTTCTTTGGTCTTTCGTCCTCCTTTGGCCTTGAGGATTCCATGCGAGGGCTTATCTTGTGATGCAGTTGGGTGCTTTCCTCAATGTGTGTCCTATGCACTTCCAGCACTTCTTCCTAATTTCTTCCTCCGTTGGGATCTGATTTGTTCTTTCCCACAGTTGGTTGTTGCTAATAGTGTCCGGCCAACGGATCCGAAGTATTTTGCGTAGACAACTGTTAATAAACACTTGTATCTTCTGTCTTGACATTTGTATTGAAAATTGTTCATCCATCTATTCAACAATAATACAAGTATTACATAAACAGAAAAAACAATAAATAGATAACTAAATCTAATCTTTTCTTACATAGATTCGATCGTGAAGTTGTATGTATTAAACGTTCAGCCATTGGTAAATGTGTATAATAAAATCGACCATGTTGACGTAATGAATCTTCTACAGGATCAACACACCAACCAAATGGAGTAGATTCCGAATGATAAAATAATCCTCTTTATAAGTAGAAATAAACAAACAGACAAGCAAAATAAGAAATAATAAGAGCTTTATCAACAACAACAACAAAAATGACACGAAAATATCAGTTCGATTTCTTTTGTTTTTATTCAATTAACTATGTTTAGTTCTAAATTCACTTGGTATTGTTTTGAGATTAGATGGTGGTTGGAGGTAGTCGACAGGAAACCATGGACCCGGGTTTCGTGCTACTTGGCACTCGTCAGCAAGGTGTACCTGTAATCTTGAGGGGACTGGTGCTCCCTGGAGGATTCAATCCCGTGTCACCCTCTCGACAACCACCATCCATTCTCATTACATAGTGCCCGCAGTGTCGAGTCACTTAGACTAGTGGCCACATTGCAACATAGTCGATAGCATTCAATCTCACTAAATAAGGACTTGACACACATGACATTGATCACCACCCAGTGATCAATCAATTGTGACTTGGTGTTGTTTATTTGAATCTTCTCATTGATGTTTAGGACTATAATAGATCACACACTTATTGCCATATGTGCTATCCTGTGCGTGTTGCTTTGATATAGGCTTAATTCACAAACATTATAAGCAAAAATGGATAGTGGCTAGCAGTGAAATCCAGGACGCGCGTTTCATCCTATTTGGGACTTGTCAGCTAGATATACTTGCACATCGGAGTTGATGTTCCCTCTGGGGCTCGAACGAGCGTCCTGGATTCCACTTCTAGCCACTATCCATCGTTGCATATGTGTAGTCCTGTTATTGTTTCTGAATTGTTATTGGTTATTTTCAATATTCAGTGTCAGTGGATCCCATATGTATAAATTTACGGAATTGTAAGCTCTTTTTTTATTTATATCACTTCCAACTTCTTACATAGGGACGCCTTTTGTCATACATCGAAAAATCAATAACAACGTACCTCTCGACTAGATATAAATGTATCAACAGCTAAATGTTACACCAAAGGAATCACTATTAAAATATTTTGTCTTAATGATTATCTTCCTTACACTTCTACATGAGATTAAACAAAAGTTACCATTTGAATCATGATGAAGTATATACATGTCACAAACTGTCTGACCATTACTACATATCTCGGTACTATCGATTTATAATTGATAAGCATATAAATCATTTTTATTGAACGACATAAACCAAACAATTCATGTAATACTATTATTCGGCTGCTTACAGTGGAAGTAGATAGAACGGGGTTCGAATCAGAGAAGGATCAACTATCGATTGATGGCTTCAAAATCAGATTTAGTTGATTTATGGATTACTGGAACAAATGACTTCATATTTCAAGTATTTCCAAGACTGTTTGATTTAGGACTGTGAATATTAGTGAAGTCTAGAAGGAACATTTTGCTTTATTTAGTGAACACGCTTGTACCTACTTAAATCCCGAAATGTTATTCTAAGTGATCTAAAAGATAACGAGGATAATCCTTTGGAGTTTGAAGTAATGAACAATCGATTTGGTACAAGCATATTCAGTTGACAAGTAATAGACACAAAGAAACATCTCTCCTAAATATTCGCAACATTCAATAAACAAAGTAAAACAGTAAATCAGAACATAAATTTTCATAAAAAAAAATCAATTGTATTACCTGCTATGACTTAAATGCTCAGCTACACGAGCCCAAAGTACAGTACCCAATGGGCCTACAATACGTTTACGTTCACTATAAGCATCTAACCATGCATTATGACCATCAACGCATTGTTTACGTGCTTGACTACACAATTGTGTAATAGGAAATTTTCTTGGTAAATATTTTTTCGATGAAGCATTCAATGATGAAAAGAGATTTTCATTATTTGTTAGTTTGTTATTAGTTGATTTTGGCCAAAACATTTGTATCAATTGAACAAGTATTGACTTGAAAAGTTAACAAAAAAAAGACAAACCCGAAAAAGAATAGATTTGGATAATTCAGTTAAGAATACAATGGAATTAGTGAATACAAACAAATCCATGAAGTCACTTACAAGTGGACAGAGTGAGTCATGTTGGTAGATGTAGAATACCTGGTTGGGATCAGCGAGATGATAGCAATCGATGGTTAGAGACCTTGAATGACATGGTTCAAAATCGTTTGCAACGGTGCAGGTGAATCCACTGTTTGTGTCCTTCCGAATTCTAATCTTCTGAATTCTTCATGTCCCTTTTCTTTTTCTCTTTCCAAATTTATTTCACTGGATTATGCTCGTTGAATAACATCTTCGAACCCTAATCTTTCCGACCACTGCTTACACTCTTACTACCTTTACCACTACGGGATTTGAATGGACAACTGCATCTCTGTGCTAATGTGTTATAACAGCTCGAACTGATGTACGTACGTACGTACGTACGAAGTTCTACGTTGTGACTGACTGACTGACTGATAAAATAAATATGTAGGCAATATTATAAGCATTGTTATATGAAGATGAGATTTCTGTTGAACAATTAGGTAAGCTGGAATATTAAACACTAATTTAACTTCTTACATTAGGAAACTTAAAAAAGATAGAACCTAGAACTAGCAAGATCTTAAAGTGAATAAGAATATGTTCAACCAACATCAGAATATAATGACCCATATTTCTAACCACAAGACATGAAGATTTCGATGCTCCATTCCATGATTGATACCAGATAAACTTTGTTTAGAATGGAAGGAAACATTCAGTTAACCCCAACTGATTTCTGCTTATGATTACGATGACAGTAATTCACATGAAATTATAAAGCTTAAAAAAAGCCCAGAAACTTCCGTTTGCCAAATTAAAAAAGTGTTAATCACTAAAACTGGTCACAAAAGTTCATAGAATGGTCTTCTTGACAGAATTTTAAAGATTTGAAATCTTCATCAAGATGAAATCATGAATTTATACAACTTGACAGATTATTGAATATTCCACTAATTGAAAACATTTCACGATGTAATCCCTTGAAGTTTACAATTCTGGTAGATAAATTGTTCATTTGTTTACTTTTAACTAGATACTATAAATTTTCTTCAATCAAATATCACTAATTTTAGTCTGATCTCTATCAGTTTGTATGATTAGTGAAAGTTGATGATAACAGATACGAAAATCATTTTAAAGCTTCTTATCTACTTACTCAAAGCTGAGGAAAAAATTCATAAACGTGCTAAGGAAACTATATAATTATTTAATTTTTGATTGAGATCATGAACTGATTGATGTTAGAAGCACTGGAAGGTCGTTTCGTCCTATTATGGAATTCCTCAGCAGTGCGCGTCCACGATCCCGCTCGCGGGATTCAGACCCAGGGCCTTCAGTCTCGCGCGCGAACGCTAAACCTAACGGACCACTGAGCCAGCACCCAATGGTGTTAATGCCTAACCTCAACCAATCCATGAAGTTGAGCAACCATCTTCCATTATACTGAGGTAGATACCTGTATCTACCCGACACGGATTAGCTCCACTGGTCACGGCCGTCTAGTGCTTCCAGGTTTTCAATGGTGGTTTAACATCAATCGGTTCATGATCTCAATCATAACTTAACAATCTCCACAACCCCTATACTGATAATTACTTAATTATTATTATTATTGTTAGTGTGTTACTAACAAAGGTTACTCAAAATGATTTTTATCTAATTTAATTATCTAACACTAGTGGCTCTCTTCTCATTGGTTTCTACTACTTACAATGTCCGTCGACGTTACTTCCAAGTCCTCATTACTCTATATACACTAAGTTGTACCATTTGTAAGGTGTTTGGATATCGAATTTCCCCATGGTTTATCTTCTTCCTGTTTTAAAAGCTAACTGTTAAAGTGTGGCGTTACAACTACCAACATCGAGTCTGTAATAAAACCGTTCATATTAGAGAATAGCGCAATTACTTCTCGATTCGCAAGTGTCGTAAGCCCATACCGAGCCATTACAATCAAATATAACAAACTGGTAACAGAAGTTCATCCAATTAATAAACACCATGAAAATATGAGAAAAAAATCTAACTTGAAAAGAAGTAAAATACTCGCTGCCTTCTCGTGGCGAGGATGTTGGTTACGAAATTCAGAGGACAAAAAGCGAATATCCGGCATTTTAACTGGGTTGATGGACACGGGGAATCCACCTAGGGGCATTAGATAACCTTGATTCCAAACAAATGGTTTACATGGCCTCCAGAATCCTGAAGGAACGATTGGCGTATGAATCAATCGTTGGCCAACGTCTACCATGGGACTGCATCTCTTGACGTTGACCCCCTACCTTTTGGTTCAGACCTTCAGGTCTAAGGCTCGAAGTGTGGCTCTCTAAGAAAACCGCCTCCTTCGATCTGAGCACCCGAGCAGTATCAAGGCCCATACACAAATCAAGTAACTTGTGTGGCGTATATGTATTCAGTGCCTCTTTGCACTAATATTTATATGTTTAAATAAATAAATAAAAGTGGGGTTTTGTGGATATTATAGTAGTCAATTGAAGCTAGACCATCATGGAAAACCTGAAAGCACTGGATGACCGTCTCGTTCTATTATGGTACTCCTCAGCAGTGCGCACTCAGGACCTTATCATTCTCACGCACAAGCGCTTAGCCTCTAGACCACTGAGCCGGACGGCATCCAACGGTGTTAATGTCTAACTTAAACTAATCCATGAAATTCAGCGACACATCCACCATTGTCATCAGTAAGTTACTATCTCACAACAGACCCAGCTTCTTACTAGAACTCCAAGAAGTAACCTCTTGAATCCAATCACTAGGAAAAAATGGCCATCTAATACTTGCAGGTTTTCCATGCTGATCTAGCTTCAATTGATTCACGAATTCAACTATTAAATAAATTAAAAAGAAAAAAAAAAATATTCACAATTACAAACCTTTTTATCATGAACCATAGATACACTTTTATTATTTGTAGATAATTTTAAATGTATCAATTTGTTTAAATCAGGCAGTGATAATTTCCATTGTTCACCAAGTTTTTTATATTTAATTTTAATTATATCATGATATGTATACAATTCAGATGGTGTAACATGATTGAATTTCTCTTGTATCCAAGGTGATAATAATATAGATGGTAAATTTTGTATTGATTTATCACTGATAATATGATTATTGATAAGTATCATTTCAATAATTGTATATAGTTGAGTTAATTGTTGATTTATATAATAATTAGATATCATATTCGTTTCATTATTAGTTGTTAAGTTGAATAATAAATTATGATTTATATTATGATGAATATCTAATGTATTGGATGATAAATATGTGAACCATATTGATAGATTTTGATGTAACCAATATTTTATAGCGATTAGATTATTCCAAAATGTAGGGGAATACTAAATAATTAATAAAATAGAAAATAGGATATGAATAAATATGTTATATCTCTATGAGAATAATCATTGGTAACTTTGGGGATCCATTTATGGACCAATAGTAAACGTATATTTTTATCGTATAGTTGTTAAGAAACTAAACTATACATATTCATGTCCCTGTTATTATGAGTTTTATTTTTACCTATGGACTATTGTTATAAGATTTACCATTCTTGAGTTACACTCAAGTCTACCAATCAGTATCTCCCACATTCACAGCCACATTTGGCTAAATCTTGTACAAATGTTGTTTCCAATTTTATTGGTACGATGTGGTAGATCTAATTGGTATATGAACCCAGTGTGTTTGAAATAGATCAATGTTGTTGCTATGTCTAGAGCTTAGATTCTTAATATACCACGTACAACTTGAGCATTCAAAAGCTAGAAACATACAAGTCATAAATGAGAAGAACGAAGACAAGTGAAAGGAATACTATTCCAAATAGTGTCTATTGTGGTACAAAACTGTCAGGTATATATAGTTTTCGGTAAAAACGAATTCATCATTCAGTCAGCCAGTAACAACATAGAATTTCGTATGTACGTACATCAGTTCGAGTTGCCATATCACATTAGCACAGAGATGCAGTTGTCGATTCAAATCGCGTAGTGGTAGAGATAGTAAAATTATAAGCAGTAATCGAAAACATTAGGGTATGAAAATATTATTCAAGGAGTATAATAAAGTGAAATAAATTCGGAAAGAGAGAAAACGGGACATGAAGAATTTAGTAGATTAGAATTTAGAAGAACACAAAAAGTGGATGCACTTGCGCCATTAAAAACGATTTTGAGTCATGTCATTCTAGGTCTCTAACCATCGGTTTCTATCATCTCGCGGTCGCCAACCAGATAGTCTACACCTACCAACATGACTCACTCTGTGCACTTGTCAGTGACTTCATGGATTTGTGCCATGTTTTGGTTTGGCCGCCCCTAGCTTTCTTCCAACCTACTCCTACACCATAAAACATTGCACGTCGAGGCAGTCGGTGGTTGGGCATACGTAACACGTGTCCCAGCCATCTCAACTGATCAAGTTTTACTACTTCATCAATTGATTTACCATCCTTACCTAGTACCCGTTTCCTAACAACTGCGTTACTTACTCGATGGTCCCAGGATATACGAGTAGTGTTTCGAAGACATCTATGATCAAATACTAGTAACCTTCGAATGTCTTCTCTTACCGGCCATGTTTCACTGTCATAAAGTAGGACGAGACGAACTGCTGCACGGTAAACCCGTCCTTTGGTTGATAGACGGATATCTCGCCTACGCCATAAATGATGCAAGTTGACAAAAGCTAGTCGACCCTTCTGTATCCGTGCTGAGATTTCGTCACACACCAGACCATAAGGGCTGATGAGACTTCCAAGATAAGTGGAGCGGTCGACACACTCAACTACTTCACTCCCTATCATTAGTTCGGGTGTCAATGCAACCCAATCCTGAAGCAACATTTTGCGTTTGGAGGGGGAGAATCGCATCCCAAATATGCTTGCATTGTTGCTTAGAGTGGTCAGAAGACTCTGCATTTTGTCAGCATCTTCACCAAACAGAACTGTCATCGGCATATTCCAAGTCAACAAGTGAATCTCCTGTTAGAAGTTCAACCCCTGCAAATTTCGATGAGGAGAGTGTTATCTCTAAAAGTACGTCAATGACAAAGTTGAACAAGAATGGGGAGAGTGGACAGCCCTGACGAACACCACTTGAGGTAATCAATTCTGATGACAGTTCGCCATAAGCTCTCACTCTACCAGTTGTGTTCGAGTAGAGAGCCTTTATAAGGTTAATGTACTTCTTTGGTACTCCTTTCAGTGACAAACACTGCCATAGAACCTCACGATCAACAGAGTCGAATGCCGCCTTAAGGTCGAGAAATACTACCATTGTGGGGCGTCTGAATGTGTGTCTGTGTTCTAGAACCTGACGTAGTATGAATATCTGATCTATACAACCACGTCCAGGTCGAAAAGCGGCCTGGTTTTCTCTAGTCTGCTCTTCACGAGCTTTGATTAGGCGTCGAAGTATTATTGAGGCTAATATTTTAGACACTATATTAGTCAAACTGATTCCTCTGTGATTTTATTTTTTTATTTTAACACATAGATATTGGTACAAGGAGGCACCAGATACATATGCGCCGCACAAATCTCATTTGATATGTTTGAGGGCTGTGATATTGTCCAGGTGCCCAGACCGAAGCGGGTGATTTTTAGGGGGCCACACCCGGAACCTTCGACCTGAAGGTCTGATCTACAAGGCAGTGGAGCAACGTCAGGAGATGCAGTCCCATGGAAGCCGGTGACCAACGATTGGTTCATACGCCATTTGTTCCTTCAGGATAATCGAGCCCATGTGCACCATTGGTTTTGAATCAGGGTTTTCCAGCTCTCCAAGGTGGACTCTCCATGCCTACCAACCCGGTCAGAGCGCCAGACATTTGATTTTCGTCCTCTCAATTTCGTAAACAACACTCTTGTCACGAGAAGTCAGTGAGTAGGACTACCCTAGCAGAGGCAATATACACGTGACCATGTGAGAGCACTTCGAGAGGGAGAGAGGACTCTCCGCACTCTCGGCCGTACCAGGGTATTTAGGGGCTCTGTGATTGTCACAAGAGGACTTTTGTCCTTTCTTACAGACTGGCACAATCAGTGATTGAGACCAGTCAGATGGGATTACGTCCAGTTCCCAAATTCTACCTAACACCTCGGTTAATCTCATTGCTAATACTGGACCACCATCCTTAAAAATCTCAGGAGTAAACCTGTCAGGGCTTGCTGCTCTCCCTCGTTTCAGATTTCCTATAGCTTTTTCAACTTCGTAAAGAGACGGAGGACCTACATTAACTTGCCATTCAGGTTGACTAGAGATCGTGGGAAACCGAAGTGTGGCTGAAGGCCAGTTGAACTGATCCATAAAGTGTTCTGCCCATCGATCCAATCTCCTGGATTGAGAATGAATAATATGCCCATCTTTCTCTGAGATTGTTTCGCTAACAGTCGGTTTCCTAATTCCGGTTTCCTTAACGAGTCTGAACAATTGTCTGCTATTACTTATTGCCGCTGCCTTTTCCATCTCTCTTGCTTTCGCTACCCACCACTGTTCGCGATCATTGCGTAGACTTCTTGTCAGCTTGCGCTTAAACTGACTCCGCTCTTCGTTATGTTGAAATCGAGATGGAATAAGTTTTCGAGCATATATCAGTGCAGTAGATGCTGTTGAGATTCAGTGTTTCTTCCTAACCTTGTGGTTTACCGTACCAGCAGATATCACAGCATTTCGAATGTCATTCCATGCTGCATCGGGGTGGGCATCACCTACATGGCGCCCTCACTGTTTTTCTAGTTGTTCCTGAAATATACTCTTAGCTTGACTATCATTAAATAGGACCGTAAGATGTTTCCTCGCAACGTCTTTCTTACGTTTAGTAAAACGCAGGCAAATACGTGCTCGCACTAGAGCATGATCTGAATGTAAGGATGTGCTCCAGAATGAGTGACAGTCTTCTATCGAGCCCCTCCATCGGTGGCTGATAGCGATGTGATCTCTTTGGATCCAACGTTGGGACGAATTAGTAGACCGCCATGTTAAGAGATGTTTTTGCTTATGCCTAAAGATGGTATTTACAAGAAACAGGCGTTTATATTATCTGAGCATAGCTGCAACAGACGGTCGCCATTATCTGTTCTTTGAACCACGACGCTATAAGATCGAGCCAAGTGTAATTCCCTTTCGCTTAGTTTACCTACTTGAGCATTAAAGTCACCAGCCACTATTACTACATCACAGCGCCTAGCTTTTAGGAGGAGGTCGGAGAGCTTTCTGTAAAACTCATCTTTGACATCATCTGAGCTGCAGTCAGTGGGAGAATAGGCAGAGATAACGAAGAGGCAACGACGAGTGTCCCTATCTTTTCGGATCCTTACTGTTCCGTTCGGTCGGACAGTGCACAAACGACTGTTTACTGGGATCCACTCTAAGAGAGCTAGTTCTGCCCTAGGACTCAATGCTATACCTACGCCGGCGAGGCCACAGGAAGCAGAATCAGGGCTTCCAGATACACGAAGTGTAAATCGAGTCGGTTCTTTATTTTGGCATGGTGAGGTCAGGTGAATGACGCTACTCGAATCCTGTATGCGCGCTTCGGAGACGCAGCACACATCGATGGCGCGGGATTTTAAAGTCCTAGCTAAGGAAGCCTGCTGTCCTATTTGACACAGTGTTCGGACGTTAAAAGCTCCTATGTGTAGTTTAGAGCGTGGTTTCAGGAGACCAGGAATAACGTTCCACGTACTCGAATCGTTTGCCCTCGCGGTGAGAAGACGTGAGAAGGGTTAATCAGGGAGATAAGAGTGGTAATAAGAGGTGTAGGAAATATTTGAATGTGACCAACTTGGTCTCGTGTGCTGTTACGGGTATATGGGCTTTTGTCACTTTCTGGCTGCTCACACCGTGGAAAGGTATTTCTTGAGGAACCTGAAAAAGAATTCGGATTATTGTTGACCTTAACGACCTGGGAGCGTGACCGAGGGAAACACCTTATTGCTGTCACACCCCTCTACAGTCGGCAGTACGACTTTGGCCCTCAGACCTTGAGTTTCTGCTTTTAGTCTTACCGTTCTCCAATCGACCTGCCTGGCATGGTAGAACCTACATTAACATATGTTCCAGCCAGTATAGCTTGGTTGAATCATCATGATTGGCAATCTCGATCACCGCGTCAAGGTAGCAACTATGGTCGGGAAATCATCATTATAGTCCTCCAACCCGCACACATGAGGTTATTAGCATTTGTCCAATAGGGAAGCTCCACGTATGGACTCTGGAATATTCTTCAACAAGATGCTTGGATGGAATATCTTCGGCTCTCTCTGAGCTCCCTAGAGCTTCCTCAAGTTAATCGGTGGACTGTCTGCATAGCTTCTTCTATGATAATCGAGCATCAACAGGTGTTTTAAAAAAATCTAAAGATAAAGCTTAATCAATATTCGGTTAACAATACGATTGACATTAATCGGTGAATAACAAGCAAGTGGTTTAATAATTGATGACTTGCCACAAGACTAGAAAGTTCTAAGTTCGACTATTAAAGAGTTTCGTAATATCATGGAATAACTTTCTAGTGCTGTCTGGTGCCAAAAAAGAAATCAACCCATAACAAACATCACATGGAAATGAATATCATAATAATAAGCAATTCAATATAATCTTCATTAAAAATCAACTTACCATTGATGGCAGGGCTGCTAAACATGAATTTAACAAATAAGAGTCTTCATTAAATAGTTTTAATAAATAGGTAACTAACAAATCGACAGCTACATCAATTTCTGGTAATTGTATACGTGAAACAAGAATTCGACCAAGTGCTTTATTGTATAAATTCATAAAATCATTCGTTGTTATATAATTTGAAATATTTGGAATTTTTAGTAAATTACCACTCTGCAAGAATACACATATTTAAAGAGAGAAAAAATATGAATCAGTGATAGAGATTATAGATAAGTATAGTGTTGTGGAGGTTATTAAGTTATTGATTGAGATCTTGAACCGACTGATGTTAGACCACCACTGAAAAGCTGGAAGCACTGGACGGCCGTTTCGTCATATCGTGGAACTCTTCGGCAGTGCGCATCCACGTTCCCGCTCGCGAGATAGTAGGCTAAGCGTTCGCGCGTGAGACTGAAGGCCATGTGTCCGAATCCTCAAGCAGGACTTGTAAGGGTTTGATGTGAACAGAGAAACAAGAAGCCTTGACTTACTACGAAAGCTATTTTTGGGGACGTTATCTTGTTTAATTCAAAGAATGTCAAATAGCAACATTTAATTTTGTGCCTAATCTATTCTACAGACTATAAGCTTTCGTTTGATGTTCCAAAGCTACTGTAATTTAAACGTAATCTTTTGTACTCTGTCTTCTACGCTAATCCCCAGTTTTGGACATAATTGTATTTTCCTGTCTGTGCGTTGTGGTTAGTCATCTATCTATTCATGTATATTTTTACACTAATTTGAATCGGGAACCAAATCGGAATCGGGAATAAGTCGAGTAGTGTTTCAGTTGATTTATCAGCCAATCAGATCCTTCTTAGTGCAGATTAAATGCTATCGACCAAGTTGCAATGTGGCCACTAGTCTAGATGACTCGACATTGCGTGTACTATGTTGAGATAAGATGGTGGTTGGAGATAGTCAACAAGAAACCCTGGAGCTGGATTTCGTGCTATTTGGCACTCGTCAACAATGTGTAACCGGTGCTCACTGACAGATTCGATCCCATGTTACTCAGTTTCACAGTCAGAGACGTTACAGCTAAGCTATTCGGGCCGCGACTGACCTCCTGTAAGACTGAGATGCATTTACAATTAATTGATAATTGGTTGATGATCAATGTCATGTATGTCAGGTCCTTCTTACTACAGATCGAATCCTATCGAATTATGATTCACAGTTGATGGTTGAGGCTAAGAATTAGATTTAAGATTTTCATCAGCTAAAATCCCAAAACGCTATTTAGCCAAATTGATGAATGAATTTCGCACCGAAATCCAAGACCTGTTATCCTAAATCTGATTATTTCATCCATAAATTGTAGTCTCGCACTACAAATTCATTAAATTAAACAGAAAAAGGAATAGGAGAAAATAAACAGAAAAGCATATTTTTAATTAGTATGACACACCTGAATATGTTGTGCTGTAGTAAACATTGAAGTGATAATAGCTTGTTCCAAACTTTGATGCATGCATAAAAATAAACTCTTATGCTTTGAAAATAACAAATGTCTCTCTATCATTATCTCACATCTAGAGTTCTTGTTGTTGTCATGATGGAAACAATATTTCGACAGATCACATGAAGTTTGTTTTCTATCACCAAGATCATGATGATGTTGATTAGGCGTAGGAGGAGTAGTGCAAGCTTGATTCATATTTTGATCTACATCAATCTCTTCCCCCAAATCAACATGAAAACTTTGTATTCTTACAGGAACTGGAGAAATGGTTGTATTTTTATGCTTGGATGTTTCAGGCATTGAATTTAACTGATTCAGGATAGTAATCATTTGTTCATCTCGATAAGCTACAACAGAGAGTTGAATGATACATTGCATTTTACAACATGTGGTTTAGAAGAATTCTGTTTTTTTTATTGTTTGTTTGAGAAATTGACCTACTAATATTTTTCTGAGAGTTAAAATGATTGATGTTAGATAACTAACATTCACTAAATCATTCGCACGGCGGTATGAAAAAAAATCTAGCTTCTGTCGATTCATTACAACTCCCTGTTGAGATCGTTGCGACAGTGCTTCAGAGGTCAGTTACGTTTCTAGTATAGTTTTATTTAACATTCTTTATAAAATTGAAAAAAAACTCATGTAAAATCGATAGCAGAAATAATCACATACATTTCTTTAAGAATTTATCATTGAGTAAAAACGATAGCGGTAAACGCATATAATGCTCATTTCTTTCAAAGAATAATATACATTGTATGCAATTTAAGCATCAGCAATCTCTGCATCAGTAGGCCTCAACATACACAAGGGGAAAACCAAGATCCTCAAATACAACACATAGAACACAAACACAACCACTCTTGATGGCGAAACTCTATAAGATGTAGAATCCTCCAGGTACCTAGGAAGCATCATCGATGAACAAGAAGGATCAAATGCAGATGGAAAAGCAAGGGCCACATTCTTATAACTGAAGAACATATGGAACTCAAAACAACTGTCTGTCAACCAATATCAAAGTCACAATCTTCAATACGAACATCAACACAGTCACCTCTACTGTACGGAGCTGAAAATTTTAGAACTACTACAACCATCATCAAGAAGGTACAAGTATTTATAAATATTTGTCTACACAAAATACTCAACATACAATCACCGAATACCATCAGCAACTGCATACTGTGGGAGTGAACAAACCAGCTTCCGACTGAAGAGGAAATTAAGAAAAGCCGATGGAAATGGATATGACATACATTACGCAAATCACCAAACTGCATCATGAGACAAGCCCTAACTTGGAATCCTGAAGGGAATCGGGAAAGTGGAAGGCCAGAGAAAACATTACGTCAGGAAATAGATTCAGATATGAAAAGGATGAATAACAACTGGAAAGAGTTGGAAAGGGTTGGCCAGGACAATGTTGGATGAAGAGTGCTGGTGGGTGGTCTATGCTCCTCCAAGGGGAGTAACAGGCGTAAGTAAGTAAGTAAGCAATTCAAGCATAGACCTACACACACGCACAACCAGGTAAATGTAGGATCTTCAGAAAACACTATTTGTAACTCTCTAACGATAAAAAAACGGGTTTTCTATAACGGTATGAATATATATTTCTATGCCGTTATTTTTATTCACAGTCAAAAGAACCTGTAAAATACTTCAACAGATTTATTAATTAACAGTTAAAATAAAGTTTCAAAACATGAACTCATTTCAATCAGATAATCATTGGAATCTAGCAAACTGTTTTATTTTACAATGAGACCAAACACCGATGTGTAGACCAGAAAAATGTCTAGTGGTTTTTGTCATTTTGTTTTAAAAATCGCAGTCAATATTTAACGCAAAACAACATTTGATGGTATTTAATTCATTTTTATTTCGTATTCGTTGTTTGAATCATCCCATCGATGTTTGAGACTGTATAAACCAGTGCCTATCAGGACTCGGTAGCTAAGTGTATAACGTGATAGCGGACGGCACCGGATTCGAGTACTGAAATGAATATCAACACTGGGATACACATACATCCAATTGACAAGTCTGTGGTAGCAGAAGGAATGGGAACAGAAAGCAATTGATATGGAAATACAGGAACAATGAAGTCTAAGACAATTATTGAACATTTTGCAAATGAAGTATTTACTATATGATTCTTAGACATTCTGTAATTTTGTGTTCAAATACATTTGATTATGGCCCCATTTGTGTTCTCGTTCACTATACTACTATTATGAATAACAATAAGTAGCTATTGAATAAATGATGAACTAATCGTATCAAAAACAGTTTAGCTAACCAAAAAAATGAACAATAATTATGGGTAAACATACGTGAATAAATCAGTACATTTACAGTACAATTTAATATCCATACTAAATGATTATAATGTAATTTTAAATTTTCACAAAGATACTTAACATTCCCATCTTCAGTAGCTGTTTGTATATCATCTGTAGTAATGAAAAACAGAGAGAGAGGAAGGGAAAGAAAAACCCAAATACAATGAAACATTGAAAATCGGTACAATCATCCAGATTATATCACAAAGTGGTCTTACCTAGACGAGCATTGAAAACCTGGAAGCAATAGAAACTCATTTCGTTTTAGTATGAGGCTTTCTATTAGTGTACATTTAAGACCCCGCATCTGGGATTCGAACTTACGAATATGAATTAAGATATGAAAAACTTACAATCTCGACAAATCCCTCCATACCAATAATAATTATTTCTAACTAACAATCCCATTTAGGGTGGAACTCTTGGAGTTTTAATGAGAAACAGTAAAAAATGACCATGCATGCTGAAAGAGAGCTATTCACTGCAGGGAGTGAGTGGGTGGGTGTTGCACACTGTGGTCAATTGATTGAAGGCAAAGATGTACGCGATTTGATTCCGGTACAAGACCAAGAATCCTAGCTTCGAATCCCGGACATAAGGTCGTAAATACACATTGTTGGAGTCCTATACCAGGACGAAAACGACCACCTAATGGTTCCAGGTTTTATATGGCACTTTAACCAATATCAGTTTTTTTTTATTTAAGCTATGAATTACTTAAACTGTAACGACTAAAGTACCAATCAAGAAAACACCACGCTGCATAGCTGGTCGTTACCAAGAGAATGAAACCCATAGTCCTACATCGGACTCAATATCACATATTGTTATATTACATTCGAATGAATTTACCAAATAACATACGTGCATGTGTACAAATGTTTGTCGAGAAAAGAAACCAAAGAATTTATTCAAGGGTGATGAAATACTTAATGAAATGAGTTTATGAAAACTTCGAGTCAGATACAATAAACACAGGCAACATAGATGCATAGTTGAAACAAGACATTGGATTAATCTTAAAACAATATTTAAAACTTTGTATGGGAAAAGCCGAGAACGGATTCTTAGGTTAACGGAAGCCTAAGCCACTAGAAAATTTAAACATCTTTAGTGTTCAGACTTTAAATTTGCTCTGATAACGTTTAAGGGATAAGATTTACATTCATGGAATCGCAGACCATTTGAATTTCAATATTTATAAGGTATGGAATATCTATCACTTTCCGTTCACTTGGTTAGTGAATGCTACGTAATAAACGAATTCATTTTCATTATTTTAATTAAAGCTCTTCTCATTCAAGAAGTACGAATACATTAACGTTTTGTGTTCATAGAAGATCTATGAAGATGAGTCAAGTGAAATCTCTAGTAAAAATTATACTCAATGAATGGAAGTGTTGGAAAAACCTAGATATTTCACTTTAATTGAACAATGAATAAAGGTTGGTTATTCTCATATATATTTGATCAGTGTGCTTATAACTATATGATAGTGATGGAGTTTTGTTCTCTGAGCTGGATGGTTTGGTTGTAGAGTTTCCATCGTTCTTCTGAACAAAATCATCAGTACAAACTTCAGATAGAAATGAAGTGTTCAAATTTCTCCACATGTGGTTCACAGCTTGTCCTATACAACTCGATATGGATTGGTTCTTGTTGACCTTAAACTTGTCATTGTTTACTTCTTCGTTTTGGTTGTATCTCCCATTGGTTTGATTTTTGTATATATATTTGTACATAATTTTCCTGAATACTTGATAAATTGGATCGATTTTAATGTGCTTGTTGATTGTTGATGAAAGCTTCATGACCAAACCATCCAGCTCAGAGAACAAAACCCTATCAAAATCATCCACCTGAGCTACAAATCTCCTCCACCATCTCAAAAACTATATGATAGTTGTAACTTGTGTTTTCTATGTTATATTCTCTTCTTTTGGTGGAGTTTTGTTCTCTGAGCTGGATGGTTTGGTTGTGGAGCTTTCATCGTTCTTCTGAACGGCATCATCAGCACAAACTTCAGATAGAAGTGAAGTGTTCGAATTTCTCCATATGTGTTTCACGGCTTGTTCTGTGCACCTCTCTTTTCTATTCTATTCTCTATTTAGGTTCCTTTGATATTTTATTTAACTGATCTTCCTTAGTTTCGATATAAAATCACATGATAAGTAAATGTGTGACCAGGTTGTTCGAGATAAATCCCACATTTTGTAGATCAAGTCTGTCACGTCATTAAACTATTGAAAAGTATAAATTATTATTATTATTATTATTATTATTATTATTATTATTATTATTATTATTTTACAGACACCACAACCAAAAATCATTCACCTCTTTTTACAGTTTAAATTAACAGTCAATAAATTGATGACCTGAAGTCATATGGTGAGGGATACGTGGTGACTGGATTGATGTAAAATATGCTCTAAATAAATCAGTCGATGAAGATTCACGGACACATAAGAAGAATCGAAACCTCTATCCGGTATAATTTACATCACTGTCATATTTCAACGACTTTGTCATATAGTTATTTCTTTACGCCTCTTGCCCTTCGTGATACATAGACCGTCGATCAGGAATTATCGACCCACTATATGATGGGTTCCCTTTCCAAATTGTTGATAAGTGCTATTAATTATTTCGCTGTCTTGCTCCAATTCCCGACGCAATGTATTTTTTGGTCTTTCTCTTTCCTTTTACCCTTTAACAGCCTGTCTTATGGTTCAGTTTTGATTATTCCCGTAATGTGTATCCTATCCGCCTCCAGTGTCTTTTGCTAATCTCCAATTCAGCTGGAAGCTGATATATTTTCTGCCAGAATGCGTTGTTTCTGATAGTTTCTGGCCAACAGATGTTCATTATTTTACGTAAACAACTGTTTACAAATACATGCATCTTCTTGAAATATCGGTTATGCAAATTTCGAGCTATCTACAGTGTACTATTACAATCAATCACTAACTGGATAAACTAGAATACAAATATAGTATTCACATGTACAAACACTAATCCACATATTATTGTAAAGTACCGGTGTCGATTCAAATATTAAAAAAACTTTCCCCTGGATAGACTCACTTTCTTGTTGTTTACCTATATTTTGTTGACTAAAGGCTACTGATTTGTTAAGTTCTTCTCCAATTCGATCTAACTGACTAATTGAAGTTTCTAAAAGACTATGTAAAACTCGCCGAACAAGACATCGACTAACTGGTCCAGGATTCAACTGTACTTCTGAAGTTGAGAATAAAATGAAAGAGAAAAATTATAATATGAAATTATTATAACCATCCAATAATCTTCAAGTAATATCTCACTGTATATTGTTAAATATTTAGGTTAAAAGCATTCTATAATGCATCAAATATATAGAATACATTCATTAGAAATCTTAATTCATTTCTAGATAGAAATTGAACTTAAGAAGAAGGGATCTGTAGAATGAAAGGTATAAAATAACTGTGAAACCTAAGATTTAAGACAACATAAGATGTGAGTGCATCTGCAGGATTCAAACCATTTCTAATCAATGTAATACAACGTACCAAAAAACATAAACTAGATGGTCTATTCCTACGACATAGCTTAGGACAGCAGTTAATTACTTTATAGAATGATTTTATTCAGTGGTTTGATCATTCCTAGATTTCTTACAACGTATTCCTCTGCCACATAACGTTACACGTCGTGATAGATGGTATTTAGCATTACGTAATAAATGTCTTAACCACCTTAATAAGTGAAGATCTACAACTTGATCAAGCGCTAGAGTTGAAGCTATCACAAGTTCAATTAATCTGCGAACAAGAAACAAGACTCGGTGACCAAAGACCAGTAAGCTAGCTATTGATGCATCCTAGCCCCCCTAATTAGAAGGATAAATCAAAGCTTGGAATAGGGAAGTATATTCTGCAAACAGCCAGAAACGAGCGATAACAGTAAACACAATTTAAAACGTATATATACAGTACAAAACTATCCTTGGGGAGAGTTACCAAATAGCATACTAAAAGACGCAACAGACCAATAGCATTTAAGATATTTCCCAGTGGGAAATACGACATGAAGGTGACAAGAGCGCCTTTGGCGCGAAAACAAAGAAATTCAAATTTTCTAAATAAAATTACAAAATTAGGTCGTTTCCCAAGTCAGTTCTGGGGATCTAACGTCCCCAACGTCAAGTGAGTTAGTAATTTTACCTAGTACTTTATATTTAACCTTAGTATGGTAGACCAAAAACAGATATCATCACAGTGCTTGTGAGGAAATCTGAACAATGTATTCGAAGGCATCAATAATCCAACACTAGTAATGTACTAATATTCACTATTTTCAAACGATTATATTTCATAGTCATAGAACAAAACAGAAATCCAGCAATAATAACGACAGTGATAATATCTAATAGTAACTTACCTGATTCCAAATTTACAACATAACCATCATAATCTTCATTATTTAAATCAGGTTTCATTGAAATTAAATATTGTAGAAAAGTTCTTATCAATTGAAATCGTAATGATGTATCCAATGAATAATGAAATACAGGACAAGATGAAGGGATTAATTCATTACTGAATTTTTCATCGATTATCATCCAACTAATTACACGACCAATTAAACGATTTAAACTAGTGAAAATAGGCATTAAGAGAGATGGAATAATAGACATTGGTCTATTAGTGTTATGATAATCATTATTATGCATATGTAATAATGAATTAGCTTCATGGATGCCAAATTCCAATAACCAAGCCATATTGTATAATACTGGTAATAAATTAGATTTGATAGCTGAACTAAGAACACAATTATCTGAATCCTATGTGAAATTCAAAAAGAAAATGGAGAATGAATTTGACCACTTTTGTTAACAAGATGATACTGTAATAAAGAGACTGAATATAATTTTTATTTATAAAACTACGAATGTAGACAGTATGACTCGAAAGTTTCTTTTAAAAAATGAGGTTAAATATCGAGATCTTTATGATCTGAGAAGCTTGATGTGCTGAGAGAACCATCCAATATTTCCATAGTGAGTCATCATTATTTAGATGAATAATGGAAAATCCACACCTGGAAAAGATTGTTTGCTTTTTGGAGGAACAGTCATCGAGCTTTTCACCTAAAAGTGTGATCAGATAACCCGTGAACAATATACATGCCTACGCCATTCTTTGCCTTGGGAAACTGAAACCCAAATGTACTGTTACTTTGCAAACTGCCCTAGTTGGTTTCTATATCATCATTAACAATGGTTACGAACCGAACAATACAATTTGACACTTCATTTTGCGCCAAGTAGAGGTAACAATTTAAAGAAGAGAATATAAAGACGCAGCTATAGACAAACTACTGAGTGAATACAGAAGGGAATTGCAAAAACCTATAAACTAAACTTTAGTACTATATAACGACCTATTTATATATTTGGAAGATTATTGAATAGATCCATTTGTGTTAGGAAAGGGGTACCAGGTAAGGATGGCAAATCCATTAATGAAGTAGTGAAACTTCATCAGTTGAGATGACTGGGACATGTGTTATGTATACCCAACCACCGACTGCCTCGACGTGCGATGTTCAATGGTATAGGATTAGGTTGGAAGAAAGCTAGGAGCGACCACACCAAAACATGGCACAAATCCATGAAGTCACTGACAAGTGCACAGAGTGAGTCATGTTGGTAGGTGTAGACTACCTAGTTGGGGACCGCGAGATGATAGAAACCGATGGTTAGAGACCTTGAATAACATGGCTCAACATCGTTTGCAATGTTGCAGGTGCATCCACTGTTTGTGTTCTCCCAAATTCTAATCACCTGAATCCTCCTTGTCTCTTTTTTTCTCTTTCCAAATTTATTTCACTGGATTATACTCGTTGAATAACATCCTCGAACCCTAATCTTTCAGATTACTGTTTTTACTTTTACTACCTTTATCACTACGGGATTTGAATGGACAACTGCATCTCTGTGCTAATGTGGTATGGGAACTCGAACTGATATGCGTACGTACGTACTTACGTACGAAGTTCTACGTTGTGATTGACTGACAGACTGATTCATGAATATTCAGCATAAATTGTAATCAAATGAATACATAATAATTCAAAAAACAAACAAACAAACATATACATAAACTAACCTGTAATAAAATAATGAAGGCATCTAAACCATAAGTACATAACTCAATTTCTGGTGTACTGGTTTCATCATCAGCATCATTATTGATAGTAGCCGTAGAAGAACTACAATGATTTCCTTTGTGATGATCATCTTTATTATCTTTCTGATCAGATTTTAACTTTGTACGATTAATTATTTTTAATTTAACAATACAGCTTATTAATGCATCAATGAAACTACCAATCAATGTTGAAAATAACACTGGAAATGTAGATAATAGATAATATTTATGAAAATTAGGATTATTACAACGGTTGTTATTATTATTACTATTAGTAGTAGTAGTAGTGGTAGTAGTAGCAGTAGCAGCAGTAGTAGTAGTAGTAGAAGTGGTAGTAGCAGTAGTAGTAGTGGTAGTAGTAGCAGTAATGGTAGTAGTGGTAGTAGCATTCTTATTAGCTGGCAATTGATCATATCTCGCATTACTGATATTTGAATTATTATTTGCATTGTTGATGATATTTTCAAATTCGACAGAGATAATAGGATGGTGATGATGACACTGATGATGAGCATGATGAATGTAAGTTGGTTCAGAGATAAATCCAGTTACATCATGCGAAGAAGATTCTAATAAACAATTAGTTTTCTATAATTGTAAGCAAAAAGAAAAAATAATAACGTAAAGAAATAAACTGAGAATACATATATAGATCTTTTTTTAAACGGTATTGATATCGACAAAATGGAAAACTGCCTGGATTCGGTAATATGCAATATTATATCCCGACAAAATGGTTTAATGAAAATACATTAGCATCAAAACTTAAAAGCCCTACATTCGATCCTGGGTGGAATTGTATAGAGCACTGATGAAGAGTACCAAGATAGGATTAAACAGTTTTTCAATGGTCTTTGTTATTCGGCAGTAATATATGGGAGATCCGTTTCTATGATACAAACTATCATCATTAAGTAAGAAAATCTGACTGCAGTTGATGATAATTCACATCCTAAAAAAGATTATTTATCATAGTTATCTAGATCCCTACATCAAACTTCAGAATAATTCACTTTGAAACATCAATATATACTCGAAAAAAGCCTCAAAGAAATCTATGAACACTTGCGAGAAACTTATATAATCAGAAAGAGTCTCGGCAAAACTATGATTTGTGAACGAACCAATCAGATTTACGATTAAAGATCATGAATTTGGGCGCAAATTTAATTTGTCTATTTGGCTAAGTAGAAGTTTGGTATTAAAGGTGATGTCAGTTCATGATGAAAACCCTAAATCTAATTCCTAACCCTAACTATCAACTGTAAACTTACTTACGCCTGTTACTCCCCTTGGAGGAGCATAGACCACCCACCAGCACTCTTCATCCAACCCTGTCCTGGCCAATCCTTTCCAGCTCTTTCCAGTTGTTATTGATCTTTTTCATGTCTGCTTCTATTTCCTGACGTAATGTTTTCTCTGGCCTTCCACTTTTCCGATTCCCTTCAGGATTCCATGTTATGGGTTGTCTCATGATGCATTCTGATGATTTGCGTAATGTATGTCCTATCCATTTCCATCGGCTTTTCTTAATTTCCTCTTCAGTCGGAAGCTAGTTTGTTCACTCCCACAGTATGCAGTTGCTGATGGTATTCGGTGAATGTATGTTGAGTATTTTGCGTAGACAACTATATATAAATACTTGTACCTTCTTGATGATGGTTGTAGTAGTTCTAAAATTTTCAGCTCCGTACAGTAGAGGTGACTGAGTTGATGTTCGTATTGAAGATTTTGACTTTGATATTGATTGACAGACAGTTGTTTTGAGTTTCATATGTTCTTCAATTGTAGGAATGCTATCCGTGGTTTTCCAATCCTCGCTTTTACATGTGCATCAAATTCTCCTTGTTCATCGATGATGCTTCCTAGATACGTGAAAGATTCCACAATTTTCGCCTGTAAATAATAATCTTAATTCCTCACAGTGGTTTATAGTACTGAATTGATTATAATATGTACATGGATATTTACCGGAGCAAAACAGGGCACAAGTCCATCCAGTCACTGACAAGTGCACAGAGTGAGTCATGTTGGTAGGTGTAGACTACCTAGTTGGGGACCGCGAGATGATAGAAACCGATGGTTAGAGACCTTGAATAACATGGCTCAACATCGTTTGCAATGGTGCAGGTGCATCCATTCTTTGTGTTCTCCCAAATTCTAATCACCTGAATCCTCCTTGTCTCTTTTTCCTCTTTCGAAATTTATTTAACTGGATTACAGTCCTTGAATAACGTCTTCAAATTGTAATCTTTCCGATTACTGCTTATACTCTTACTACCTTTACCAGTACGGGATTTGAATGGACAACTGTATCTCTGTGTTAATGTGGTATGACAACTCGAACTGATGTACGTACGTACGAAGTTCTACGTTGTTACTGACTGACTGACTAACTGTAAATGGAGATTCTCATGATCTTTTTATTATCATCTCTCTTCGAAATTGTTCATAAATGATAATCTTATCAATACAAATTGATTAATACACATATATAATCCATAAATCTTACCTGAAAATATTCATTCATTATTATTATTTCATTAGAATTCATGAATGAAAATTTCCCTAATCCATGTAAAATTAAACCGAATGAACGATTTAATAATTTTTTAGAACATAAATGACGATTAGAATAATAAGTTTTAAGATCAATATCTGAATTACAATTTGTTATACATAGAAATGGTAATGTTGGTAATAATAATCCGATAGCAAATGAACGTATTCTTGATAATTGATATGGTATAATTCTATGCAATTGTGTAGTATTAGTAGTATTATTAGTAGTGTTAGTAGTTGGATGATGATGATGATGATGTAATGTTGTTACAGGAATAGACCAATCAAAGTAAATAGATTGACTGAAATTTGTTGATAATTGTTCATATTTTTTTATCCATTTATTAGCTTCAAAATGTAACCAAACACAGTAACCGATAAGAGCCTTTAATGAGAAGATAAAATAATTAACAGTGAACAGATACATGAATAAAATTTTTGAATTCATGAATCAATTGCAGCTAGACTATCATGGAAAATCTGGCAGTATTGGTCGGCCGTTTCGTCCTATTGTGGGACTCCTTAATAATGAGCGATTGTGCATATGCTCATTAGTGACTGGCGTCAAGATGTACATTACGGAGTTCTAGTGAGAAGCAGTGAATAGTGGAGTTCAATCAGGTCTGTTGTGAGTCAGTGACTCATTGAAGACAATGGTGACGGTGGCGCAATTTCGTGGATTGGTTGAAGTTAGACATTAACATCGTTGAACGCCGGCCAGCTCAGTGGTCTAATGGTTAAGCGCTCGCGCGCAAGATTGATAGGTCCTGGGTTCGAATCTCGCGAGGCGAAATCGTGGATGAGCACTACTTAGGAGACCCATACTAGGGCAAAACAGCCGTCCAGTGCTTCCGGGTATTTTATGGTGGTCTAGCTTCCGTTGAAACATGAATTCAACTATTAAATTAATATAATATCCACGAATCCCCTCTCAGATGTATATATTTTGCATTATCTCTTATCCAAATTAGTGAACACTTCTAAATGTCATATGTGCTGTATGCATTTTGGCATGCTTTAAAACTGACAACTAAAAGGCTATTATGCACAGGAGTACGGTTAACTACTACGTACACTGATTTGAGATTAGGATCCAAAATGAATTTTAAACCGATTAGAGTTGTTCTACCTTTCTTCCCTTTCAATTAATGGGTGTCCATGAACATATGAAAACTTTTAAGCTCAAAAGGAATATGATGATGGCATTAGTGCGATGTTAAAGCGTATGTATAGAATCAAGTGACTTCATCTTTCACTAACGGAAAGTTTGGTTGCATATAATATATCCACGATAGCTATTTAAAGCTTTCAACTAAAAGATACACTAATGAATTCTCCCCTGAGTAGACAGCATAATGTAAATAATTCAAGAACTTTCATTAGATGCTTCCAACAACTTAACATATAAACATCGTGTGAGTAAAACTGTGATCCTAAAAATAACGACCACACTGTAACTTTGTCGATATAGTTCAATCAGATTCGAAATTAATTAGTATATTTCATTCCTAAAGAAATCCAATCACAGAATAGATAACTCTGATCGTGTTCCAATCAGTTTAGCTCAATTCAGTCATACTGATAGGTGAACCAGACTATCACTTAACAACAGCAGATTTGGTGGTGATAAATCAACATTTATAAATATAATGAAAATAAAATTATTCATAATCAAAGTACATTTGTTCACAACTGGCTTTGAGCCATACTGTTCAAGCAAAATTTTTGATACCCATGCAACGGCGAGACTATAATTTATGGACGAACCAATCAGGTATAAGATAACAGGTCTTGGATTTTGGCGCGAAATTCATTCATCCATTTGGCTGAATAGATTTTTGGCATTACAACTGATGTCGATTCGTGAGGAAAACCCGAAATCTAATTCCTAACCTTAACGATCAACTGCAAATCCTAATTTTAATTCCCTACACAGGTTTATAACCATCATTTGGTCTTAGTTATTAGGTGAACACTCTCAAGGTCAGTTCAGGGTCGCTCAAATCTCGTCCATAAATTATAGTCTCACTCATGCAACTTCTATAACTGATGTAGAACAAATTGAAACTTAAGTGTCACAGTTCCACAATGAATTCTCATTATTACAATATAAAATAATACAATAAATACTTACACATTCACGTTGAGATAAATATGGATGTCGTATTAAACTATAAATCAACCATAAAGGTGGTCGAATTGAAGTAGAACAATGTGATGCAATTAATGAATTACTATTAATATGATCTAATAATAAAGGATAAGTTGATTTCAATTTATATAGATTCCAATCATTTGAATGTGAAATATTTTTTGTGAAAACATGAATAAATCCTTGATGTTTATCCCCCTGCTCCTCCTCCTCGTCGTCGTCGTCGACGTCGTCCTTCTCCTCCTTCTTCTTCTCTCCATCCATCTCATTATTGTTATTGAATTTGATTATATTTCGTTTCAGCTTATCTTTGAAATAAACTTTTGATAATAATTCAATTGGAAAATGTCTATACCAAACATGATCTAAACAATGAATTAAATGTTGAGAAAATATACTATTTTGTTCAATACGTAATTGAACACAATTTAATATATATTTATTAGTAGTATAATCAGTTTCAATGAAATTATTTAATTCTTCTTGAATATGTTGTGTAGGAATAGATTCATTATCTATAATGTAATGAAAGAAAAAAAGAAAAGAAAACTAGAATAGGATGAAAAGATTAGTAAAACAACGTCAGGACAAGAGAAGATTTTGTAGAACAATCAAAACATTTTGAGTGATCTACCATATACCTTTATGATTTTCGAAGAGTTCGATCCCAACTCCTACATACAGATAAAGCTATAAGAATTTATATATTTAACCCCAATTTATGTGTATAGAAGAAATTCGTGACCACCCCCTCCAATCCCTTTCATGGCCGGATATAACTTAAACGCCCTTTTTTAATAATTATTATTTTCAATAGTTGAAATCATGAATCAATTGAAGATAGAGCACAATGGAAAACCTGGAAGCACTGGATGACCGTTTCATCCTTATGCTGATAGGTCCTGGGTTCGAATTTCGTGGGGGGGCGGGATAGTGGATGTGCACTGCTGAGGAGCCCCATACTAGGACAAAACGACCGTCCAGTGCTTTCAGGTTTTGCATGGTAGTCTAGCTTCACATCCTGTATTAGCTTGCTCTTTTCGTTTGTATTCTTCATTATCTAATTATTTACGCACTTCTTATTACGTAATGATTTTAATGTTATGTGATAATCAAAACATAAAGTCAATTATTTCTATTTTGACATTTATGTGTCCCTTCAATTGATGAAAAGTCTCAAAACGGAATGATAAGTTAATTGTATCCTGAAAATCTCAATGTTCTTTTCACTATTCAACATTTAAGACCAAAGAGAATTGAATTTTTTATGAACGAAACTAGGTTAGAAGTGTTTTTCTCAATATCTACAATTGATTGATCGATGAGTAGTTATCGGTATCATGTTAGTTGTCACGGTACCATGGAACTAAGTTTCGTGTGAGCTGGTACTCATCAGCAAGAAATCCTTGTAAACCTAAGTGAATTCATGCACTTTTCAGAACGTTAAAGCTCACGATCCAGCTTCACAGTCTTAAAAGTTATCACTAAGTTATTCAGATAATCACTGACTTCCTGTAGGACTAAGCTATTTACAATCGATTATACACTGAGAGTAGTGGTTTGCTTAGAATTATGAAATCATTTATCAATACTATATTCTCCCCATGTTTCAAATATTATTCTTTTTAGTATATTTAGCATACAGTTAGCAATAGAGTACAAAATTTGTGTTTCATTTTAATTAGGACTCATTAGTTGAATATTCTTGCTTCCCATTACCTTTCACTCTAAACATACAACGCATCCTACATTGAGCTAATGAGTTGAAATAACCGATAAGTTATTTAACCAATCACACACAAACTTGTTACACTACCCAGTATCAAGGTAATTAGCTTAGAATTCATGAATATTAATAGAGATTGGTTAACAGTTATTAAGTGATTAATAAATTATAAATGAATAATTAAAGATAAAGAATCAAAACTAACTAACCTTCAGACATATTACATACATCCTTTTCTACATTTATTAGATCAACACTACTAACCGGTAAAGATGATATACTTACACCGGAATCTGAAATAACCATTGGATACTTTATAGATTCAATCATGTTCAATTGGTATCCTTCATTACTTGACAATTGTTCTTTTTGTTGATGTTGTTGTTTCGATGTAGATGATGATAATGATGACAATGATTGACAGTGATTAGATTGAATTTCTGCTGCTTTAATTTGATTCTCTTCAGTATTACTTAAATTTTGTGTTTGTATTCGAGTTATATCATATGATGTAGAAGAACCAATTAAAAGTTTAGATGAATTTTTTTCAAATGAAGTTTGATTAACTTAAACAAACGAAAGAAAAGATTACAATACCAAGTTTAATATTTGAAATATATGCAGAAGTGAATATTTAGTAGAGATAATACAATCTGAAAGGATTTCGTAGAGATTTAAGTAATTTTATAATTGAATTCATGAGTCATTTGAAGCTAGACCACCATGAAAAATCTGGAAGTAATGGACAGTCGTTTCGTCCTAGTACGGGACCAGGTCTGTTGTGAGATAGTAATTCACTGATGACGATGGTGGACGGTGGCACAATTTCGTGGATTGGTTGAAGTTAAACATTAACATCGTTGGATGCCGACCAGCTCAGTGGTCTAGAGGCTAAGTGCTCGCGCGCGAGACTGATAGGTCCTGGATTCTAATCTCGTGAGGCGAAATCGTGGATGCGCACTACTGAGGAGTCCTATACTAGGACGAAACAGCCGTCCAGTGCTTCCGGGTATTCTATGGTGGTCTAGCTTCAATTGACTTATGAATTCGACCATAAAATAATACAATCTGTTAAACTAAAGTTATTCGAGTATTTTTCAATGTTCAATAAGTTTGCAGAATTCGGTATCTTTAGATATGTTCCGTTCATTTAGTAGGTGAATACTAAATTTGGGAGTACAATTGTCACTGAACATTTCATATATATATATCTGCTATGAACAAGTCAGTTTAGTGCATCTAAACACACAAAATGACACACAAAAATATACTGAAAATTAAGATTGTAAGTGAAACCTCCAGTAATAATTACACTCTTTTATGCACTACTACTCATTCACAAAAAAAAAAAACAGAAAAGTGTCCAAAAGTGAAGGATACAGTACATTTAAGAAAACGATGAGAAAAGCCTGAATAATCACAACCATTTGTTCCTACCATTAACTAGAGTTCGATAGTGAATGAAAAATGTAATTGTGGTAATGACAAAATAGAATGGTGGTCGATGAAAATAATAACTAATGACTACGTACGATAGCGAATTATTATTGACACAAGCCCTTAAAGACAAAACAACTAGCAAAACGAACAGGTTCTTTTAAAACCTAATATGTTTCTTCAAGAATTATCAACTGAACAATAAATATGATTGGATATCATAAGTAACTAGATATTACAGTCTAATGACTATCAGGCTTGATTCGCACTCATTTCACAAGGTTTACTATTATAGAAACACTTAAATACAAGATACTGTCTGGAACTACCTAAAATCAAGACTTTTTGTTATTTTTGATCGATGAAGTAAAAATGTATGTAATGCCAACTAAGATTTTTACTATCAGTCAGTCAGTTAGCTGCAACGTGGGACCAGGCACACATATACATCAGACCAAGATGCCATATTTCATTAGCACAACAACATGAACACCGAATTCATAAAAGTAGTTAATTCAGTGGTGGTAATATATAAAAGAAAGATTACATATAACGATATAGTACAGGAAGAAAGAATGAGTACGTAGAAAGAAAGATATGAAGTGATTTTATTATTTTAGTTTGAGGGAAGACATAGAGTGTATACACCTACACCATTGTGATCGATTCTGAGGTATGTCGCCCACAGTCTCCAACCATTTGTTGCGGTAGTCACGCGAAACCCAACCAAGTAGTTTGCATCTGTAAACATGGCTCAGTCTAGAAGTTAGTGACTTCTACTGTAATATGATTTGAATAAACTTATAAGACAATTTATTCTATCATCGGGTTAATCAACATAAATCATTCACTTGTTATTGTATTATATATACGTATTAGGCTGATCTAAAATGTAATTAAATATTTGCATTCTAATTAGAAATACAACAAATTGCATTACAGAGCTATACATTATACATTATTGATTTAATTACGTTTCTAACTACATTTATTGTATGTCTTTTTCTTGTCTTAAACGGATTTGAAGTTGTTCTTTTTGTTATTTTTTCATACATAATGGAACACTTAAATGAACAATCTTGATGTTTGTATTTAAATGAACTTTGTACTACATAATAAATTAAAAAGTGGTAACTTTAGTATATTAATTAATACATTCAAAATACATGTACGTGTGACTCGATTGGTAAGTGTAAGACAGTCAATCAGCTACAACATAGGACCGGGCATATATGTGCATTGATCCAAGTTACCATACCTCATTAACACAACAAGATGGACACCGGATTCATAGAAATAGTTAATTCAATAGTGGTAATATATAAAAGAAAGATTGCAATAAGGATATAGTACAGGAAGAAAGAAATAGTAGGTAGAAAGATATGAAGCGATTTTAATCTCACAGTCTAAGGGACAATAGAGGGTGTATATATACACCTACTCTAACCGTTGTTGCTACCTTGACATGGTGGTCGGGCTTGCCTATCGTGTTGAACCAATCGAGCTAAACGGGCTGGGACAACCGTTTCTCAAGGTTCTAAAATTACGGACAGGTCGGTTGAAGAGCGGTAAGACTAAAAGCAGCACACCAAGGTCTGAGGGCGAAGTCGTACTACTGACTGTACAGAGGTGTGACGGCAGTCAAGTTTTTTCTACAGACAACCAGCATAACAGCGATGCTGCTTTCCTACAAGGAGGGGTGGGATTAGAAAAGGTCGACCCTTGAAATGCACACCTCGCCTTATCCCACGGATATCCGTTTGTGGCGGTAAGGTCTCAACAAGTACGGAGCTAACCTCCAGAAGAACCCTCCCACGGTGTGAGCAACCGACCTCATACGTCTAACAGCACTCAAGACCACTGATGAGTGTAAATTGGAATAAAATTAGTAACTTGACTGAAAAAAAACGAAATAAACATACGTTCACATTTGCCTTCAGTACTGTTATCACTATTATCTATCACTTTATTATGATTAAATGATAAGTATTCCCAAATTTTTAAACGTTCCGTATAATTTAAACACTTTCGTGTAATTTTATGCCAAAATAAATAATCATTATCTAATGTTGATAATGATATTTGTGATGTAGACATGGATAATGGTGATGTTGATGTTGACGCTTTAGTTTCTAACTCATCATTATGTATAAATAATTGATGATCAATATTACTCTTATGATCGGGATCATCATCATCTTCATCATGATCGTTATTATAATCTGACATAGTATAAAATACTTGTTCAGCTGCAGATAAATACATATTAGCATCTAAATTAATAATTAAACGACATAAATTCAATAGACATAATCGTTTTGCACAATAAAATGAATGAATATAATCAGTATTATTATTATTATACAATGACTGTCTATGTATTGATTCCAAGGTTGCTCCAGTTTTACTCGGCCCATTTGTCACTACGGATAATGAAAGACGATTTATCAGACAATTCATCAATGAAGTAATTGGCCACTGCTGTGTTATAAATCTCAAATGTTCATGATTCATTAATGTTCTTTGTATTGAATGATGATTATCATTTTCTACGAACAATTCCTGTGAAAAAAATGAAGCGTAAACAAAACGAAAGAAATTTTGAGAAATTACAAGAACAACAAACAATACATTCAATCTTGATAGGAGCGGCTATGTCCATTGGGGTTTTCAGTTGATCTATGATAATTGCGGGTTCAGATCCCGCCGTGAGTGTGAATTTGCCCCCAAATGCCCTGGTAAGGCAGAGAGTGGGGAAAGTTAGCCCTCTTCTCGAAGGGCTCTTACATGACCTCGTGCATACAAACACTACCAGGAAAGTCCTACTCACTGCCTTCTCGTGACGATACTGTTGTTTACGAAACTGAAAGGATGAAAAACGAATATCCGATGCTTTAAGGGGGTTGGTGGATACGGAGGATCTACCTAGAGGGGTAGGAAAACCCTGATTCCAAACTGATGGTGCACATGGGCTTCAGTTTCCTGAAAGAATAAATGGCGTACAATGCAATCGTTGATCACCGGCTAACATGAGAATACATCTACTAACGTTGCTCCACTACCTTGTGGATTAAACCTTTAGGTTGAAGGCTCTGGAGGTGTCTCCCTAAGTAAACCACCTACTTCGGTTTTGAGCACCCGGGCAGTATCCCAGCCCTCACATAAACCGAATGATTTATGTGATGCATACCTTTTTGGTACCTCCTTGTAACGATATTAATGTGTTTAAATAAATAAATAAAAACGGTGTCTGGATACCGCGAACGAACACGATAAAGTGGAAGAAAGACCAAATACTCAAGCTCAGTATATGTAGTAACAGAAACATGACATTGAGGTACACAATAAACCAATACTGAAAGTGGTAAAAACTAATCATTACAGAGTAAACATCGTTTTACAAAATTAACTAGAAAAATCCACACGACTTCCAAATTATTACCAATTTTCTAATGTATAAGTCGAATTGATCTTCATAAAACAACCACTGAACAATAGGAAGTGGCGAATATCTATTTCATCCTAGTCTATAATTCCTCAAAACTGTTCACCCATCCTTCAAGAATAGTGAAACCTGAAGGTCTCATAACTCAAATGTTTAAGAATATTATACTAAGATGAAACAACGTCTTAATTTTTTAATGCTTGTCTTACAAACATTGATCTGAGATGTAAATGACCAAATTCATCAATCTCCACAAACCATTAATAATAGTCATTATTATATTCAAATCAAACTAACTCGAAATCCAGTCAACATTGCCATAATTAATTGCCATTTATCTAATATAGACAAATTATATAATTTGATAATGATTATAGTTGAATTTGACAATTCATTAATATTCATTAATAATTCAAATATTCCAGGTATTAAACCATAATTAAATAAAATCGATTTGTTTGATGATTTAGAAAGATCAGTTGAATTCTGAGTACCAAATCCAGATTGTTGTTGTTGTTGTTGTTTCAATGAAGGATACCAGAATGATTGTGAACCGAATAAGATAAGACAGCGTAATAAACTTGGATTGATCAATAAATGTGCAATGGATGATGTATGGTTCATAGATTTTTTACATAAAATATTTACAGGAAATGTCAATATGATTTCATTTAGTAAAACCTATAAATGTAAAAAAGATTATGTGAAATCTGGGGATAAAAGATTAAAAATTAACAAAAAGAAATAATAAAATGGGGGGGGGTGGAGATTGTAGTGATTTTAGTAGCTGAAGCCATGAGTCGATCTAAGCTAAACCATTATTGAAAACTTGGAAGCAATCAACGGCCGTCTCTTCCTAGTATAGGACTCCTCAGTAGTACGCATCCACGATCATGCATGCGGGACTCAACTATTAAAGTCACTACAATCTGATATTATTCGTCATATGTTCACTAGTGACTGGGTTCGAGACACATTTCCTGCAGTTCTAATGAGAATTCAAGACCAGTGGAATCCAATCCATGTCGAGTTGAGGCAGGTATCTATCTCAGACAATGGATGAATAATTGTGCAAGATCATGGAGCGACTGAGGGTAGACATTACCACAGTCTGATGCCGGATCAGTGGTCTAGAGGTTAAGTATTCGCGCACGAGGCCGAAGGTCCTGAGTTCGAAACCCGCCTGGAGAATCATGAGTGCCCACTGCTTAGGAGTCCATACAAAGACTGAACGGCCGTCCAGTGCTTCCAGGTTTTTAATGGTAGTCTAGCTAGAATCGACTCATGTATTCAGCGATTTAAAAAAACAAATAAACTGGTTAAGTAATCAATAAACTATTAAATAATCGTACAATAACAAAGGAATGAAAGTTTTATATCAGCTGCAGAAATAGATAAATGAACATGTTAAGCTTGACATCCGAAATTTGTCCATCTACATTGAAATGCATTTAGAAGTAAAATGAACTAATTAGCTTTATTATTTTGTTTCAACTTTTCAACGTTCAGAACTAGGATTAAAAAAAGACAAATTAAGACTTTGTATTCTACATGAAACTAGAATAGAAATCAATGTATCAGTTACATTTGTGAACCATTTATCGAACATAAGTTCCCAGTAGAGCTTCAGGATGGATTCTCATTAATTAGTGTATAATTATAATCGTGATATGTAATTTATGAGGTTGTAAGTGTCAGTTATAACTGAACGTAGAGACTAATACAATTGTACGTCAACTCAAGTTGTCACGTTGTAGTGAAGGAGGACAAGTTGGTAACATAGAAAAAACATACTCTAATACTTAATTTGCGAAATGTTCATGAATTGTCCCGAATTTCATTGTTCCTGCATTTCTATACTAAGTGCTTTCTATTCCCATTCTTCTCTTCTTGATCATCTCAATCTTCTGCTACCAGACATTATATTCTTGACTCGAGTCATATACTACTTGTGTCAATATAAGTAGCACACACCATAACATCATATCAATAGTACAAAAGATGAAATTATTAAGAGGAATTTCAATCTGGATTGCAATAGTTGTCTTATATTCCATAGTTTCCAAGTTCATATCAAATCATGGTAAAGATATGTTTTTTGCAAAAGTAAACTTACATGAAATCCGAGCAAATAGTGTCTGAAGAAAAAAAACCCCGCTGAAACTACTTACTTTCATAATTTCATATGATTTAGATGAGATCATATTAAATTCTGGATGTTTGAATAGACGAGCTAATAGACAATGTCCAAAACTTAATGGAACTGGTTTACAATTTAGCTGATTATTACAATTTTGAAATAACCATAGTTTTTTATGTCGTCTTTCCATTGAATTCTCTAAACCAGGATGCGATAATGCTGGTGCATAAAATTTTGCATACATTATACTAGAATGATGTAACATTGTAAAGAGTAATTTTAGTCCATATGAAATCAAATTAGAACTGTGTGATTGACAGACAAGCTGTATAGATAAAAGAGAATTGTAGTAAATATAATAATAATAATAAGTAGTGGATATTGATTATAATTAATACTTTAGAGACATTGTCCCCATTCACAACCTTATGCTCAATGGTGACTACTTTCTAAATGGATTCCTTCCTACCGACACTTCTGTTGAGAATCATGATCTTGATTATGTCAGCAAAGTCTATATTAAGGCACTATATAAACGAAGACATTGAATATGAACATTAAAAACCTTCAAGATTATAAAAACGTCTTTATAAAGTACGGTAATAAGTTTCATTATTATTACTATTACGGTTATACATAATTCTCTACCGTTATTTATATCTTCAGTGTTACGGTTAGCACTATAATCTCGACCTATTTGCAACTTACCTAGTAAATTTCATTTCTCATTCTTATGTAATTTAGATCGATAAACACCTACCATGTTGTCTACGTCGGACTGAATAAAAAATAGCCCATCAAAGTGTACCTCAGTTTAATTTACATACAGTGTGAACTTCAACATTGAGACAGCGATACGTTTAACTGATAAGTCACAAGCAGGACTGAACAAACGTCCTTTATCCCAATACTAACCAATATACAATCGGTTCAAGTTATAATAGGCTCAGGATCCATATATCATAAGAAAGGTTGATAAAAATTTGTACCTGAATATCAACAAGGGATGGTAAATGTTTTTGATGGAGTTCTGTTCTCTGAGCTGGATGGTTTGGTTGTAGAGTTTCCATCGTTCTTCTGAATAAAATCGTCAGCACAAACTTCAGATAGAAATGAAGTGTTCGAATTTCTTCACATGTGGTTCAGAGTTTGTCCTGTACAATGTGGATTGGTTCTTGTTGACCTTAAACTTGTCATTGTTTACTTCTTCGTTTTGGTTGTATCTCCCATTGGTTCGATTTTTGTTTATATATTTGTACATAATTTTCCTGAATACTTGATAAATTGGATCGATTTTAATGTGCTTGTTGATTGTTGATGAAAGCTTCATGACCAAACCATCCAGCTCAGAGAACAAAACCCTATCAAAATCATCCACCTGAGCTACGGATCTTCTTCATCATGAAAGATGTTTGTTAAATTATTATAAAGTACTTAAAAGTGATAATAATCGATTAACCTAGAAATTTTAAAATCAGTTATATGGGTGTTAAAATATATGGTAAAAATATTCCACAAAAACTTACTTCACCAAGAAGGCAAATTGCCACTTCAATACCTCCATGGGGTTCAAAAACTGAATCAAAACTTTCCCGATAATAATAGTCAACATAGTGAGATATTGATTGATTGTTATCAGGTGAATATATGCTCCTTAACAACCATAATCGCTTTTTAGACGAATGAGCATAACTGATTAAATAGGAGGTATAAAGAAAAGGGAATAAAGTCATAATCACTGGTGAGATCTAAACAATTAAATGAGAAGAAAATACATAGATATAGTTACATCTAGCAAACAATCATTCAAGACAGTTGAAATAAACTCGTTAGGACCCATGCTCTTAGGGTTTTCTTCAATTTGATAAGAGTTAGAAGACCAGTTAATAGGTAGATAATAAGTAACTGGAAAGCATTCACAGACCAGTTGAATTGTTTTCAATAGGAATAAACATATACGTATACTTTTGAAGGTGAAACAAGAAATAAAAAACAGTATTATTAAAAGTGAATCTCGTAAAGATTAATTAACGAAATAACTTCAGGAACCCATCTTGAATAAATTCACAATTTTTTTGGACTTAATTTATTATTGAATAAATTCCTGAAGTTTGACTAAAAACGGGCACGGTGAAGTGAAGCAGTACTCAGTGATGAAAGTGTAAGATCCTCATGCTTTATTATAGGTTGATTAAGGTTGAAAAGAAGAATTGTTGGATATGAGTCCAATGGTTTAATGGTTGAGTGCTCGCTGTGACACCGAAATCTCAAGAGTTCAACCTCCAGTGAAGTCATAGATGAGCACTAGGGCGAACAATTTGTTCAGTGCTTCTAATTTCAGTGATATCTCAACTGAGATCAATCATTTAAGAGCATTATATTACAAAAGCTTACCATCAAATTGAATGCCGGAGACTTTTTTCAGATCACTACTTAGTATTGTAGATCAAGTTTTTACGACTAAACTTAGCCGTAAGACAATACCTACAGAAGATTTCTTTTTTTGATTGAGATTATGAACCGATTGATGTTAGCCCACCATTGGAAACCTGGAAGCACTGGACAGCTGTCCTCAGTGGTCCAGTAGGTAAGGCATTCGTGCGCAAGACTGAAGGCCCTGGGTTCGAATACCGCAAGCGGGATCGTGGATGCGCACTGCTGAGGAGTCCCATACTACGACGAAACGGTAGCCTAAAATTTATAGGTTTTCAATGGCCATGTAACACTGATCAGTTCATGATCTCAATTAATATAATCCAATAGCAGATGAATTTCAACAAAGTCATCATTTTTGAAAGTCTACAGACTGGTTTGAATCCTCTTTATTACTAGACCGATATTTAAGAAACAAACAGTTTGGGTACATTAAAAGAGTACTTAAAATGAGGAAATTTTTATATACTACCAACGTTTTAATAATTTTTTACTAAACATGACTCCAGGTGTAAAGTCTTTGAAATAGTGATAATCATTTAGTTATATATACTGGTTGAACTAAATCTTGTAATCACTAACATTCATTAACTTTGCCTGGAGCCCCTCTGGAGCTACTACCAGTCCTAAGCCCGGATAAAGGAGGAGGGTTGGGAATGGGGTTAGCGACCCCATCCCGTAAAAAACTAACTCATTAAAAGAACGCTGACCAGGAAAAATTATTCAAACCATTTAAACTCTGCCATGGAAGTCAGAATGTCTTCATTTAGAAGAGTTATGACAAATCATGTTGAAAGCCGAGTTCCTTCGGAAGCCACGAGGCTGATGCCCCTTCTGAGCAACTACTTATTTAGGTACATTAACAAAGTATAGAAGTATTATACAGGAAACATGTTCTCTCCTTATATTTGGAAGGTCCTATGGAGAGGGATGTTTCTTTGGAATTGAATAATGCCCGGAAGTACCTCATCGATTCGGTTACAAAATATTATTTTTTAAAAAAGTGGAAATTGATCGGTTCAAAAGTGTCAAGTAATACCTACACTGGTATAACTTGGTAACCGGTTTTAAAGATAATTTGATGGGTACAATGTTTAAAAGTTACGCAATTACTGTTATCAATAGTAATAATAATAATACTTATGATAATGAGTGTAGTATCAGTTACTATGTTCAGCCCACACAGCTTATTCTAGCCTTCGGAGTCACGTTTTGACCTTGTTAATTATTCACTTATGAACCTTGACTGTTTTTATATGGGCGTATGTTTGTGTACACTTCTTATCCTGTTCATCACATGTTTGTAACCTATTTTTATCTGACTATAAATATTGATAATCGTTTGATTAAACGGAGTTGGCTTACATGACTTCTTCACTACGCGTCTCTCTTCTATTCCCTTCGTCCCTCTGATTACCTGCCCAGAACAATGAGTGTACAAGGTATATGTATTCGAAAACCCATTCTCGTATTTGAATTATTTTAATTCCGTTATTCAATAACTCGATAAATTAGGCCGATAGTTATATACGAGGATAGCCAGGATGTATATTTTGACAACAATCAATCATACGATTTAATTGGAGTCAGTTCCCGGGCCACTAAAATGGTGAGGCCATCGACAATATCGTCTGATCTACTTGACGACAAAAAGCAGACCTCCACTAAAATAAAAACAATAATAGTATCCAACAAATTATAACTTACTCAATTTGTATTGTATTTTCATCAAATGATTTGTAATGTTGGCTAACATTGGAATTTAACAAGTATATGTCATGCACGTTATCGTTGTTCACTTCCGTTGTTAACGATTCATTATATTCAGCTTTATGGAATGATATTAGAGATTTTGGTAAAATGAATTGTACACAAGTTAGATTATGACTCAACAAAACGATGAATAAATGCTCCTTTAAATAAAAAAGAAAAAGAAGGCAAAAGGAAATGAATAAAAAGAATAAGGAATAAAACACTCTAATAGTTGAGATCATGAATCAATTGAAGCTAGACTACAATGGAAAACCTGGAAGCACTTGACAGCTGTCTCGTCCTAGTATGGGACTCCTCAGCAGTGCACATCCACGATACCGCCTCGCGAGAATTGAACCCAGAACCTATCGTTCTCGCGTGCGAACGCTTAACCTCTAGACCACTGAGCTGGCCAGCATCCAATGGTGTTAATGTCTAACTTCAACCAACCCACTAAACAGAGCGATACATCCACCATTGTCTTCAATGTGTTACTATCTCACAACAGACCCAGTTGAACTCCACTAGTCACTGTTTCTCACTAGAACTCCAGAAAATACCTCTTGAAGCCAATCACTTTTGAGCATATGTTGATTAACATCAAACGGGGTTTTCGTGGATATTTATTAATGAAAATGATGAAACTAAACTAGACTGATAACGTCGGATAAGCCATTCGAATTTCAATAGTTCCGTGTTGAACATCTTTTGAATTTCTGATAAGTGAAATGAAACCAGATAGATAGGAAATATATTCACTAGTTATTGAGAAGAGCATATGTGATGAATAGTGTTTCTTAACAGATGGGCGCCCTAGATAGTCACCACAAAAATACAAATCTTTAGAAATAAAATACCAACGAAACAAATTCAGTAACAATAAGTAGTTCAGTGCCCCTAATTGCTTTGGTACGGCTGAGAGTAAAGAGAGTCAGTTCACCCTCTCGAAATGTTCTCACGTGGCCACGTGCATACAACCACTAACAGGGAAGTCCTACTTAATGCCTTCTCGAGGTATTACTGTTGCTTACAAAATTAAAAGGACGAAAAGTGAATGTCCGGCGCTTTAATCCGGTTGGTGGACACGGAGGGTCCACCTAGGGGAGTTGGAAAACTCTCATTCCAAACGAATGATGCACATGGGATCCAGTATCCTGAAGGGACAAATGGCATATAAAACTAATGTTGGTCACCGGCTAACATGAGATTGCATCTCCTTACGTTGCTCCACTACCTTGTGGATAAGATTTCTTGGTCGAATGCTCCGGAAATGACCCATTAAGAAAACCACCTGCTTCGGTTTTGGGCACCTGGGCAATATCCTAGCCCTCACATAAATTGAAAGATTCATTTGGCGCATATCTGTTCAGTGCCTTCTTGTACCAATGTTTATGTGTTTAAATAAATAAAAAATAGCTAGTAATTAAAATAATAAATGTTAATATTATTAGTATTGATATTAGTGGCTTTATTCAGTATCATATGTCTAGTACAATAATGAATTTTCAGAGCTAAAGATTTCAACAAGTATCTTGTACAAAACAAAGACATGAAAAGATAACTACAAACATATATACATGAATTACGTAGATAAACTACCTAGAGTATAAGTTTTAATTAGGTCAACTCAAACAACCTCTTAATTACATAATATAGTTGCAAGATAAAATATTGTAGAGCTTTTATACATTTGCTTGTTTGCATGGATTCCAATGTATTGACGCCTCGTTCTATCAGAAGAGAAAGATATGAATGAATTGGATGGTTAATATCTGATAAGATAACACTAGCCAGAAGTTTGAAACATTTTAAGTGTCTATATTCAACCAAATTATTATTATTATTATTATTATTATTATTATTATTATTATTATTATTATTATTATTTACTAAATCACTATTCACCCTCTTTCATTCCTACTCTGTCTATACATATTTTTTCGACTTATACAGCAGCTCGTCTATGGTTGAAATTCTGCTCTATCTAAACGTTCTCGAGTCACTGCCTGGTTGAAAATTGTATGCTACCACCAAATACGAATACTGAAACAATGCTTCTGAAATCACATGCACCATTCAAAGTGGCTTTCTTCAACGTTCGCACACTTATGCAGGTCGGAAAACAGATAGGGCTGGCTATGTCTTTGGAAAGTCTTGATATCGAAGTTTGTTGTCTATCCGAGACCCGTATTCAAGACTGGTGAAGTACTACAAATTCGCTCTCCATCTGTCGATTCAAAAAGCTTGTCTGACGTGCGTTTATCCGGGGAAACTGTGGCATCTTCGTCTGGTCTTGCCGACGTCGTTGTCTCACTGAGCGCTAGAGCTGAGGCAGCACTAATCGACTGGATCCCCATTGACAGTCGGTTATGTGCTGTTAGATTAGAAAGTTCCATCAAAGTCAGAAATCGGCGTGAGAAACGATGTCTTTTCGTCATCTCCGCCTATGCCCCGACAGACTGCAGCCCAGATGCAATCAACGATGAATTCTACCACCAGTAAACTGTTCTTCTCCAGAAAGTGCGTTTGACATATATTGTAGTACTAGCCAAAGACTTGAATGCTCAGATAACAGGGACCGTCTACTGCAACTCTGCACAGACCACAACCTGTTTCTGGCTAGCACTAACTTTCGGCACAGTCATCGCCGATGTGCCACCTGGCGTCCTCCCTCTGCATCTCAAGCCTGGACTCAGATTGATCACATCGCGATCAGCTACCGCTGGCGTGGTTGTGTACAAGACTGCCGCTCATTTTGGAGTACCTATCTGGACTCTGACTATGCCTTGGTCTGCGCCAATCTTGCCTTACTTTTCAGTGGACAACGAAGTGACCGCCATCAACGGATTGATATTAGCAAGCTGGTTGCAACTTCTGTTGCAAGTAAGTATCGAACCGAGCTAGCCTCTAGGCTAGCTACCACCACCGAAAAGTATAGATGAGCATTGGTTGCAATTGCATGACGCCATGAAAATGGCGGGTACAGTCAGTTGTGGGTTCGCGAAACGTCACGCTTATAAGCACTGGGTTTTTTCAGGCTCCTTACAACTCATCGAAGCCCGTCAGTCTGCTCCGGGTGACCGTGAGTTTGACCATAAACGAAGGATGTTACGTAAGGAAATTGGGCAAAGCTTGCGTAGGGACCGAGAAGCCTGGTGGTCGGAGCGTGTTAATGAGATGGAAGCAGCACCTGCATCTGGTAACTACCGGAAGCTCTTCCAGCTCATCCGAGCCACTGGCAGCAAGAAGTCTGGTGTGAGTGAAACAATCTGCGAGGATGATGGGATGCCAATCACTAACATCCATCGACGTCTTGGACGATGGGCAGAATTCTTCGAAGGGCAGTTCAGCTGGCCTGCTGCTCCGGCAACATCGGTCACACTGTCCTGCCCTCCATGGCCGGTGACGACTGATCCACCAAATGAGGCAAAAGTCCGCAAGGAACTCCAACTCTTGAAGCGTTACAAATCACCTGGCCCAGATGACTTACCTCCGGCTCTTTTTAAAGATGGTGGTGACTTTTTGACTAAGGAACTGACGGCGTTGTTTACAAAGGTCTGGGAACTAGAGAGTGTACCAACGTCATGGAATGAGTCGATAGTTGTCCCTATCTTTAAAAAGGGTTCACGTCGTTCCTGTAACAATTATCGGGGGATAAGTCTACTTTCGATTGCGTCCAAGCTATTGGCTTCCGTCATACTTCGTAGGTTGTTCAAAACCCGAGAAAGATTGACTCGCGAGGAGCATGCTGGGTTTCGTTCTGGTCGAGGATGTATTGATCATATCCTCACCCTCCGCCAAATGTTAGAACACCGCCATACTTATCAAAGGCCAACAATCGTAGTGTTTCTTGACATCAGGGCTGCCTTCGATTCGTTGGACAAGACTGTTCTCTGAGATTGCCTATTGAAGAAGGGTGTGCCTGAGAAGTTTATTAACATCCTAAAAGTCCTATATACAAACACCTCAGGCAGAATGAGGGCATACAACCACCTTTCTTCATTGTTCCATTCAAGCAGTGGGGTTAGGCAGGGTTGCCCAATCTCACCATTCCTCTTCAACTTTGCCATCAACGACATTCTGGAAACAGCTCTGATGGATGTAAGTAATGGCGGTGTGGATCTGTTGCCTGGAGAAAGACTTCTCAACCTTGAGTATGCGGACGATATTGTCTTACTGTGCGATAATGCCCAATGCATGCAATCCGCACTCAATCAGTTGGCAATCAGTGTCCGTAGGTAAGGCATGTGCTTTGCACCTTCGAAGTGCAAAGTACTTCTACAAGACTGGGAGGATTCCAATCCTGTACTCACCCTGGATGGTGAGCAGATAAAAGTAGTCGAGAAGTGCGTTTATCTAGGTAGCTGCATAAGTGCTGGTGGGGGTGTGAGTGATGAGATCAATGCACGTATAGTGAAAGCCTGAACGGCTTATGCCAATCTGGGCCATCTTTGACTCCGTGATGTTAGTCTGGCTGTAAAAGGTCGGATCTACAACGCGTCGGTGAGAGCAGTTTTGCTCTATGCTTGTGAAACCTGGCCTCTTCGAGTTGAGGACATTAGACGACTCTCTGTGTTCGATCATCGTTGTCTCCGAAGGATTGTTGACATCCAGTGGCAACACCATGTTAGTAATGCAGAGGTTCGGCATCGTGTGTTCGGGCACAGAGATGATAATTCAATTGGTGTCACCATCTTGAAACACCGACTTCGGTAGCTTGGACATGTTCTACGAATGTCGTCCCAGAGAATTCCACGTCGTGCATTATTTGCCGACTCTGGGACTGGTTGGAAGAAGCTGAGAGGTGGTCAGTGCATGACATGGTGTCGTGGCATGAAAGAAAGCTGCAAAGGACTGGCTTGTGTCGGTCCTTCACGACTCCCTGGTTGGGGTCCGAGAGATGGTGTGACACAGTGGCTAGAAACGTTATCAGATATGGCTGAGAATAGAAGCCAGTGGCGATCCTGCTGTAACCTTCTTTTACTTCCTTCATAAAAAGTGGTTGTATCTTCCTTAACTGGAAGATCTCTTTTGATTGTACCTTTCCGTTCCCCCATATTATTATTATTACACCACCTTACACCAATCTCTTCGTTATTTTTCTTTTTTTAAGCACTCCTTACCTTTTTTCTTCTCTTTAAATTCTCATTGTTTTGTGTGGCGCATATATATTGGCGCTGTCTTGTACCAATATTTGTGTTCAAATAATAATAATAATAATAACATTCATAATGACCTTAAAAGATTCAGTACACATTCTGCTAACTGACTTTAACACTCTTGACAACTCGTAAAAATGTCTTCTCAAAAAGTCTTGAAACAAAAATGATGAGGAACAGTAAAGAGAATAATAAGCATGAGTTTAAAATAGGATAAAATGGATATTCTGAATGGTTTAGTCAAAATCTGAAAACAGTTTAGAAAATTTGAAGAAATAACTTACTGAACAGTATGTTTTTAAGAATCTTAACCAAAATTCTGAATGGATTAAAGAATGAGCTCTTATTAATAATTGACTGATATAATCATAGTCATGATGATAAGGATGATAATGATTACTTTTCAATGTTGAATCCTTTAATGCATATCTACGTATAAATGCATGAAGTATACAATCAGCTGAATTTCGATAGTATGCACTCGATTCAATTGAATCAAAATAACCATTGAATAATGGACCTAAAAGGCTAAGTGATAAAGCGATTGCTTTAATTGAATTGTTAAAATAATTTTCATTTTGATAGTCTGACTGTTGTGACATTTGTTCATGATGTTGTTTTGAAGATTTCTTTTTGCATTTGAAGACATAATCAGAAGATGATGAAGAAAGTTTTTGCACACAAGAAGGTAAACCTAGGAGGAAAAGAAAAACCAGAAATAGAATCCAGATTATGTAGAACAGAATTAGTGATTTTCAGTATTGATGACATACAAAAATTCTGGAGAGAATGACGATTCTAACAAAAAGGAACAAACAAATATTTATCAGTATGGAGTTGTGGAGAAGGTTGGATTTCATAGGAGCCATGAACTGGTCCAAGTTAAACTACCGCTTAATACGTGGAAGCACTATACGGCCGTTTCGCCACAGTATAAAACGCTTTAGCAGAATCCGTGACCAGTGGAGTTATACTGGATCGAGTGTGAGGCAGTTACCCGTCGAAGAAAATGGAAAATGATCGCATAATATTGTGGATTGATTGAACTTAGATACTAACATTGTTGCTTGCCAGTTCAGTGGTCTAGAAGCTAAGCATTTACACACGAGACCAAAAATACTGGGTTCAATTCCTCGGTGTGATGTCATGTTTGCGCATTCTTGAGGAGTCCCACATTGGGACAAAAAATAGTCTTCCAATGCCTCTATATTTTCAATGGGAAACAAATAATGATTCGATAAGCTTGTTTACTGTTAAGTAAACAAACACTACTGATTCAGAAAGTTTAACCTTAAAAATAAATGATGCACGATGCTTTGTGATTAGGTTGGCTAACGATAGCCAGTATAAATGTCTTTGACTAAGATATTGTGTACTACAAATTTTTTTTCCGATAAGAAACCATTCTTCGAGCAGGAAATGACAAATGTAAAACAAGATTTAACACAGTAGTATCCAAACAGCATTACTAATTAGATTATTTGATTCAATCTCATAGACATTCCCTTTTTAATTGAACAACTCAACTGTAGTGTTAAAGGAAACACCTTTCGGTGATTTTATTTTATAGTAATCTAGAGACCATAAAGCTGGATATTAAAAATTCCCAAAACCAAATGATCTGAACAATTTTCAATGATGTTTTAAAACACTGGAAACAGTGTTGTTATTATTTAGTATAGTGATCAATAATGTCTGTTACTCAAACACTTGGGGCTGAATTTCTAACCAACTCTTAGCACATTGAAATCTACTGTGCTAGATCCAGGGGAAAAATTAAAGAAGAACGTAAGTATGAGAAGATTTGCAATCGACGATAGTTTGAATAAAGATAATTGCAGGTTCGTTGATGACCAAGATATTCTAGAGGTTTTTGAAAATATGTTAACATTGATAACTAAATCGGTAATTACTCAATCAGGATATGATAATTACCACTGAAACAGTGGTGCATGGAGGACAGCTGGCTGTTTATTCTCCCCCTTCCTCTTTCTTTTGGTGGTTGACTGGATTATGAAGACCCTGACATATGAGGGGAACGAATTAGAAAATTCGGACACCGCAGATGATCTGGCCATCCTATCCCTTACACACAAACAAATGCAGAGGAAGACAACTAGTGCAGCAGCAGCCTCTGCATCAGTAGGCCTCAGTATACACATAGGTAGAAGCAAGATCCTCAAATACAACACGGAGAACACCAACACAATCACACTTGATGGCGAAACTCTGTAAGATGTGGAATCCTTCACGTACCTGTGTGGTAGCATCATCGATGAAGAAGGAGGATCGGATGCAAACGTAAAGGCGAGGACTAGCAAAGCAAGGGCCACATTCCTACAATTGAAGAACATGTAAAACTCAAAACAACTGTCTGTCAATCAATATCAAAGTCAAAATCTTCAATACTAACACCAACTCAGTCAGTACTCTTGTACGGAGCTGAAACTTCGAGAACTACTACAACCATCATCAAGATCGTACAAGTATTTATATATAGTTGTCTACGCAAAATACTCAACATACATTCACCGGATACCATCAGCAACAGTCTATTGTGGGAGAGAATAAATCACGTTGAAAGTGGATAGGACATACATTACGGAAATCATCAGAATGCATCATGAGACAACCCATAACATGGAATCCTGAAGGGAATCGGAAAAGAGGAAGGCCAGAGAAAATATTACGTCAGAAAATAGAAGCAGACATGAAAAAGATGAATAACAACTGGAAAGAGCTGGAAAGGATTGGCCAGGACAGGGTTGGATGAAGAGTGCTGGTGGGTGGTCTATGCTCCTCCAAGAGGAGTAACAGGCGTAAGTAAGTAATATGATAATTAATCCATCGTTTTTTTAATTCTCTGAAAGGTTACTACTGAACACTGATTCGATAAAATATTTTTTCAGGTCCAGAAGACTTTAAGAGAAAATCTCGAAGATTCTAGACAATTGCAATACAAAAGCAACAGATCAACGTTTGCAAATATATTAATATAACTGATTTGTTTCTATCTAGGAAACAATAGATTGACTTTAAAAATAAGCTTACCAGTAAACAAAAGTAAATTCCCTAAATCAAAAGTATTTCTTCTACATTCTAAAGAAGAGTATACATCAATTACATGACCAAAACGCAACACAGGAGGCATAAACTGATGTTGACAGTTTATATGTGAATCGGCAAACTCTTTGTTAATCAATATTAGATCGCCGATAGATTCAAACCAACCATTGATTACAAGTGACACCTTAATTAATAGTAGATAAATGAAAAGAATTAATCCACAAATTATCATAAATATAAAAACTTAAGAATAAATCTGTGAAGACAGTTCACGGGTAAACTTGAAAAAACCGTGAGAAGCTCAGAAAGAGCCGAAGATATTCCATTCAATCACCTTTTGGAAGAATATTTCAGAATCCCTATGTGTAGCTTCCCTGTTGGACAAATTGCTAATAACCCCCTGTATGCGGATTGGAGGACTGTAATGATGATTTAGTTTTTTACTAAAAACTATAAATACCTGACAGTTTTGTTCCACAATTGACACTATTTAGAATAGTATTCCTTTAACTTGTCTTCTGTCTTCTCGTTTACGACTTGGATGGTTCTAGCGTTTGAATGCTCAAGTTGTACGTGGTATATTAAGAATCTAAGCTCTACATATAACAAAACCTCAATTAAATCAGAGGAGACCATCAAAATTTTTGCGATGACTACTTTTCAGAACTTGATTCGTTGAATAATGGGTCACATAAATCACCTGATTTACTCAAGAATCTTCAGAAAATGTTTATGAAAATGATTATCTCTAAATCTAAACGGCATTATCACTGTGACTATTTAAGGAATGACAGATCATATTGTGGAGCTTGAATATGGATCACCGATATTCAGTCTGTGAACTGAATGATAAGATTCTAAACTCCAAAATGAGCATAAGTTCAATCAAGTATCTAAGTACATTTTGCTCATCAGTGGTGACTAACACGAAACTTAGAGCTAGGGTTTCGTACAGATTATCCCCAATTATCTAAAATATATGGAAATTTCTACCCAAGTGTCATTGACAATCAATAACTAAAATCACCCACTTCAATCATAGCAATATCTATTCTCCGAAAATTATACTTGACAACTGAATTATTGATGAGCCCCTCTGGGTCTACCACCGGTCCTAAGCCCGGATAAAGAGGAGGAGTTGAACATGAGGTTAGCAACCCCATACCGCAGAAAACTAACTCGCTAAAAAAACGCTAACCAGAACAAACAATAATAATAACCATTTAAACTCTGCCCTGGGAGTTGGAAGGTTTTCATCTAAAAGAGTTATAACGCCTTATGATGAGAATCGATTTCCTTTAGAAGTCACAAGATTGATTTTCCTTCTGGCGACCAGAGCAACCATTAATTTAGATACATGGAATACTCGTAAAATGTGACTCCTTTTAAAAGTTTAGAAAGAAAAGAAACAAAAAAAAGCAAAAACTAATTTAACATACTTTTGCATTGAAATAGTTTATCCATTCAATATATAAAAATAAATGATTCCATTCATCATAAATATTACATTCTTTAGGAAAATCTAAGCATAAATCACTAAGCAATACAATTTCATTTGTATTCCCCTTTAATGATATAGATGTTTCATTATAGTCTAATGTTGTATTCTCTTTATTGATTGACATTTCAACAATACGAATATATATACATGAATAAATAGATGATATCCATATCTGTTAATGTAAATGAAAGGAAAGAACATTAATAACTGTTATATCCGTATGAGAATTATGAATGGTAACTTTGAGGATCCATTTATGGACCAATAGTAAACGTATATTTTTATCGTATAATTGTTAAATCACTAAACTGTTCATATTCATGTCCCTCTTATCATAAGCTTTATTTTGACTTATGAACTATTATTATACGATTAACCATTCTTGAGTTATACTCAAGTCTATCAATTACTACCTCCCACATTCACAGCCACATTTGGCTAAATCTTATACAGGCGTTGTTTCCTATTTTATGGTACGATGTGGTCTGTCTGGTCGGTATATAAACCCAGTACATGATTAATACCGCAGAGGTTGAGATTGGTGTTCTGTACTTAACAGGCTGGGCTAGGCTGGGAGCACGACCGATAAGGATTCTAGACTGCTCGTACGGGATTTTATGCGTCATTGGTTTGATCGATAACTCACTGCTATCTAATTGGTGGTGTCATTACGTTATACATTAACAGGGCACACAGGCCACAAGTTATAACAATGACATATACAAGTTACAAATTTAGATCATGTAAAGTATTTAACCTGATTGCTCAATCAAATAACCAATAAATAAACATAGTCAATAAGAACTAATATAACACAACAAACAAAAACAAATCGATTTGATTTGAATATCTAATTTCCTACTGCTATTCAAAGCGCTTACTGGTAAGCGTCATTGATGAACACAGTGAATCTGATACAGATGTGAAGGCAAAGCAAGAGAAGCCTATTTACAACTGAGAAACATCTGGAACTCAAAACAACTGTCTGTCAAACAACACCAAACTCAGAATTTTCAATACAAATGTCAACACAGTTCTACTATATGGGGTGGAAACCAGAAGAACTACGAAAGCAATCATTCAGAAAATACAAGTGTTTATTAATAGTTGTCTATGCAAAATACTTCGGACCCATCAGCCAGAAACTATCAGCAACAACCTACTGTGGGAGAGAACAAACCAGATCCCAGTGGAGAAAGAAATCAGGAAGAAGTGCTGGAAGTCGATAGGACACATATTGAGGAAAGCATCTAACTGCGTCACAAAACAAACCCTCACATGTAATTTTCAAGGCCAAAGGAAAAGAGGAAGACCAAAAAACACAATACACCGAGAGATGGAGACAGACATGAGAAGAATGAACATTAATTGGATAGAACTAGAAAGGAAGGCTCAGGACAGAGTGGGTTGAAGAATGCTGGTCAGCGGCCTATGCTTCACTGGGGGTAACAGGCGTAAGTAAGTAGGCAATTGAAAGCGCTACTGAAACTAAAAGGTTCGATGACAAATATTGAATTGAGATCATCAATTGGTCAATGTTAGGCTACTATTAAAAACTTGGGAGACCAATGACCAACTTCGAGACGTAATTCTCGGGGTTTGAGTGAGAAGACGCGACTAGTGGAGCTAATATGTGTCAAGTGTGAGGCAGTTACCCATTGAAGACAATCGAAAATAGTCGCACAGTATCGTGGATTGGTTGAAGTTAGACATTAGCACCGAGGGATGACGGTTCAGTGGTTTAGAGGTTAAGCATTCGTACGTGAAACTGAAGGTCCTGTGTTGGAATCCCTCGTGCAGGATCGTGGATGTGCATTGTTGGAGATTCCCATACAAGGACGAAATGGCTACCCAGCACTTCCAGGTTTTTAATGGTCGTTTAACATTGATTAATTCATTATGTCAATCAAAAGATCTGTCTTAGTTTAAAATCATACACTAGTGTACACCTTAAAACTCAGAATGACAGTGGTTCAATAAGCTCCAGATGTTGTGGAGTAAAAATGATCAAATTAGACCAGTTAGTAGGTGGAATTTCAATGACTTACATTTCAAAATTAAAGAAATTTATGTTGAGTCCAGCCACTAGTAAAAAACAAGATCATTATTTATTTTAACAGTATGTATGACTTTTTTCAGACATCTTTTACCCCGACGATGGATATTAGCCGTAAGACATGTCAGAAACCTTGGAACATAAATCTCCAAAAGCCCACATAAACGAACAAAAACATATTTGTCTGACATAGCAACACAATGATTTGTCACAAAAACAAAGAGAATTAGCCATCAACAAGAAATTAAGCAAAACAACGTAAATCGTAAAAACAGTCAGCTTAAAATGACAGTTTTTGAAGGAGTCTGTAGTTGTTATTGCTAGAAACTGTAAGGCATATGTACATCGAAAAAGCAACCTAAACTTCCACAACGTTTGCCCTGCTGTCAGTAAGGGGTTGTAGAGACCGTTGAATTCCATTGAAATCATGAAGCGATCTAAGTTAGACCATCATTAACGACCTAGAAGTACTGGACAGACGTTTCGTCCTAGTATGGGACCAAATTAATGTGTACCAAAAATTCACACACACGAATCGAAACCAGGACTTTTGGTTTCGCGCAAGCATGACTGACGTTCTGTCATAGAACCAGACAGTTGTGTATACCGGTAAAGTTCGATGAAAACTGTAATAAATAATTGTCTGAAAAAAAATCGATACCCTAGAACAAACATAAATAAAAGTAATATTGAATAACGAAGTATGACGAAAGAATACAAGTCAATTCGTCAGTCGTAAGATAGGGCATGACAAGTAAGCACATCGTTCCAAGTGAGATGAGATTGTCAAGCCAATTCCATGATTAGTAAAAGTAGTAACAGAATCAGTAGTAACTGAAAAGATGGAATGTCAAAGATACGATTCGGGAAGAAAATATAGTTTGGCGAAATAAAAACAAGAATATGTTATAAAGAATTTAAAAGCTCAGAATTAGAAGAAAGATAAAAAACGAATACCCCTGTGCCATTGCAAACGACTCCCAGCCACATAATTCAAATTCTCTAACCTCTAGTTACGATGATCACGCGAAGCCCAACCAGGTAGTCTACATCTATTAACATGACTCGGTCCAAATGTCAATGACTTCATGGACTCATACTATGTATTGATACAGACGCTCTTAGCATTATTCCAGCCTTCTCCTACACCAGACATCAACCGTTGAGATAGGCGGCGGTCCGGAATACGTAATAGGTATCCTAACCACCTCAGTTGGTGAAGACTTACTACATATTCGAAAGATTTGCCAATCTTACCTAGTAACCCATTTCTAAACCAGACATTGTTTACCCGGTAGTCCCAAAACACAGGATCAATGAATCCAAGACACCTATGGTCGAATACTAGTAAACCACGAATATTCTCTCCGAGCAAGGACAGCATTCTTACAGTTGAAGAACACATGGAACTCAAAACAACTGTCTGCATGCCAACGTCAAAGTCAGAATCTTCAATTCGAAGGTTAAGACAGTTCTGTTGTACACATCTAAAATTTCAAGAACTACCACAACCATCGTCGAAAAAGTACAAGTATTTATAAAACACTTGTCAACGGACCAAAGAACACATTGAGTCAGTAATCGGAACCATCCATTTTGATTATCTGTTTAGACAGTAGAACAGATGTATTTTTGGCAGTATTACTATTTTTATTTCAACTGTTTCTTGTCATGATACTAACATCCTTATAACATACTTTCTCCCAATCTCTTTACATTTATATTCACAACAATGTTCTAGTCTCAGATCAGATCAAAATTTTTGTATTACAATGATGCAGTGGCAGATGTCCAAACATTATTCCTTCATTTATTTATTTGTTTATTTAAACACATAAACAATGGTACAAGAAGGCACCAAATAGATATGCGCCACATAAATCATTCGATTTGTGTGAGGGCTAGGATACTGCTCGGGTGCCCAAAACCGAAGCAGGTGGTTTTCTTAGGGGGTCAAACCCAGAATCGTTGGCCTAAAGGTCTAATCCACGAGGCAGTGGAGCAACGTTAGGAGATGCGGTCCCATGGAAGACGGTGACCAACGATTTGTTCGTACGCCATTTGTTCCTTCAGCATACTGGAGCCCACATCATATCACAATGTGTAAACTTCTTATAACCGTGCGAAATGAAACCCTCATCTATACAATCTGATCAACAGATTTCGTTCAGTAAAATTTACCCTTAAGTTACGTAATGTAAGTTATATCACAGCTAGAAATTACAAAAAATCAATATACCTAATTACAATCAAAACAAGTTGAAATAATTCTGAAATATTAACCATGTGTTTTCTATTTAAATAGAAACACATAAAAACCTGTGTATATCAGGTTACTATTTAAGTATCAAGGCAATCGAAATGTAAAACACTTTTGTACAAAATACTATACAACTTGACTAAACAACAACAATTCAATTATGGTGTGTGTGTGTGTGTGAAGTAGTTAGTCAATAGTAGCAGTGGATAGTTGTTGGGTGATATTGCATGTAAGACATTAAATGACGGTTCAGTAGTTTAAAGATTCAACATTCATAGTGAGAACAGACGGTCCTAAGTTCGATTTCCTATAGGATCGTGAATGTATATTGTTGAAGAAGAGTTTTATAGTAAGATGAAATCGCTAGCCACTGTTTACCAGTCTTGAAAAGTTTTCTAATTAAGGTGGGAATGAAGAAATTCAATCAATTCAATAAACTAACTACAGTAACAAGAAAAGTATCTGTGTCACATGAAAATATTCTACGCATTAGCAAAGGATCAGTAAGAAGCATCAACTTTCTTTGAAAGTCTTGCTGTTCTTGAGATATTAATATATCGAACTCATTGTACACAAAGCTTATCGAAGCAGTACTTGCTGTAAGTATTTATCGTTCAGTAATAGAATTGTATTTAAGAACAACAATTGTATCAATCAATCAATAAGGACCAATAAATATAACAATGAACCAGAATAACGTCATTCAAAGAAATGCTTGTAGGTGGCTTCTCGGCTCATTAATTATATTTTGATATAAATTTAAGAGTATGCTTTCCTTGAATAATTCGTTAAGTAATCAATATTGATTAAAGGAATTATATGCTCATATCTAAATCCCTACAGCTGAACTCAGACCAGACTTATTTTCCTTCAGGAGGGAGTGATCAGTCAGTCAGTCAGTCAGCAACAACGTAGAACTTCGTACGTACGTACATCAGTTCGAGTTGCCACACCACATTAGCACAGAGATGCACTTGTCGATTCAAATCCCGTAGTGGTATAGGTAATAAGAGTATAAGCAGTAATCGGGAAGATTAGGGTTTGGAGATGTTATTTAAAGAGTATAATCCAGTGAAATAAATTTGGAAAGAGGAAAAAAGGGACATGAAGAATTCAGAAGTTTAGAATTTGGGAGAACACAGAGAGTGGATGCACCTGCGCCATTGCAAACGATTTTGAGCCATGTCATTCAGGGTCTCTAACCATCGGGAGTGGTGATACAATCAGTTATTCAGATATTGACCGAATATTAAGCTGACGCAATTGGACAAGATTTGACTTCTTGTTCTACGGCTAGGGCTTATCAGACTTCAAAGATAAGTGAAGTCGTCGACGTGTTCGACTAATCCACTCTTTATCCTTAGCTTAGGTGCTGACATAGCCCAGTCCTGAAGCAACAATTTGTATTTAGAAGAGAAGGAACGCATCCCAAACATCCTGGCATTGTTGCTCAGTGCCATCAAAAGACTCTGCAAGAAAAGTAAATTCCCATTTAGTACGTCAGTAACCGTATTGAACAATTTCTTTAACAGCTATGGCAATTCGGTTCTTACAGATTCTAGTACAATATTTTTTTATAAAAATTAGTAAAGTGAAATTATTAACACGAAAACTGTATACTCATACTTGAAGTGAGAGGTGACTACGATTAGTTGAACAAGGTGGTAATGTGTTTGTGGTATTTATCGATGATTGATATCCAGATTGATTGTTGTGACATAAGAATGAAGATAGTATATCCAAACTGATGAAATGTTGTAACTGATTTAATTGTACAAATTGAAATAGATCCACTTCAGATAATTGATTGAACTTAGGTTTAACCTTCTAACAAATAATCATAATAGTAAATATGATTATTATTATTATTATTATTATTATTATTATAACAAAGTTAAATATACACTTTAATAATAATAATGATATATATATATATATATATATATATATATATATATATATATATATATATATATAATGTCATTCTATTGACTTTCATCTTTGCCTTTCTTCCTGTCTGTGCTTCAGTACATGAAGATCGGATGATATAAGTGAGAATATCACAGAGGAGTATCGCTTCCTTTGAAATTGTAAATACATTTTGTTGATGAGTGTCGACTAGTGAAAAACCTATGCCCAGAGCATCTATTTGACTATCATTCAGTTAGTCTGTCATAAGCAATGTAGAACCTAAGTTATCATAAAATGTTGGCACAAAGAGATAAATATATAAAGATGAAAACCAGAGTACTAAGCATTGTAGTAATATCAGTGGTAGTAAAAAGATTCAGGTACAAAGAATATGATTTGAGTTAGTCAGTCAGTCAGTGATCTACAACGTAGGATCAGGCACATATGTGCATCGGTCCAAGTTGCCATATTTCATTATCACAACAACATGAACACTGAATTCATAGCAGTAGTTAATTCAATGGTGGTAATATATAAAAGAAAGATTGCATATAAGGATATAGTACGCAAGGAAAGAATTAGTTGGTAGAATGAAAGATATGAAACGAATTTTGATCTCATAGTTTAAGGTAAGACAGAGTGATATGATTCGAGAGGTAAAATGAATTCATCGCACAAGAAATTTCAGATTCAGGATCTGAGAGAAAATAGAGTTAATGTATCTGCGTCAATATAACTGAGTCAAAGAGACGTTACCCAACAACTCCAACGATTAGTCATGATAATGGCATGAACCCCAACCAGGTACTCAGAATCAATCTATATGGTTCAGACCATAAGTCAACAACTTAATGCACTGGCCGCAAATTTTAGTTTAACCGCTCTGTCGGTTGTTGTAAACACAATTGAAAGCTTGAAACGATTCAAAAATACAATAGATCCTACTCAAAAGTATACTTGAACTGTACTGTGTATAAGAAAATCAAAGCTTTTTACGTAGACAGGGACATACAGTGTAATTCTGAAAGCGAAAATCCAGCATATTTAATTATAAGAGCTTGTATTTTCTAATCTCGATATTCAAAAATAGATTGATCAGTCATTATAAGTTCATTATGTTCCTTTGAACATATAATTTAGTAATAAATGGATTAACATATCAACAAATTAGGCGTAGTGACTATAGTAACTAAGAAGTTAAACTGGTGATCAGTGGTTTCTACTCCTAATGTGAACAAAAACACCATGATTAGTAGATATATCTGCTATGTTTGAAGAGATTACGAGATCAATGAGAAATCGGCGAACGGAACGAAGGATCAGCAACACAACGACAAGATGGCGTCCCAGTCACGCTAACTAGACAGAGAAGTCCAGGTTCAGAAGGGGGGAAATGAATTTCACAATCAGACAAAAGCACGAACAACAAGAAGCACAACTCAAGCATATATATACAGCATAAAATGTTCTTGGGAAACGTCACAATATAGCATATTATAAAAAGGAGCGAACCAATGATATTTAAGATCCTGCCAAGTGGGAAATACAATATAAAGGTGAAAATGGGCACTTTTAGCGCGAAAGTGAGAAATTCAAATCTACAAAATAAAATTACAAAAATAAGACGTTTGTCAAGTAATCTTTCGGGATTTACCATCCTAAACAATCTCCAATCCCAAATATATTAAATCTCATATATTGGATTCAGCTGTCAACTATCAGCCAATACAAATATGATCAATAAACCCCGTAAAATAATTTCAATGATAGAAATTTTAAAAAATTACAATGTTGTCGAAAAAAATTGTATCAGAAGGGGTTTTTGTGAATATTATAGTAATTTCAATAGTTCAGATTATGGATCAATTGAAGCTGGACCACCATGGAAAACCTGGAAGCATTGTACGGCAATTTCGTCCTAGCATGGGACTCCTCAGCAGTGCACATCCACGATCACGCCTCGCGAGATTCAAAACCAGGACCAACCGGTCTCACGTGCAAACGCTTAACCACTAGATCACTGAGCCGGCCAGCATTCAACAGTGTTAATGTCTAACTTCAACCAATCCACAAAATTGAACTGCACGTCCATCATTGTCTTCAGTGAGTTACTATCTCACAACAGACCCGGTTGAATTCCGCTGGTCACTGCTTCTCACTAGAACTTCAGGAAATACCTTTTGAAACCAGTCACTACTGAGCATATGCTGATTAGTATCCGAATGGGTTTTTTCTTGTGGATATTATAGCAATTTCAACAGCTGAAATCATAAGTCTTCGTTTAAATTTTAAATAACATTTATTCATATAGATAACTTGGTAGTTTAGAATCTCCTCAATACAACATTGAACCAATTATCATTCATATTTAAAAAAAAAGAGAGAATAAAACGATTTAACTGGGGAAATACAAAAGGCTCACCATATTATTTAATTGTTTTCCATGTAAACAAAACCAAGTCGACAATCCTAAACTATGATTATCAGTAGTATAATTAAACGAAGTAGACAAAAATGATTGATTACTCCGGTGATTAATAATGGTTGATAATGGAAAAATATAATTTAATAATTTTTGATATAAAATTTGGTGATTATCAATTTCATATTGATTATCTTCAAATGCTAACGCATAAGAATAATGATGAGAGCACATATTAGTACATTGTAGAATAGGATAATGTAGGTGTCCATGTTGATAATATAAGAGATGAGTGTTTAATAATTTTGGCCAAATGGTATATATGGGTGGCATGAGAACATTATTTGTTTGAATCCAATCAATCAGTAAATTGAACATTTGACATGTAACCTTAAAAAGAGAGAGAAAATGAAAAAGAAAGTAAAACTGCCCCCAAATGCCCTGGTATGGCCGAGAGTGAGGAGAGTCCGCTCTCCCTCTTGAAATGCTCTCACATGGCCACGCGTATATAGCCTCTGCCAGGGAAGTCCTACTCGTTGCCTTCTCGTGGCGCGGGTGTTGTTTACGAAATTGAGGGGCCGAAAAGTGAATGTCTGGCGCTTTAACCGGATTCCAAACCAATGGTCCACATGGGCTCCAGTATCCTGCGGGAACAAATGGTGTATGAACCAACTGTCGGTCACCGGCTACCATGGGACTGCATCTCCTTACGATACTCCACTGCCTTGTGGACCAGACCTTCAGGTCGAAGGCTCGAGGAGTGGCCCCCTAAGAAAATCACCTGCTTCGGTTTGGTCACCTGGGCAGTATCACAATCCTCCCACATATCGAATGAGATTTGTGTAGCGCATATGTATTTGTACCACTATCTATGTGTTAAAATAATAATAATAATGACGTAACTACAGAACTTTATAAAGCATGCTAGTGAAGAGGAACTTTATAAGAATTTGATATAACAATCGAAAATTTAACTTATAAATGATAAATTATGTTATTTTCATACTTAATCTACTTATTTACAACTGATTTTCCTTGTGGAGCTTGGCTGCCAATCAGGATTCTTCAACTAACTCTGTCCTTGGCTCACTTTTCAAGTTGTTTCCATGCGCTATTTATCTTTTTAATGTCTGCTTCCAATGGCCAGTACAATGTGTTATTTGTTCTTTTTCTTTTCAGGATTTCATGTTATTGGCCTGCTTTGTGATGCACTTCAGTGATTTCCACAATGTGTACAATTCACCTACATCTTATTTCCATATTTTCCTCTTCACCTGGAAGTTGGTTGGTTTTCTGATACACTAGATTGTTGCTGATATCCGAGAAAAGAAAATGGAGTATCTTGCGTAGACAACCTTTTATAAATACTTGTACCTTTTTGATGATAGTTGTAGTAGCTCTGCAAGTTTTAGCTCCACCTGAAGCCCTTATGGAATAACTGCTGGTCAAAAGCCTGGGTAAAGGTGGAGAAGTTCGGCAGGAGGTTAGCGACCCAATCTTGTAGAGAAGGACTTTTCTAAAGAACGCTAGCTTGAATCACTCGGGTAAATAAATAAATGTTTAGTTGGTTTGTGGAGATTGTTACAGTCTATAGTTTATTTTACAAACTGATCCTATTTAGATAATTCGTAATGAAGGTTACTCATACTACGACGAAACAGCATCAGCATACGACAATCCATTAGATAAGTGTACACTTAGACTGTGGATATGGTATTGTCTACTAACCAGTTTGTTCATACGACGAATTCTCAACAAATATGCAAGTTAGTCACATCATGAACAAATATCTCTTAGACAACATATTACGAACCTTGAATCTGACTGGCGAACATTCGAATTCTCGATAAAATGTAAAACCCATGAGTAAAGCTGCAGATTCTTCATAGTAACGCACATCAGTAAACATAGACTTTATTTGTAATGTTACGTCTACCGATATGAAATAACTTAAATTGATATTCATATTGTAAATATCTGTTTTATAGATTTTATCAATTCTCTGGGAGAAAGTTGAACACGTCATCGATCGTTGATTCATAGAAAATTATCACAATATTTAGCTTGTACTTATTACAAGTTGATCTCAGATGAGTTGTTCCTGAAAACCAAGTAGCACTGGGCAGCCGTTTCGTCTTAATACTCAATAATGCACAACCACGAACGCATAAGCGGTTGAACTCAGAATATCCAGATCTTGCAGCGAATGTTTAACCATTAGAGTAGCTTAGTTTAGACCCAATGTTATAAATCCAACTTCAATCATTTCGTGATATAGCGCAATGATTATCAAATCCCTACTGCAATCAAATCATCGCAATACGTAAGTAATAAATTGACATCGAAATATAAAAAATGACAGTTGAACAACAACAGTTAATTAATTAAAACCCTCTACTTACGTATGGATATATACTATTGATTGCATGAAGCGTAGCAGGCTTCGTATCCTGTTCTGTAAGGTCATCATCATGATGAGTAGTAATGCGTTGGTATTTATGGTTATTACCTTTGTTAAGACTGTTACTGCCTTCAATATTTTGTATTTGTCTTAAATCTTTCAATATCAGCTGCATAAAGTGTTTTACAGATTTCACACTTAATACACCAAGTGGTTGTGAATAGTCTGTACAAAATTGAATTGGTCGAATATATTGTGGTATCATGAAACATCGTAATAAATCTAAACAGCTTAGTCGAATAACTAGATATATATGTGCGTAGGTGTATAGAGATGAAGTACCGGACATAGAAAAAAAATAGAGAAGAAAAAAAGGTCAAAACTGTGAACAGAACAAAATGTACACAACAGAGATAAGTAAGAAACTTATAACACGAACAATTGTAAAATACCGTTATAAGGGTTTGTAAGGATTGTTGAATCTCATCACATGCTCAATGGTAACTAATTTCGAGAGAATTCTAGAATTCTAATGAGACGTTGTGATTGGTGGAGCTAAATTATGTTGGATATGAAACAGTTACCGGTACAAGAAAAATGGAAGATGGTTGAGCAATGTCGCGAGTTAGTTGAAACCAGACATGTACATCACTGAACTCTGACTCAACATACTAGAGGTTAAACGCATTTTGAGAGACCTGAAGGTTAACAGTTCGATCTGAAGTGCAGTATGGATGCGCGCTGCCAAGAAGTCTAACACTAATACAAAACAAGATTTCAATGCTCCCTGATTTTCTATGGATATCTAACAGAGTTTGATTCGTGATATTAATAGAATTGTAATTATTTATTTATTTATTTAAACACATAATCATTGGTACAACAAGGCACTAAATAGATATGCTCTACACAAATCATTCGATTTGTGTGAGGGCTGTGATACTACCCGAGTGCCCAAGCCGAAGCACGTAGTTTTCTTAGGGGGCCACACACCGAGCCTTCGACCTAAAAGTCTAACCCACAAGGCAGTGGAGCATCGTAAGGAGATGCAGTCCCATGGTAGTCGGTGACGAACGATTGCTTCATATGCCATTTGTTCCCGCAGGATCCTGGAGCCCATGTGGAGCATTGGTTTGGAATCCGGTTAAAGCACCGGACATTCACTTTTCGTCCGCTCAATCTCGTAAACAACAGTAATGCCTCGAGAAGACGGTGTGTAGGACTTCCCTGTCAGTGGTTGTATGCACGTGGATATGTGAGAGCATTTCAAGAGGGAGACCTAACTCCCCCCCCCCACTCTCGGCCTTACCAATGCATTTGGGGGCCCTAATTGAAACTATTTATGTAAAGGTTAGTAATACTATCCTGTTGCCCACAATCGAATTAGGTGAAATATATTTTGAAGCAAAGAAACAATGGTGATTGAAACACGTGTCACTTAATTGGTAAATTATCACGGTACAATATTATCAAATGAGATATATGATCTTTCTAAAGACAAATTGTCAACTTTCATCATAAATGTGATTCATTATCTGTGAGGACGGCTCATGGATGAACTCGAGGAAGCTCTAAGAAGTTCAGAACGAGTCGAAGATATTGAGAAGTCATTTTGTTTTCAATAGTTACTTCTAATTACATAAATATACGATAAAAGATAAACGTTTTCATTAGAAACCTAACTTCATTTAATTGAGTTAAATGTAAATGTTACATAAGAAGTTAACTTACTTGAACACTTTGATAAATTAGTCATTAATTTTAAAATCTCCTCAATTAAATGATTTATATTAATCTGAAAAGATACAAAAACAAACGAACTATTCTATTAGTGATAGAAATTAGTTCCGTTAGTCAGTCAGATACAACGTAGGATCAGGCATATATATGCATCAGTCCAAGATGGCATATTTCATTAGCACAACAACATGAACAACGAATTCATAGAAGTAGTTAATATATGGAGGAAACATTGCATATAAGAATATAGTGCAGGAAGAAAGAATTAGTTCGTAGAAAGAAAGATATGAAGCGATTTTAATATCATAGTTTAAGGGAAGACAGAGAGTGTATACACCGACACCATTGTGATAGATTCTGAGGTATGTCACCCGGAGTCTCCAACTAACTAGAAATTAGTTCAAGTAGAAATCAACATTTTATGTCATTCATAGAAATGTATTCACTACAGATTTGGCGAAACTATAATTTATCACGTATAGAACAACAGGTCTCGGATTTTGGCGCTAAATTCATTCATCCATTTGGGTAAACAGAGCTTTGGCATTATAGCTGTTGTCAGTTCGTGATGAAAACCCGAAATCTAATTCCAAAGTAAAATCATCAACTGTAAATTATAATTATAATTCCTCACACAGGTTCATAACCCTTATTTAGTCCTGGTTATTAATTGGACACTCTTAAGGTCAGTCTAGCGTCGCTCAAAGGTCGTCCATAAATTATAGTCTCACCACAGATTTTAAATCATCCTGCTACTACCTAGTCAAAATAACCTTATTGTGTGATGTGCGCTACTTATGAGGAACGATATAATTAGTATATAGAATGAATCGGAGGTGAAATGAATACCGGCAAAGGATTCAAATAAAAAGAAGAGGAAGGAAAACAGAATAACAATAGAATTGGAGGAATGATCAAGTGTGTAAGGGACAACTCAAAGAGAGTATGCAAATAATGTATTCTTATATTTTGTAAAAACATTTCGTGCTTTAACCTACAATAAATAATTGGTTTGTCATATCTAAGTTTTCGGCCAGTACAATTAGACAATTCATTCATAGTAGCTAGGTGGATAACGCAATGGCGTTTGAGGTGAACGATACTGGGTTCGAGGCCCAAAGTAAACATTAAATCTACGTTACAGGTACATATAGCTAATGAGTCCTGAATGGGACGAAACACGCATCCTAGATTCCACTGCTAGCCACTATCCATCTTTGCTTATAATCCTTTTGACTTAAACCAATATCTAAACAATTCGCACCTGATGAGCATATGCGCGCTAATAAGAGACTGTGCAATTGCAGTCCTAAACATCAAATGGGAAGATTCAAACAAACAATACAAAAATGAACTGATTCATTATATTGTTGAGTAAGTCAGCACGAACCATATAAATCACTTTTCACCATAATTTTAGGCCATCAAAAAATGTATTTAAAGTGTTACATTCACAGGCTAGGTGACATCTTACGATATTCTTGAGGCACATTGAAATATGACGTGCTAAGGTTAGCTATTATTATACCTTTTGTCGATTCCTGTGTTATTGGTGTAATTTGATTTCTGTAACATATTTCCACAGTTCATTATTAACGTAGAAGACAATATTATACAACTCGAAACAGCAGTACACTTTCTATATTCTCATAAAAAAATCCTGAAAAAAAGATGACATCACTTAGAGTTTATGAGATCAATGAGAAAAACAAATATATGTATTCAGGATCTAACAGCTCACAGTTATATAATATACCCTTATAGTTTTACATCGGTTTTCAGGAGAACCAGACACCACTCGAACTTTCACGTAACAAACCAAACAATACAGCTTAATCCCATTTAACAAGAGAGACAGACACTGCCCAGGCTTAAAATTTATAGGCCGAATAGTACGGCTCGATCCCGCTTCCAAGAGAACCAGACTGAAACTTTATAACCCGAGCAGTACATCTCAATCCCACTTCACAAGAGAACCAGAAACTATGTAGACTTTAACGCTACGATCTGAATAATACATCTCAATCCTGTGGCGAAACCACACAAGTACCAAGCACCCTAATGGATCTAACAGTACTTACTTGTAAATATTTATCCTCCATTGAATGTGGTCCATGTAAGTCTGATTTAAATATACTAAAATAATTAGCAATAATAATTGATAGACAATTTGACCATAATTGATTTTCACATTTCATTGAAACATTTACATTATTCATAATAGATAATGATAATTTAGTATGTAGACAACAATTGAATAACGATAGATTATGTAATGTTAATCGAATAAATAATCTTGTTGAAAACACTAATAGTCGTACTGATTGTGGATTATACTTGTATATTGTATCCTTTTGATTTGTATCATTTGATTGATCTATTCTCAATAAAGATAAAAAAAGAGAATTTTCTAGATTAAAAGAATAATGATATACTGATAAAGATAAAGTAATAGAAAGTATTGAACTAGAAGATAACTGATTATATAGGGTATACAGGGAGAGAGAACAAGATAAACACTTTAAATTCACATCAGTTGGGATCACCGGGTAGGTAATAGTGAGCTTAGAAGCAGAGTATTAGGGAATGATAGAAAATAAGTTGATGAAGTTGTGAATCTTTATCGACTGAGATGAATGGGCTACGTGTTACGTATGCCTGAACACCGATTACTACGACGCTCAAAGCTGACTAGTGTTGGGGATGACTGGAAGAAAGTTAGGAACAGCCAAACCAAAGCGTGGCATCACTCCTCAAAGTCACTAACTTCTAATCTGAGCCATGTTGATATATACAGACTACTTGGTTGGGGTCCGCGTGACTATCGTAACCAATGGCTGGACACTCTTGGTGGCATGGCTTAGAATCGATAGCAATGGTATAGGTGTATACACTCTCTATCTTCCCTTAAACTATGAGGTTAAAATCGCTCCATATCTTTCTTTCTACGAACTAATTCTTTCTTCCTGTACTATCTCCTTATATACAATGTTTCTTTTATATATTACCACGATTGAATTAACTACTTCTATGAATTTGGTGTTCATGTTGTTGTGCTAATGAAGTATGGCAACTTGGACCGATGCATGTATGTGCTTGATCCCACGTTTTAGCTGACTGACTGATGTAGTTAACAAAAAGTATAATTTGAATGGTTTCATTGAAATGTTCCTAACAGAGCTAGTGTAGATGTGTGATTCGCAGAAATAACTTTGAGACCTAGATTGTTTAACTACGAGGTGGTATATATACCTCAAAAATTACATTTACTTAATTAGGTAACAGTATCCATAAGCGAGGGATATACTTCGAATCAACCAGCTATTCCGAACTTTTGCAAGGCAGTTAGGAGACTTTACCTACACTCACTCATCGTTGATTTTAGCAACCCCGTAAAAGACTGTATGGATAGTGAATCGTTAAAAACAGTCGTGTTTTACACTAGTAAAACCCAGTTTCTCAGAAATAATTTTGACTGTGGAGAAATATTTCGGTCATCCATGCCCACAAACAATTCAGTATAGTCGGTAGCAGAGCTTTCTAAGGAATACTGAGATATGGAGGACTGTAGTTGGATACAAGAGAGGTGATGTGAGAGCTAACGCTACTACTGGAGTACCCCAAGACAAATGCGTAGAAAGGAATCCAAATCGGTGATTTAATAGCTAAAGGAAAATTCATTAACTATGAAACCATTGCTCTACTCACTCTCGAGAATAAAAATTTTCGCTCAATGACGTAATATGCATAAACGTGTACTCATGTATTCGATTTATCAACTCGTGAAAAAGAGGTTATTCAACCATATAGTTTGGGGTCGATCAAACTTGAATATTAGGATAAATGGCGATAAAAATAGCTACGAAAACAACCAATTATAAACATGCCCACTAGAACAAATTGGTATAAAACTCAAGGAATAACTAAGAAGCTCACTTCTACATGAAGTAAGCGCTAATGTTAATGTCCTGAACTACAATAAAAACTCTCCTACTGAATGATATAACTCAGGGAAGTCAACAACACCAACATAAATCTATTAATTAGTTGAAGCTAGTCGACAGGAGGCCTTCTTCTTGAGTATCTCAATGGTAACATTTCAGACTAAAAAGCTGAGCGACATGAGATTGAATCCTTCAGGAAGTACTAATTCCCTCAAGGTTATGAGTACAACTTGCCCACGTGTATCACATAGCAACCAACCTAGGTCTACGAATTTCTATCGATTAGATTCAACCACCTAAAATTTTAGTATAGTCCATGCAGTATCGAGTTCCTCGAACTAGTGGCCACGTTACACGTCAATTAATAGAAATTGATTAGTATTGACAGGTGACTTACCAAAATATTGATTATCCGTACAAGTATTTGATGTTTTATTTATCGATTCCTCAGAAGTTAATGATGAAGAAGATCGGGATCGTTCGTCGAACATTTTATTAGATAATGTTATCTTATCATTATTGGTAGCAGTAGTAGTAGTAATAGTAGTACTGTTGTTTATAAAAGAATTTTCATGAAAGGTATACTGAATAAAATGTACTAGGAACTCATAAAAATTATTAAAACCATATGTTCTAATAAATTGCACTTGTGTAAAAGCATCTTCTAGTATAGTGAATAACTGATCGATTGAATTGTTATACTTATTATGATTATCACTATGTGAATCACCATTATTCAATAATGGCTGAAATGTAAAAAAAAAAGAAAGAGAGGGAGGGAGGGAGGGAGGGAGAAAATAGTAGGCAACTATCAAAACTTAATTATTACTATGAAAAGAAACATAAATGGTGTCTGTATGTAAATTTATATTAATTGTAGAAATCAAGAATATACTGTTGTTTTTTATTATCATAATATCAAGTGTATATTATTAACTGTCACTCAAGCTAATATTCCATCCGCTAACAGTTATGTGATTTTATTGATGAGACCCAGAAAATTCCTTAAGAAAAAAAAGTCAAAATGGGCCCTTTAGACAGTGAGGAACATCTTATTTCATCAGTATTCAATAGAAGTTTTACATATTAGGGCAGGATCATTGATGAACACAGTGGATCTGATGCAGATGTGAAGGCAAAGCAAGAGCAGCATATTTACAACTGAAAAACATCTGGAACTCAAAACAACTGTCTGTCAAACAACACCAAACTCAGAATTTTCAATACAAATGTCAACACAGTTCTACTATATGGGGTGGAAACCAGAAGAACTACGAAAGCAATCATTCAGAAAATACAAGTGTTTATTAATAGTTGTCTATGCAAAATACTTCGGACCCGTCAGCCAGGAACTATCAGCAACAACCTACTGTGGGAGAGAACAAACCAAATCCTAACCGAGGAAGAAGCGCTGAAAGTGGATAGAACACACATTGAGGAAAGCACCCAACTGAGTCACAAGACAATCCCTCACATAGAACCCTGAAGGCCAAAGGAGGAGAGGAAGACCAAAGAACAAATTACGCCGAGAAATGGAGAAAGATATGAGAAGAATGAACATTAATTGGATAGAACTAGAAAGGAAGACCCAAGACAGAGTGGGTTGGAGAATACTGGTCAGTGGTGTATTCTCTATTGGGGGTAACAGGAGTAATTCAGTAAGTAAAGTAAGTAATTCAATAGTAGTTCACCAGAAACATCTAGGAAGCAAAAAGTCAAATGATACATTTCTAATTGGATGATTACCTATCCTGCTACTATGTTTAGTAGCGTTCAAGAACTTTCCAGAAACCTAGGGTTATCTACTAAATCGTTATAATTACCCTTGATTTCCTGTACAAAAACGAACCTTGGAGTAAAGTAATATTTCTCTATTTTTCGTCTTTTCTCTCATGTTCAAGTTACCGTGTGGGCTTAACCTGAGGGTTACTAGAAGAGCTTACGAAACCGAATTAAGCGTTCAATTAGAAGATTTATCACTTACGCCAAACTTTAGTTAGATTGTATCATTTACATAATTAATGCAAAGATGTATGTAAAATAGTTGATTTAAATCATGAAACTATTAAGTGAATATAGTTTGACAGGCCTATCACAATGATTTTTATTGTGTTTTCCATGTCTTTGGGTCCTTTTTTCTTTTCAGTTATAGATGATTGTAAGAACCAAGCAACGAAACTGGAATCTTCATTCATTACACCATACCATTAAAAGCATTATGTCATAGTTATCTCACATTAAGCAAATGCTGTTTTTTGTGTCGACTCGATCATCCTTGTGAACTAAAGTGTACTCGGTAAGGATTTTCAAAAGATAAATTATTACAACCGAACTCAATGAAATGATAATCCTATACATTTTATTTTATGACTACAGATTTAATGTCACTTAGATGGTTGGAAGAAAGTTAGGAACAGCCAAACCAAAGCGTGGCATCACTCTTCAAAGTCACTAACTTCTAGTCTTAGCCTTGTTGGTATATACAGACTACTTGGTTGGGGTCCGCGTCACTATGGCAACGAATGGTTGGAGACTGAATGACATGGCTCAGAATCGATCACAATGGTGTAGGTGTATACCCTCTCTATCTTCCCGTAAAATCTGAGATTAAAAATACTTTATATCTTTCTTTCTTTTATACATTACCACCATTGAATTAACTACTTCTATGAATTATGTGTTCATGTTGTTGTGCTAATGAAGTATGGCAATTTGGACCGATGCATATATGTCCCTGGTCCTACGTTGTAGCTGACTGACAAGATATTCAATCAATATAATGGAACTCATTTATTGAATATCAATTTGTACATTAAAATTTGAATTAAGCTGCTTGTATAGGGATTCATGAAACTACCTATTTAGCTAAACTTTAGAAAACAAAACAGGATTCAAATACGTAACCAACTGAATACTTTAAATACTAAGATGCCACTTTCAGAAATAATATAGATGTTTTGTGAACCAGTGAACATTGTTAATGTTAACAAAACAATTGAATATTGGTAAGGGTTTTATGGATATTATTAGTAATTTCAATAGTTTAGAACATGAATCAATTGAATCTAGCCCACCATTAGAAAACCTCGAAGCACTGAACGGTCGTATCGTCCTAGTATGGGACTCCTTAACAGTGTTCATTCACTTTGAATATTGAATAAAAATTCCATTGGCAATGAATGATAAATAAAGAACTAGTAAAGAAAGAAAAACATTGTACAATATTCAAATAACATACCGCTATATTTGGTATCATTTCAAGTAAAACAATCATTGGCGGTAAAATTAAAGAACTTAATTGATTGACATTTCGCAAATCAACTACATCAGTAATTGGATCCTTGTAGTTTTCATTTATATAAAACTTTACTTGTATAACTTTACTTATAAATGAAATACCAAGTTCAGTAAAAGATTTTTTCGAATGTTTATTTGAATTCTGAACATTGATTAATGAATGATGAAATAAATTCTGATTTAAATGAATGATCATTGGTGGATTTGACCAATTTGAATGAGAGATTAATATAAGATAAGCTAATAATTGCCAAATTGATATGATTTCTTCAATAGTCTATGAAAATATGAGAAAAGATGTATTATTATTTATTTATTTATTTATTTAAATAATTCCAATGGTTAGGATCATCAGTCAGTTGAAGCTAGACCACCATGGAAAACTTTGAAGAACTGGACGGCCGTTTCGCACTATTGCGAGACTCCTCAGCAATGCGCGGTAGGTCCTGGGTTCGAATCTCGCAGAGGGGGGAGATCGTGGATGCACACTGCTGAGGAGTCCCACAATAGGACGAAACGGCCCTCCAGTGCTTCCAAGTTTTCCATAGTGGTCTAGCTTCAACTGACTCATGATCTTAACCACTGAAATTACTATAATATCCACAAAACCCATTTGTTATTTAAATGCATAAACATTCGTACAAAGAGATAACAAATAGATAGGTGCAAACATAAATTATTCGGTTTGTGTGAGTGCTGGGATACAGACCAGGTGCCCAAATCAAAGCAGGTGGTTTTTTAGGTGGGCCATACCCGGAGCCTTCGACCTAAAGGTCTAATCCACAAGACAGTGGAGTAACGTAAGGAGATGCAGTCACATGGAAGCCGGTGACCAACAATTGGTTCATACGCCATTTGTTCCTTTAGGATACTGGTACTCATGTGCACCATTGGTTTCGAATCAGGGTTTTCCAACTTCTCCAGGTGAATCCTCCGTGTTCACTATTAATGTCATAAGCATAAGCGTTATTCGTGAAAATGGTAGTTTCCATAGTTAAAATAACGAACTGATCATAGCTAGACCGTCATTGAAATTTATTTTATTTTTATTTATTTAAACATATAAATAGGGGTACAATGGGGAACCGAATACATATGCGCCACATAAGTCACTTGATTTGTGTGTGGGTTGTGTTACTGTGCGGGTGCCCAGACCTAAGCGGGTGGTTTTTTTAGGGAGCCACACCCGAAGCCTTCGATCTAAAGGTCTGATCAACAAGGCAGTGGATCAACGTTAGGAGATGCAGTCCCATGGTAGACAGTGACCAACGATTGGTTCATACACCATTTGTTCCCTCAGGATACGGGAGCCCATGTGCACCGTTGGTTTCAAATCAAGACTCCCCGTCTCCCTTAGGTGGATTCTCCGTGTCCACCGGATATTCGCTGTTTATCTTCACAATTTCGTAAACAATAGTAATGCTAAGAAAAGTCAGTGAGTAAAACTTCCCTGTCAGTGGTTGTATGCACGTGGTCATGCGACAGCATTTGGAGAGGAATAGCTGACACTCCCCACCCTCGGCTGTACCAAGGGGTCGTCACTGAAAACCTAGAAGCATTACACGAGCGTCTCGTCCTATTATGGGACTCATTAGCAGTGCATGTTTACGGCTCTACTTCAGAGAGTTTGAACCAAAAACTTTGGTCTCGAGCACGAATGAACAATAGTTAGACCACAGAGCTAATATCCAATGAAGTGCATATCCAATTATAGCCAACATTTAATGTTCTACCACTATCTTCCGTTATTTGCGATGGATAACTGTCTCACACTCAACATGTTTGCACTCCTCTGTTCACCGCTTCTCATTAGAATTACAGGGATTGCATCTTGAAGCTGGTCACTAGTGTGCAGATGATTATTATCAGTACATTTGGGTATAAAGAGGCAGTGGTCTGGCTAATATCAATTCTCGATTCAAACTGTTATTACTATGAAAGCTATTAAAAATATCCAAGCAGTTGAGGTAACTCTGTTTTATTGTAACAACTTACTTAACAAAAAGTATAATACAATCAATTCAATCGTCAAAATTTAAAGATAATGACGAAATTGATGTTGATAACACACGGATATACACGGAATTATAACAAACTTTTTACCTTTGAATTCGATTTGTGTAGTAACTTTTCTGATTCATTTAAAATATCAAAAAATAAGCCAGCTGTGGAATACATCAAACGACTTTGTAATAGTTCGTATTCTTGTATTGACGATAATTGAATATGATCACTGGAGACTGTTGAAGGACGATTCAACTGGACAGTTAAAATATTATTAACTAAACATCTATAATAAGAATAATAATAATAATAATAATAAGAAAGCTGAACAGTCAACAAAATTTATTTATTTATCACTAAAGAATTGAAATACAAGTAAACTTCTGTTAGCTTAGGTAATGCTGAAGTTATAAAATACTGTCAAGCACAAAAATTGAGCTCTGTAATCACATTTTTGGGTCGTTAAGACAACAACTAACCAAGTCTTCGTTTTAACTATTTGAAGAAGGAATACCGATTCCCTAAAGACTGCAAATACACATTCATCACGAGTGCCAACTAGTATGTAACAAATCTAATGTTTCCCGTCGATTATGTCTAACTACTTAATCAAACTCAGACCAGATGTCGCATGTCAACTTGATTGATAGAATTTGACCAGATTCGACAAATACGATAATAATAACTACTAGGTGATTATACAGTGCAAATTCATAGTATGACCTTAATGCAATATCTCATTTGTTACTATGTCGTCAAGTTAATATAAATATTTTCCCTAACTGAATACATGAATATTATTAAGATTAACAGTGTTTTCATCACCACCTACCTACTTTAATAAATAATTATAAACTAGAAAGTTAATTATCCTCATTAAATTATTTGAATAATTACTAATAAACAATCCAATGGGAAGAAATTATACTTGAATAAATATAGACGAATGGTAATCAAACCATAGTGCAAATTAAAAGTTCATCGGACAAGTAATAGGATAACACTAAGCTAGATGGGTGAGACTATAATTTATGGACGAGCTTTGAACGACACCAAAGTGACGTCGATAACATCCACCTACTAACAACGACTATATAAGAGTTGTAAAACAGTGTGAAGAATTAGAATTATGATTTGCAGTTGATGTTTAGGGTTAGAAAATAGATTTAGGATTTTCATTACGAACTGACATAAGCTAAAATGCTAAAACGCTGAAATCCAAGACCTACTACCCCAAATCTGATTGGTTCGTTCATAAATTATAGTGTCGCCACTCATTCGTTACAGTAAAATTTTATCATCAGCACTATGTGAATAGTAAAAAACGCACCACTCTATATTCCACGTAATATGTTAAATTACTAATTGACTATGCAAAAGTAATTTGAATACTCAAACAAATTACAAGTTAATTAACATTCATTTCCACTCCTGATTGTTCACTTTTTATACGAAAAGTTATTTATAACTAGTACTGTTTTGTATAATAATAACAAATTCAATCACCTATAGATATTTATATATTGAGTAAGTCTATGGTTTCGCCTTCGGTAATAAATTCTATAGTTAAGTTCATGAGTCAATTAATGCTAGACCACCATGAAAAACCTAAAAGTACTGGATGACCATTCCGTCTTAGTTTGGGACTCCTCCTTAGCAGTGGGTATCCACGATCCTACTCGCAGGATTCAAACCCAATGCCTGTCTGTCTCACCGGCGAACGCTTAACCTCTAGACTACTGAGCCATCATCCAACGATATCAATATCTAACTTCAACCAATCCACGAAATTGCGCCACCATCGAGTACTTCCAGGTTTTCCATGACGGTCTAGCATTAATTAACTCATGAACCCAACTATAAAATTACTAAAATCTCCACAAAACCACTCAATCTGATAATAAATTCTAATTCAATTAGTAAATTCATTAAAATTGAATTATTTGAATATTTTGATGTCACATACTTTGTTCAAATTATTCATTGAGTTTAGTAATTATAAGAACATTCGTAAAGGAACTGATTTTCCATGGATTCATTACTCTTAAACACTAACAATAGATATACCTGTTTAAAATAAGCCATTCTCGATTAGACAATATGATATACTTTTTTTATATAACAATTTCAAGTTTTATTGCTAAATGATAAAAAAGAAAAGAAATTTGCTGAAAAAGCTCGTAACTTAAGGCTACATTGAGGTAATCCGCATAGGATGCATATATGACAACAAGAGACTGATCAATTGTAGTCCTAAATAACAATAGGAAGATACAAATAAAACAATATCAAGTGAATTTAAACTTTACCCAATTGTACAAACAAGTGACTATTAGGACTTAGTAGCTAAGTGGATAACGCGAACGGTACTGAGTTTGAATTCCAGAGTGAATATCAAAACTCTGAGATTCATGTATATCCAGCTGACAAGATCCAAATAGAACGAAACGCACGTCCTGGATTTCATTGCTAGCCACTATCCCCATCTTTGCTTAAAAAAGCTTATGATTTATGGCTAATATCGAAGTAATCCACACAGGATACACATATATCAATAAGAGACTACTCCATAATAGGAAGATACAAGTAAAACAACAATACCAAGTGAATTTAATACTAAACCATAAAGAATATTATTTATTTATTTTAACACATAGATATTGGTACAAGGAGGCACCAAATACATATTTCTCGACCGTTGTTGCTACCTTGATATGGTGGTCGGGCTTGCCTATCGTGATAAAGCAACCGAGCTATACTGGCTGGAACAACTGTTCCTCAAGGTCCTACCGTGTCAGACTGGTCGGTTGAAGAGCGGTAAGACTAAAAGCAACAAACCCAAGGTCCGAAGGCGAAGTCTTACTGCTCACTGTACAGAGGTGTGACAGCAGTAAAATGTTTCCTTCAGACAACCAGCATGACAGCGATGCTGCCTTCTCACAAGGAGGGGTGGGGTTAGAAAAGGTCGACCCTAAAAATGCACACCTCGCCTTGTCCCACGGATATCTGTCTCCGACGGTAAGGTCTCAACAAGTACGGAGCTAACACAAAAATTACCCATAAAAAGGTCGTGTGTGACCGACCTCAAGCAGTTGTCCCTTGGGCACTACGGTCACGCTCTCAGGTCACCAAGACCACCTCTAATCCGATTTCCTTTTCAGGTACCTCCAGAAGAACCCTTCCACCGGGAAGTGATAACCGCCCTTATACCTCTAACATTACTCAAGGCTGAAATGCATATGCGCCACACAAATCTCATTTGATATGTGTGAGGGTTGTAATACTGCCCGGATGCCCAAATTAAAGCAGATGGTTTTCTTGGGGGGCCACACTTGGAGCCTTCGACCTGAAGGTCTGATCCACAAGACAGTGGAGCATCGTAAGGAGATGCAGTCCCATGGTAGCTGGTGACTAACAATTTGTTCATATGCCATTTGTTCCCGCACGATACTGGAGCCCATGTGCACCATTGGTTTGGAATCCGGCTAAAGCGGCGGAAATTCGCTTTTCGTCCTCTCAATTTCGTAAACATCAACCCCCGCCAAGAGAAGGCAATGAGTAGGTCTTCCCTGGCAGAGGTTGCTGCTGATATAGAATATTTATATAATGAACAAATCATTTACCTTAACAAGTAATATGAATGATTCACATCATTTATATCCAACAGATTATCCATGAAATCATTGTATACTTTCCAATTATTTATATTAATGAATGAATCATTTATAATATAATGAATGGATTGAATTCTCATTCTCATTAAATTCATAAAACATTCTAATATTAAATCATATTCATTGAAATCCATTGTGATGATTTCTTTCATTGGAATCATTACATCATTTATTATGTAATCCATTAAAGTAATAATAATACTAATATTATTCTCATTATTATTATTATTACTCTCATTATTATTATTATTATTATATGATAGATTCAATTGTAATTGTAATTGTATTTGCTTCAATAATTGAGAGAAAAATTTTATTTTTAATCTAGAAAATTTTGAATTATTTATAAATTGATAGAAAATTTGTTTTAATAAATTCAATTTTTCATTTTTAATTAAATTCATTAAAAATGAATAAATAATATCATAATAATAATAATAATTATTATTATTACTATTAGTATTATTATTACTATTAGTAGTAGTAGCAGTAGGAAGAGGAAGAGGAGGAGGAGGAGGAGGAGTACTGAAATGATTCGAAATGAATGGTGATATTATGTAATATAATTTAAACAATAAATCAAATATCCATTGAACATATTGATCATTTAATAAATATGTAGAAGAAATTGATGTGATATTTATATACATAAATCTTAATAATAAACAGTAAATACTTGGTAGATTATTACTAATAGTAGTAGTAATATCATTATTATTATTATTATTATTATTATTATTATTATTAACAAGTAATGTAGTAATGTTTGTTTGTGATATAAAACAATCTAATAAAACAATAAAATAAGGAAATTCATTATTGACAATTAGATGATTGTTTATTTGTTTATTATGATGTAATAATTGTTTATCTAATTGATGAAGTTGATGAAATAAACTCATATAACAATAATAATAATCATTATTATTATTATTATATTGTGTATTCATAGTACAATGATAATCATTTACATTAGATGAACAATCATTCATGTATAATCCATTTGTAAATGGTAAATTCATTAAAAATTTATTCATTTCATAATGCCATTGATTGTCAATATAGAAATATTGAGGATTGATATGAATAAGATATGCAAGTGTATCAATTATGGTTATTTTGAAAGAAAAATATTGAATAGAATCTATGGAAATAAACCATTGAATTAAACATTTATTCAAATTTAATAATAAATTATTATGATTATTATTATTGATAATGAGAGGGAGATTTAAATGTTTACAATATTTTATACAATCATATATAATCGATAAATTTTCACAAATTATTAGCACAGTTACTAAGTGGGAATTATCTCTGAAAAGAAAAAAAAAGAACGATCAATAAAAAAAAAGAAGAATTTTATTGATATTAGATATTTTGTAATTAAACAATTTGAAAATAAATAGAATTAAACGTTTATAAAAGATAACCAATGCATAATGATCTAATTGTGTTAATAGAGGAAAGTCGGTTACGTATAACGTAGGACCAGGCACATATATGCATTAGTCCAAGTTGCCATACCACATTAACACAAGAAGATGAACAACGAATGCATAGTAGTTACTCCAATGATAGTAATGTATAAAAGAAAGATTACATATAAGGATATAGTATAACAAGAAAAATTTACTTCGCAAAAATATATGAAACGATTTTAATCTCTTAGTTTAAGGAAAGATAGAGAGTGTATACACCGACGCCATTGTGACCGACTCTAAGCCATGTCACCAAGAGCCTCCAACCATTGGTTAAGATAGTCAAGCGGACCCCAACCAAATCGTCTGCATCTACCAACATGGCTCAGACTAGAAGTTGATGACTTCAAACACTGATGTCACGTTTTGGTTTATCCGCCCTTAACTTTATTTCAACCATCTCCAACACCGATTAGCATTGCACGTCGTGGTAATCGGTGTTCAGGCATACGTAACACGTGTCCCAACCATCTCAGTCGATAAAGTTTCACAACTTCATCAACTTATTTTCTATCATTCCCTAATACCTTGAGTCCAACCTCACTATTACTCACCCGGTGATCTCAGCAGATGCGAGCAATATTTCTAAGGTATCTGCGGTCAAATACTAGTAACTTACGAGTATTTTCTACCCTTAATGGTCATGTTTCACAGCCGTAAAGTAGAACAGAACGAACTGCCGTGCAGTATACTCGTCCTTTTATCGATAGACGGATATCTGGCCTCCGCCATAGGTGACGTAAGTTGGCAAAAGCCAAACGAATGCGAGCTGAGATTTCATCATACACTAACCCATACCATACCACATAAGCATAGAGAAAAAATTGTCGATTCAAATCCCATAGTGGTATAGGTAGCAGAAATATAAGCAGTAATTGGAAAGATCGGAAAATGAGTATTTAAATACCTTTAAGATAAAACTGTGGATGTTAATATGGAATGGTGTCACAGTGTACAAAGTACTCAACATGAAAAGTTATTTTGTCTCATATACATCAATTAGAGAAACAATCAAGTATCGTTTCGATTAAATTCTTAAAATATAAACCTATGTAAGTGGTAAACTTTATAAAATATTGTTTTGATCAAATACTTTATTAAAAATCGATCGACCAAAATCGCTAAAACTCAATTACGAAATCATTCCAAGTACATTACATCGCTCTTCATTACTTACTTAGTTACTTACTTACGCCTGCTACTCCTCGTGGAGGAGCATGGGCCGCCCACGAGCACTCTCCATATAACCCTGTCCTGAGCAATCCTTTTCAGCTCTTTCCAGTTGTTATTCATCCTTTTCATATCTGCTTTTATTTCCCGATATAATGTGTTCTTTTCTGTCTTCATTACATCATATAATTTTGTTCTACTATTGCTTTCAATCGATTATATCATTACTTACCATTTCTAACTATCTTCTAAATCAGTAATCTTATCTTAACTAACTGAGTTTTGGTTACTTTATTCTTATTTATTATTAGAGTGTATTTATATTGAGCAATCGCCTGTATCCAAGTCATTAGGGTTTTGTTACTACCGTATTGTTATCAAATGTTCTTCCATATTAAATACATATTTGTAATATTCTTTACTTAATCTTATAAAACACAAATACATAAACATTTTTCCAGTTAAATTCGTCATTAATTCCTTTTGAATTCTTGTTCTCGTTCTCTTCAAGATATAGTAATATCACTACTAATATTAATACTAATAATACTGATGATAATAATAAGACCAAACATGAAGTTGGTTACTAGTTAGTGATAATACAGTCCGTTGTTAAAATACTTGATTACTGAAGCTAGAAAACTATTAGTCAAATTTGAACCAACAGCTCTGTTATTGAAGGACAAATAGTTTAACTACTAGGACATCGCTCCACACACACACACACACAAAACATTTACATCCTAAACTTTACAAAAAATCACTGGTAATTGGTATCGTTACAACCCCAGGTTAGAAAATATCACTTAATTTACTTACTTAGTCCTAATAAACTTTTCATAAATCGAAATAATGACATTTTCTAGTTCTGTTAAAATATTAATATTGAATGTTGCTAATATATCACTGTATTGAATTGAATATTCTTCATTCATATGTATGATAAACTGGATCATATTGATATATTGACAAAGAATAGTCAATATATGAGGATATGTGCAGAATTGAGGAAGTTCAGTAGTCATATGCTTTGTTAAATAAATTCTCAACACATCTATATTTGAACAATTCGAATGCTTAGGAGACAGAACATGTTGATGAGGAATTGATATAGACTTTGAACAATCAAAAAGATGAAGATTATGTTCAGTAGGTGATATGTCATTTTCACTAAAAAAGATATGGAATAAATCATTCCGATGGGTTTTTATTAAAACATAATGGTTCAATATAAACTATGAAAAGTTTCTAAACATACCGCAATTTTATAACAGACATAATCACTATTAAAGCAGGCAACTATCATTACACTGAATACAACACAAATATTTATTTTAAATTTTCATATCACAAACTTACTTTGGTTAGACAACCACTGAAAGTAGTGCACATCTGCTTTGTCCTAGCATAGCACTCCTTGGAAATGAGTAACCAAAAACCTACCACAGATTGAATTCGGGACATTCAGACCTCATAATAAGCTTTTAACCTTTAGACTATTGAATTGAATTACAAGTAAAAATCATTGGATACCATTAATTGTCGACAAAATATTAAAATAACTTTCAAATTTTTACTTACCTGAGTAAATTAATGCGCCTTAAAGGTAACTAATTACTGAAAATTTACGAAATAAGATTACGTCATCCGGAACCTGGAACGATGTTGTATGTTACTAATAACATGTGTATCTTAAGATTTAAACGCTTCGTTTTCACTAGATTACACTCTAAGTAACATTAGACGTAAAGCGCTGACTACTTCTCTAAGTTAGAGCAGGCATGAGTAAAGTTTAAACCATTTAGAGGAAAAAATAGAGCTAATCGTATAGCAGAGATACAAACACGGCCATGTCACATCTAATCTTGAATTAAAGGGAGGATAGCATTACGATAACGCGATTAATTTATATTGTATCAATAATGTACCAAACTACATAAGAATAAAATAGAAATTCAGTACCTAACTCTAAATCTTAGGAATATTACAACCTATCATTCATAAAGCATAACATTTTTCAAGGTAAACAAAGCAGGGCAGAAAAAAATCTATGCAGAAATAATCACTGGAAAGCATCCGTTGCTTGATACGTTTCGAGTATTTGGCGGAAAACGAAACAAAACTCCTCTTTGTTCAAATTTGAAAAATCATCTTATTTATCAGAAGAGGTTTTGTGGAGATTGTAGTAATTCCAATAGTTGAGATAATGAGTCAATTGAAGCTAGACCGAAATGGAAAACCGGGAAGCACTGGGCGGCCGTTTCGTCCTATTGTAAGACTTCTTAGCAGTGCGCATCCCCAACAACGCCTCTCGGGATCCGAACCCAGGACCTATCAGTCATGGAGTTCTAGTGAGAAGCAGTGGTCAGTGGAGTTCAACTGGGTCTGTTGTAAGATAGTAACTCACTGATGACAATGATGGATGTGTCGCTCAGTTTCGTGGATTGGTTGAAGTTCGACAGTAACACCGTTGGGTGCCGGTTAGCTCAGTGGTCAAGTGGTTTCGCGCTCGTGCGCGAGATTGATAGGTCCTGGGTTCGAATCTCGCGAGATGAGATGGTGGATGCACATTGCTGAGGAGTCACACAATAAAACCAGTTGGCCGTCCAGTGGTTCCAGGTTTTCAACGGTGGTCTAGCTTCAATTGACTCATGGTCTCAACTATTAGAAGCATCTTATTCACATTTGAGAAATATATATGAACGGTAAACACAAAGAAAATATACTTACTGTTCAAAATCAGGAAAGAGATTATTGAAATCGACCCTTTCAATCGATTTTTTGAAATGTGATGAGGTAATATTTCTTTTGATTGCAGATTTATACTGGCGCTTTCTAGTTTTTAAAGGAAATTGATCTATGGAATTTGCATCCGTAATAAAATCTGAATATGAGACATCATCTTGAAAAGAACTACCTTTCTCTTCAGATTTACAGATGGTTTTCAAATCTAAGGCGTCCTTATAGCACCTGCAATTATATTTCCTACTGAAATCACAGCCTGACGAGAAAATTCGATGTCTATGTGAACCTAGAACAATATACAATTACTTTAAGTTACGTATTTTAAAAAGAATACGTTTTCTGGAAAGAAATTTGAACAACACAACTTTTAGGTGAGAATAGATGTGATGCACAATGAGCTGTTAAGGAATAATATTCCGTACGAGAATAATATTTTTGAAACCTGACACCAAAGTGCTAGTCAATTATAAATAAGAACATGGCAAACATGTGCACCATCCTCATCTTGCTATATTACGCTGTCAAAGAAACATAGAATTGTCAATGTCAGTATCAAATTAGACGAATTGTACCAAAGCATAAGTAATAAGTGACTTCTGGAGGGATAATCTCCCTTTAGTGGTCTAAATATGAAGGAAACGCTGAAAGTTCAAATTTCGTCTCACAGTTCAAGATACATTCCTTTTAGAGAAAATGAAATAAGTCGAAAAAGTTGGGATGGATGCATAAACAATAAATCTGAGTCTTGATAGCCACTTGCTTGTGCAATGGGGTGAAGTTTAATTCCCTTGATATTGCTTTACTTGAAGCTCAGTAGCTAAGTGGATAACGCGACCACGTTTGAAGCGAACGGTACTGAGTTTGAGTCCCACAGTGGACATCAACTCTGAGATGCAGGTACATCCAGATGACGAGTCCCAAACAGGACGAAACGCGCGTCCTGGATTCTACTGCTAGACACTATCCATCTTTGCTTATAATGCTTGTAAATTAAGGCAATATCGAGGCATACGCACAGTATGCACATATGCCAATAAGAGACTGATCAATTTCAGTCCTAAAACATCAATGGGAATATTCAAGTAAAACAATATCAAGTGAATCATAGATAGGGTTATATCAATAACCAACAGCCAGAAGTGATTAAAGTTTACGAAAAGGGAAGAAGAAATTCGGCTGTGTTTAGAGACGTTCAATATATACAAAGTGGTTAGTGTACTGAACTACTACTCTTCCAGTGGCTTTGGAAATCGCTGGCATATCACAAATCCGAAACGTTTCATGCTTATTTGTAGAGAAGAAAGCTTTGAGAATTTATAAATTGTTGTTAAAAGCGCTCAGAAGAACCAGACTTTAGAGATTTCTACTGGACAAGATTGTGTGATTTCTACATTCTGAAGAACTGATTTCACTATGAAGTAGACGAAATACAAAGCTCGTGATAATACCCACTATGCTATAACGTGCAGTCAGTATATGTTACTGTTGTATCAATATTATACGTATATCATTCTAAAATGAAGAAAACACTATTGCTGATCATTTGTGTCGACATTCGAAGGACCAGTTAGAAGTTCATATAAATAAATTGAAATCAAGAATGATTTACAATAAGACATAGCATATCATTAGGCATGATTTAACTGTCATTCCGTTTAGCATATTAAAAAGATATGTACACAGCAAAACTAAAGACCATCCCCATGATGTATTTTATCGGTTATACAACCGATTTAATACAGTAACTTTAGGCACTTTTATCAACAATGTCTACAACGTTCCAAATGTTTTTGAAAAATAAAAGTGAAAAAACAATAGATAGTCATGATCTGTAGCCTATTTTTTGTATACAATGACAATACGACATGTCGTAAACAACAAAATAGTTTTTATATTAAGTAAATTTACACATCCTTAAAGTCTCAGGATTTAAAGTTATATTTTACTTCATAATCTCAACACTAAACTAATATGCAGAAACATGAATTTATTTGACTGGTGTGACGCATTGTTTCTTCGTCTAATTCTTTGATAACTTGTAATCAATAATAAAAAATTTAATCACGCAAACATATTTCATTAGTACAGCTTTTTGGCTTAGACGTGATTTTTAACCTACCACTGATAATTTCCTTGCATATAAGTTGCACAGTTGATGATAGTATGTGTAAGCTGCAAAGATAACATGATGGAGAGTAGTAGCCATCACACTGAGTATAATCTAAACAAAAAGCATCCACTTCCAAACACGAAAGTATGAAAATCATTTTGTATAATACAGTAAGATCAGGAAATCCCGAACTCGATTTTAAGCACTGAAAATTGAGCGAATGCTTATAGTTCACCAATTGAAATAATAGAAAGTCCCTGAAGCAGGTCACATATCTAAAAGAGAATAGTAAACTCTGACTATATTTACTTAAATGGAATTTCAAATGTCCCGAATCGGCGACTAATAAAATTGTATAATAAAGTCACAAATTCTTCCAAATTATAATCAGACAACTAAAATACAAGTCAGATAAAGAATTCATTAGATATACGTATGAAGAATTTTTTAACTTCCAAAAACATTCCAAAACAGTATTCATGGTAATTTAGTAGGTTTAAACGCTCCTAATAATAATAATAGACTAAAATTTTCATTTGAAGGTCACCATCTGTATATGTATATACCGCCTGGACTTCAGGGTCATATAAATTTCATATACTGTAAATAATCCTAAACAATATAGAAACACTTCGAAGGTTGTTTCCCACTTCGATTTGAGAAGAGTAGACAGAATGGAATTTGTGTGAGGATGACATTAGGCTTACGGCTTGTGTGACTTTTTTCTAGCAAGCGTCTGAAAGCGTGTGGCCTCTCAAATCAGTCAATTTAAGGAGCGGACACCACTCCTTGGGTTCCAGTAAGTGTCACCAGGCCTTATCCAAAACATCAGGCACTTGGGTTACTGGATGTTCAACAGCTCACCGATACCCGTCAATATCACGGACAACCAACGCACCAAATTTCGCGTGGTATTATAAGTCTATGAAACATGAATAACTCTTTCTAAAGCCGTATCGTTTTTCAGAGATTGTCCGGTTTTCGTAAAGATACTTGAATAACGCATTTCGGAGTTTTTTATTTAAAAAGCCATTCGCGTCAGGTTTACAGACAGATAGTTCATAGGTTTGTGCTTCCTATATGTTTGAAAACATTATTTAAGACTTGTTCATTGAAACTAGATTACAGACAAAATAAAAAACATAAAACTCACGATCACCCTGAGCAAAACCAAATCGACCATATCTGCATCAACAAAAAGCTCAGGAGGACGGTGGAAGACGTGAGAACCGACAAACTCAACAAATTCAAGATAGTCCTCAGCATTAGATTCCAGGCCTTTAAAGATCTACTCAGCGGAGAGGGAACTACTGTAGAGGGTAACTAAAAAGGGTTAAAAATGGCAATCACCTCAACATGTTGTGAGGTTCTGGGCCACAAGAACCACAATCACTAGGAATGGATCACTGTTGATACACTGGATAAGATTCAAGAAAGGAGGAACAAGAAGGCAGCAATCAATATCAGTCGAACAAGAGCAGAAAAAGCCAAGGCACAGGCTGGATACACAGAAGTAAACAAACAAGTGAAGTGGAGCATCAGTACCGACAAACGTAAATATGTGGAAGATTTAGCAACGACGGCAGAAAAGGTTGCAAGAGAAGGAAACATGAGACAATTGTTTGACACGACAAAGAAACTCTCTGGAAATCGCCGCAAACCAGAACAACCAGTGAAAAGCAAGGAAGGCAAGGTAATCACCAACACTGAAGAACAACGAAGCAGGTGGGTAGAACACTTCAAAGAACTCTTGAATCGACCAGCTCCACTGAACCCACCCATCATCGAAGCAGCACCCACGGACCTTCCGATCAATGTTGGCCCACCAACTATTGAAGAAATCATCATGGCCATCAGGCAAATCAAGAGTGGCAAAGCACCAGGATCAGACAACATTCCAGCAGATGCACTAAAAGCAGACGTAGCAGTAACTGCAAGGATACTCTACATTCTCTTCAATAAGATTTGGGATGAGGAACAAGGACCAACAGACTGGAAGGAAGGACTTCTGGTCAAAATACCAAAGAAAGGTGGTTTCAGCAAGTGTGAAAACGACAGGGGTATCACTCTTCTCTCAATACTGGGAAAAGTCTTCAACAGGGCATTGTTAAACAGAATGAAATACTCTGTTGACGCCCAACTTCGTGACCAACAGGCAGGATTCCGTAAGGATAGATCCCGTACAGACCGAATCGCAACTCTACGGATCATTGTGGAACAATCAATTGAATGGAATTCATCACTCTGCATCAACTTCATTGACTACGAAAAAGCATTTGAGAACGTGGACAGGACAACACTATGCAGGCTTTTTAGACACTACAGCGTAGCTGATAAGTTAGTCAACATCATACAGAATTTGTATGATGGATTAAACTGCAAAATCGTGCATGGAGGACACTTGACAGACTCGTTCGATGTAAAGACCGGTGTCGAGCAAGGTTACTTACTCTCACCCTTCCTCTTTTTCCTTGTGATCGAACGGATCATGAAGACGTCAACATCTGGGGGGATGAATGGGATACAGTGAACATCTAGGATGCAGTTGGACGATCTAGACTTCTCAGACGATCGGGCTCTTCTATCTTACACGTACCAACAATTGCAGGAGAATACGACTAGTGTAGCAGCAGCAGGTATCAACATATGCTAAGGGAAAAGCAAGATTCTCCGATACAACACAGCATGCAACAATCGAATCACACTTGACGGAGAAGATTTGGAAGATGTAAAAGACTTTACATATCTGAGCAGGATCGACAAAGCAAAAGCAGCATATCTACAATCGGAGAATCTCTGGAACCCAAAACAAATGTCAACCAACACCAAGGTCAGAATTTGACTGAGGTATGAATCTATACTGCGTGTGTCAACACTAGAGTAATGAAATGAATCAAAGGAGGTATTTAATCACTTCTGAATATGTACATTACTTTCCGAAACCGTGGATAGAGGCATACTGTCACTAGAATAGCTCAATCTAATAAACTCTGAAATGCAGAGTTTGTCATCATCAATGGCGAAACGAACAGTAGTTCCTCTGACTGACTGGATGTGTTCAATTTTACCGCATCAATCAAGTACGAAAGAATTATTAGTTCGTAAAGCACTACACAAACCTTATAAACTTACGGAAGATCAAGAGAAAAATATTTTGAGCTTCCAGATATTGATATTCGTTTCATCAGTCCCAAGTAACCGAAATTCTTTGCGTCTTCATCTTCTCTTACCGAGAGAAGTGCAAGTCATAGTACAGAATTTCCCAAACTTCTTATTGTTGCTTAAAGAATAAGCGGTAATGTATTCATTGTGCAGAAATTTCAATATACTTTTGAAGCTGTTTTAAATAGAGATTATGGTTCTCTTATTCGATCTACTGAAGATGCTGTGTGTATAATATCTTGTACATTTGCTTTCCAGACGTTTGGCCTGACTTCGGTTGACACATTCTTATTGTTAAAAGAGATATGAAAACCAAAGACTAGGACTGCATGGTTACTTCAACCTAGTGGTAGCATTTAATAGAGGTTTGTGGCGTTATCCCCATAATGTGTCAATATAAGATCTAGTAAGGTTGATAAGAAGTCCAGATTGTACCTGGTTGCTTTACTCACACGTTGCACTAGAGCAAATGTGATAATAGAGTCAACTAATTTCCGTTCCAAGGAATCTTCTGACACCTTATCGTACTAGCACTGGTCATTCTGTAAGGTAATAATACATCAATCGCAATTCTGCAATACAAAAGGTTGAGAATTACCATAAAATGGAATCATGAAGATGTAGTACGGACACTCATAGTTTAACAAAGGCTTTCGATACTGCGTCACAGTGCTTACATATCAGAAAGCCAACCCAGAACCTATTTCTGACGTTTGCTGGTTCTCTACTTAAGTTTTTTTGGTAGAACTAAGTAAAAATTATTTGGTTGTAGTTCCTCATCAAATATACCTTTAAGACTCAAATGGCCACAGATACCCAGTGAGCATAAGAGCACATTATCGGTTAGACATTTCAAACTTGTTCTTAGGTGTAACTCATCGAGAAACCAAACGAAAGAAAATGGACACCCCTAGAGTTGCACACAGTATAGGTCCGAGTAATAGATATTTATCAGCTAGTCTCTGGTGAATTGGGAGTGTTAGAATTTCCGTCTTTGCTATACCCAGTAGGTTCCTAGTGGGACAGATTACCTAATACTGAATAAATGATAGTCGGCATAAACCCCACAGTAGTACAATAACCTACTAAGTTACAACTTCAGGACTGGTGTAGGCACTCAGGGTGATCAACATTCACTCAAAATATATTTGCCTGAAATTTTGAAGATAAATTTTGCAAATATAATAGACACAAATATCTATTAGATCCTGGATCGCCAACTAATTGGGTGGGTAAGAAAGAAGCACATCTACATAAACCTGTTAACTTGTTACCACTGACTTAGTTAACAAGTAAACAAACGACTTCGTCTACTTATTATCGACTCGCACTATCAATTACAAATCTATGATTTCTTAATAATAACCGCTACCACATGACGACCGAAAGTACTATTCAGTTTTTCAACCGAAGTTTGCTAAAAACGAACCAAGAACTTCGATTGTAACAAATGGAAGATCAATGAAACACGTCGCCCAAGAAGCACTTCAAACATTTGGACAATTTGAAAGATAAAACTTTCTACCAAGTATGATTTGACTAAAAGGTAGAAATAAGCTTCAAATACGAATGAAATATATAATGCTTTATATTCAGTGAATTAAATAAAGTCTCAAATTATTAAATAGGTATATGATAGGTAAAATGATACGATAATTACAATGATGAATACAATTCATTAAACATTAAAACTTCAAATATTACATAACATTGTCTACTTCTTTCTAAGAAGAAATATCTACATTGAAGATTTACTTAAAATTACAAAAAGAAAAAAATCCACGGATCTCCATTTTATAAAATAAGGTTCAAGAAAAAAAGATGAACAATTTGAATATTTTTACAAATGATATAGAATGGAATGAAACCATATTATTGTTGTTAGATGATAATAAAAACATCAACATTTATCACGGCATATAACACATAACCTATACAATTTAATCGTCATCATCATCATCTCCAAGTAAACCGATTGGCCATTCTGCAACATTATAACGAGGTAATGAACCTTCAAATAGACGATCTAACCAATTGGATAAACCATCTAATAATTCACTTTCAAATAATACTCCATCATTTATTTGATGCCTTGACTTTAAATGTGAATGATTGTTATTAATATTAGATTGATTGAAATCTTCTTCATCATCTGATTCTAAACCGAATGCACGACCAAATATATGTCTACGTCGTAAGTGTTTACCTTGTTTTTCAACTATTGATGATTTGTCCTCATCTGATTCCTACATATATATACAGAGACAGAGAGAATTGAAATGAGATAAAGAAGATAAAGTCAAAAATAAAATTATTCCAAAACATACAGAAAACAATAATAATTGAGCATTTAGTGTTTTCTTTTTCTTTGTATGAGGACAAGTATCAACTAGTCAGTCAGTCAGTAACAACGTAGAACTTCGTACGTACGTACATCAGTTCGAATTGCCACACCACATTAGCACAGAGATGCACTTGTCGATTCAAATCCCGTAGTGATAAAGGTAGTAAAATCATAAGCAGTAATCGGAAACAATAGGGTTTGAAGGTGTTATTCAATGAGTATAATGCAATGAAATAAATTTGGAAAGAGAAAAGAGAAAGGGACATGAAGAATTCAGAAGATTAGAATTTGGGAAAACACAAAGAGTGGATGCACCTGCGCAATTGCAAACGATTTTGAACCATGTCATCAAGGTCTCTAACCATCGGTTGCTATCATCTCGTGGATCCCAACCAGGTAGTCTACACTCCAAACATGGCTCAATCCACTGTCAGTGACTTCATGGACTTGTGCCATCCATATTTTATTATTATTATTGTTATTATCAGCTTATTCAATATTACATTTTTGATACAATATAGAATTCTCAGAGCAAAGTATTTCAACAAGTTTCGTTTCTTTTTTTAGTCGGTCCTGGCGATAAATATCGAGTGATCGCCAGTTAGATATTAGCAGTTCAGTAAATGAACATCTGAATTATGTACATTCTTTTCGTTGTATATTGCCAGCAACCATATTGTCTCTTATTGAATTTTTTGTAACTTTGACAACGAAGGTTGTACACTTTTCAGAAACGCAGCAGAATAAGTTATGCGATTAATCAGCATAATGATACATTAAAACAAACGAAAATAGATAACTTGTTGAAATATCTAGATGGCAGGAACAGGTAGCCCAGATGCTCGGGCAGGCCGCCCTTTATACGTTTTGGTCTGGCCGCCCGTAGCTTTCTTACAACCTACTCTACACCATAAACATCGCACGTCGAGG